TTTTGTCCATTTCAGCGTTCTTTTTACTCTTTTGACGTTGCGTTGACAGCTTTTACCTAAATTCGCGCGGAATATTTTTGTGAAATGGCTCTTAACGGAAATTATAGTAGGTACATGTAAAACATAACAAAACATAAAACATAACAACCGCATAAATGGAAGCAACATCTGTTTTATTTAATGATAATAGATGACCTATAATCCCACTTAATGTTGCTCTATTCCTATTATAGTCCCTTCCCTTGTTTCATTGTTACTTTATCAGTATTCTGTTTTATCGTTAACCTTTGCTGCTTTTTATATAGTATTTTTCAGTTACTGTTTTGTTTTTTCAAAAATACCTACCTATAATAAGTAAAAGTAAAGTAACGAAATATCGTTACTGGTACAACAATTTGAAAATTCTGCGAAGTACTAAGTAATCAAATATTATTTGCAAAAGCTTCACATGGTCTGCAATTAATATTTTTGCGCTGTGCGATTTGAGTTTCATCTCTTTTCTTTTTTATGTTTTTATCCTCATCTTCATTATTTTTACGCGGCAAGATAAGCGGTCATCCAGCCTCATTAATGAATGGCACAACGCTCCTTAATAACATTTGATAACAGATAAAAGGACATTAGCCTGGGGATTGATAATTCACTGCCCACGTAATCTGTTGTAGCTTAGGTAAAATAATATTAATGAATTATTTCAAACTAGCTTTCCGCCCGCGGCTTCACCCGCGTCGAATTTTGTCTGTCATAGAAAAACTTTATCGCGCGCGTCCCTGTTTCAAAAACCGGGATAAAAACTATCCTATGTCCTTTCCCGGACTCAAACTAAGTATCTCCCTGCCAAATATTCATCAAATTCGGTTCAGTGGTTTAGGCGTGAAAGAGAAACAGACAGACAGACAGAGTTACTTTCGCATTTATAATATTAGTACAGAAGTATCTAGATTAAAACACAAAACTAAACTAGTTTTAGTTTGATAGAATCCTACCGAGTTTCTTGCTAACCACAACAATTACATAACAGTAACAATAACGGTCTGTTATCTTTTATTTGACCTAAAGATTAACTGAGTGAGAATGGCATATGGCATTAAGTTCCCCTTTAGTAAATCAGTGCTTATTTAGTGCTTTAAAATAAATAAATGACAGTACCTATATAAAACTTGGAGCTATTAAAAAACGAAATTGTAGAAGAGAGAGCACCCTTACCTACACCACAATTTAAAGTGGGCCTGGGCGGTCTTAATCATAGTAATTCAAACGGTGGGACATAATTTCCCACGACGGAGGCACATTGTCGTTGCAAACAATGAATATGCCTGGTTATCCTTCGTTACCGTTCTGTCTTTGTGGCTAATAATGATATCCGTATCGTTATGTCTGACTAGACATTTGCAAGAGCCATATTTTATTGGTAGGTAGGGCAGGTGACCCGCTTTTGGCCATTTTAAGAATTTTTTAGACTTTGAGGCTATATCATTTTACAGTTTTTGTTATCACGGACTTATTTCTTGTAAAAAGTGATTAAATATATTTCGATCTAGCCTAAGGATACATTTTTTTTCATAATGATTCAATGGAAAAATAATCCTGTAGAAAAGAAAAAGAAATGGGAATTTGTGCCATTTTTGGCCAGCTTTACCCCATTTCTGGCCACAGTCATGTGCCAGTTCTGGCCATCAAAACTTAATGCTATAAGACATTCTTAGCCAGTTAACTTTCATGAAAGTGACAGACGAAGGAATACGAGTATCTCCACCGGTTCGACCAAAATTAATGAACTTTACGTTTTTGACATCACATCAGGCAAATTTTCTTAAAAAATCACACGTAGGTATTACAAGTAAGTACAAAAGATGTCCTACACACATTACATCTCTTAAGATATCCCTTAGTGTGTAAAATTAGAATAGAATAGAAAGTATTTAGGTATTTGTCTCAAAACAGGTTACGTTTACAAGTTATCACAGTGTTTTGAAAACTTATACTATAAATATTTACGATACCCATTAAGATATATTTTCAGTAATTTGGAAAATAAACTATGTTCTTATGTAATTATATTTACTGTACAACATAATGTAGGATTAAACTTATCCGCTTATAAAATACTAGCTTTCCGCCCGCGGCTTCGCCCGCGTGGAATTTTGTCTGTCACAGAGAAACTTTATCGCGCGCGTCCCTGTTTCAAAAACCGGGATAAAAACTATCCTATGTTCTTTCCCGGGACTCAAACTATCTCTATGCCAAATTTCATCAAAATCGGTTGCGAGGTTTAAGCGGGAAAGCGTAACAGACAGACAGACAGACAGACAGAGTTACTTTCGCATTTATAATATTAGTTGGGATAAGTGAGTACTCGTATATTATAATGGAAAATTATACTGAACATCGAATATGAAATGTTACAGATTCCATGAAATAATATTTACCCATCATCGTATTTAAAACTTCCTGGAACCAGGCAAATAAAACATTTTCCGGAATAAATCTTCTTATGGATCATGTAGTATTTTATTTACAAAAAACAGATTTTTTTTTAAAACTAAGGCAAACTTAACTCTAAACAAAATAAAAATATAAACTTATTTTACTCAAAAATAAAAGTGTGTCCGTGAGGCAAAGAGGCGAGAATGCTGGCTGCATTTCCTCGCTGAATGGCAATACTAAGCCTTTGTGCAAGGAAAGAGCCAGCATTTAGATTTTCCGAAATTTTAATTAATTTAGGGGAAATGGTCCGAAACAGATCATGTTATTATTTGCAAAATAATATTCGAATTCGAGCTAAAATCAAGCTTTAATAAAGCCAGCTGAATGCTCTTCAAAATGATTTCGAAAGGATTTTGGATGTTGTCGAAACATGTTTAAATTATTTACAATGAATTCGTTATTATTTCACGTTCATTAAAGCATGATATTTCAAAACTGGATATGGTACTTCAAGTACTTACTATTTTAACCTTCATAATTTGATTTCTTAATTTTTTAGCATATTCTCATTTTCGAAATTACTATACCTACCTTGGACCTCAAAGTCAAAAATCACCCTCTTTAGAATATGGTAGTCTGTAATATGTTTACTCTTTAATTATGTTATGTAAAATCAAAGCATTAAAACAAGCAAAACAATAATGAGACGTCATGTGAAGGCTCCTTAAGAGAGTGGCGGATTTACAGATTATAAGTAATGTAAGATATGAATAAAGCTCACTAGGCCAGTCAATTTAGATTTTTGTTAATTTAGATACCTACTAAATCTGCCGTCCTATTAGGCTTCAGCCTGCTGGTAATCCACCAATAGAGATAATATTTTCAAAGGGTGGAAAATTGGGGATGAACTTTTTTATAATATACATTAAGAATATGGTCTCAATGTACTGCCTACCTTCAGTGGTAACATCAAGGTAATAATTAGTCAACTAAAAAGCAAGAAATAAGTTAAATTTTATAAAAAAAAATAAAACCGACTCCAAAAAACCTACACTAAAAAGCAGAATAATAATTACTAATTACCTACTTATTTATTAGGACGAATTATTAATATTTATGTAGGTATACCATGATTGATACTTTTGGAGTCGGTGCAGGCAAACTTTACATGTTTCATAATCTTGGCACCGACTCCAGAAGTATCAATCATGGTATACCTACATAAATATTAATAATTCGTCCTAATAAATAAGTAGGTAATTAGTAATTATTATTCTGCTTTTTAGTGTAGGTTTTTTGGAGTCGGTTTTATTTTTTTTTTGTATAAACTAATTGAATTAGTCTAAACAAATGAAGATTATTTTGAATTGATTTGGTTAAAGATACAAACACGCCGCACACGCACAGCCCATTTTATAAAACAAAGAAACTGTAATCCATCTGTATTACACCTAAAGCTCCATTTAAACTCGATTATTTTTATTCTGCTTTTTAGTGTAGGTTTTTTGGAGTCGGTTTTATTTTTTTTTTTGTATAAACTAATTGAATTAGTCTAAACAAATGAAGATTATTTTGAATTGATTTGGTTAAAGATACAAACACGCCGCACAGGCACAGCCCATTTTATAAAACAAAGAAACTGTAATCCATCTGTATTACACCTAAAGCTCCATTTAAACTCGATTATTTCGCAAAAGTAAAATGTAAAAGCTTTGAAAACACAGCTAATTGCCCTCTCTCGGTGCACTCAGTGCATTTAATATCTCGGCCATATTTTACCGGCGCTAATTGGTATTGATGGGTTCCGTAACTTTTTTATCCGGTATCCGATTAATTCCGGATTGGACTGATGCTTTTAACCCTGGCACGTAATGCTATTAGTTATGCTGTAACTTAATTAAGCATCGTGTTGGAAGGCTCGGAAAAAATATGTAGCCATATTCTGAATTCTGACAACTTACCTCGCCCATTTTCATGAAAATTTTAATAATACCTACGTAAGGAGAAGGTATATAAGCATCAACTAAAATTCGGATTATAAGCATTTTTGATAGTTTGGTATAATACCTTCAAATTCTAGTTTCAAACTTTTCAGGAACTTTTCTAAAAATAATCGAATTCCCGTTTTCGCCATCAATCCCTAATTTTAACAAATATTAACAGGAATTTTGTTGCCATAGGGGTCACTTAAAAATTAGGGATTGATGGTGAAAACGGGCATAAGTCTTTAGAATCTAAAGTGATAATTTCAAAAGTTACTTACCTGTCTTAAATCTTTGGGTTGATGCAGATGTCGTTAAGACATCTTATATGTCAAGTTGAAACATTCCAAGAACAGAATAATCAAAGTACTTAGGTACCTTTTGCCCTCCTGTGCCAGAAGGAGGGTATTATGTTTTTCGAGTGTTTATTTGCATTTTGACCGAGAATAACAAATATGTTACACGTAGGATGTGGCGGACGGAAGCGTGCAAGATAAAAACATCCTAAGTGGACGCTACGAGCTCGCTACTGCTGAATGTTGCATGTTATCGAACGCCACTGTACGGCTTTATTCCACAAATATGTGAAGCTTTGTGTGGTGATTAATGAGAGTAATTAAATGTAAGCTAGCTCTGAAGGTTCTGTGAAGTTCGAGATAAAAGTAGACTTGATTTGAAATATATTAATTCTGTGTGCACACTGTCGTTGTTAAGATAGGTACCTTATTCTTATGCTTTCGAAGCGTTAGTGTCGTAAGCAATGTTAAAAAAAACTTTGGCTAAATCCCTAGAAGAGACACTAAAGGCAGCAAATGTATGATAGTAGTCACATATCGAAATGCCGTTCGAAAGAAAAAACATTTTTTGAAAGTCGTTCCATGCGAGTTTGATGCCTAGCGAAATTCAAGTGCAAAGCGAAAAGCTCCGACACCTGACTGTAATAAAGACTACAATCGTATATTAATATGAAATTATCGTTTCAGTGAGCGCACGCGCATGCGAGCCGGAGCAAGCGCAGAATGGCTGCAAGATATACGGCTCGTCGTGCACCTGCGGGTACGGGTGCAAGACAGAGTACATCTACAGGACCCGAAAGGCGTGTCAAGATGCACTGCGAGGTATTTATTCATTTATTTATTTTCTTGTTAGGAAAACAAACAGCATTCTATAACACACATAGAGCTACCAATTAAGATTCACATTTGCCAAAAGAGTTTTCTCAAATAGTTCTTACATAGGTTTTTGGAAATTGAGCAAACAGAAACAGAAAAAGAAAGAATTATAAACACTTACGAGTAAGTAAGTAATCTAGCCTGACAGTCAATTAAGATTTCAGTTTACTAAATAATTCATTTTTAAGGCGCTTCAGGTCACTTAAGACGTCCCAACTATCGATTTTAAGTACCTTTGATATCAATAAATAAATTAGTAAATAGTGTCTTATACAAACTTTTAGGGAGAGCCATATTTTTGGCAGCTCATAAAAAGTATCTTTATATTTACTAGTGTATCATTTACCTAACTTAAAAGTCTTTCAAACTTGGTAAACAAGTACTGAATAACTTAAAAGTCTTTCAAACTTGGTAAACAAGTACTGAAAAGGTCGTTATGAATTTCGTGTAAACAGCTCGAACAAATAAGTTACTACAAATAGAAATTATTATGCAATCTATCAATATATTGACCTAATATGTAGTCTAAATAACTCTGAGCACGTTCAAGAGACGGGTGAAAAGGTTTCTCTGAAAAACTTTCATAAACATCTACGTAATTATAAAAGCACTTTAGTTAAATCATAGATTTTCTGAAAAGAAGTAGTGAAATCGGACTGGAAACGTTTTAAGCTTTGTATGGAAAAACATTAAGCGTGGTCCACGAACGCCTCTTTGAAATAGGTATTACCTACCTGTTTATTGGTTCGCTCACAATATTTCCTTGAAACTTCCATACGCCTCTAGTGTACCTACATCATTAGCTGAAATTCATGTAATACCACAGTACTTATTATTATTCTGTGATACTACTTTTATATACGAGTATTTTGTGGTAACCAGGACGATCCGAATCCTAAGTGTTTTTATTTCCGTGTGACCCAAGTTGGACATTTCTAATAGAAAACCAGTAAAAACACCACAATGAGTATGTACCTTGTTTCCAGTGAAAATGTAGCAAATCTCTAAGTAATCCAATAAGCCACCACAGTGAGGCAAGCCTCGTTGGACAAATAAAGCTTACAAACCCCCTGAAATGAATTAAAGCTTACATATTTTTTTTTATATAATAAAATGTTTATTGCCATAATCAATGTACAGAGTATTCTTATGACTAGCGGCTTCTGCACTGAGCATAGCTTGTGTCGCAGTAGCCTTTTTAAATTTTTTAATTTATCGGAAATTAAGTTGTTTTTAGCTAAGTACAGGTTAATAGAATACAATAATAATCGAAATGACAACAGTCAAAACGTCTGGATAAAATCAAGTACGTACCTGCATCTAGTCATATTTCCATAAATTATTATTTAATAGCTTTAATTTTGTGAACGAAAACTTACTCACCAGCTTACGTGATTGATCTTAAGCTTAGTGTGTGTGGGTAGCGCTTACTTCTATCTTTATCTTTTATCGTTTGAGTCATTAAAATGCTTATACAGGGTGTTAGGTAAATGGGGTTAAGCTGACACTAGCCCATGTTTAACATGTGCAGATAAATGGTATGGTGAAGTCAGAAAATTGATATCGTCATTTTAATTATTTAAATTTTCATACAAATCTGATTTAAAAAAAAATATTTTGTATGAAAATTAAAAAAAAATAAATGATGATATCAAATTCTTGACTTCACCATAAGTACCATTTATATCCATATGTTAACATGGGCTAGTGTCGGCTTATAACCCCATTTACCTAACACCCTGTATCAGCAGCTTTAGGACTAACGGATTTTATTAGTAACTTTAAACCTCTGAGACCTGAGTGAGACTATTATTGAAAATTGCTAATACAAGTCCGAACCTTTGATACCGGAATCTTTTAATCATAAAACCTTTAAGTAAGTAATTTTTTTCAGGAGAAAAAGTAAATCTGGAGCTGTACCTAGACTTCACTAAGGATCATTGAGTTTTATATATTTCTTCTCTGCTGATGTTGACTAAGTACCTACACCAGCTATAGTAGTGATTTCAGCATTTTTAAACTTCAAGTACAGGTTGCCCTTACAGTGTCATCTGCAGTAGCCAATCTTCGTAGTAAACACGAGTAAACATACGTTTTCAATTGCTATGTGAAATCTCGATGGCTCCTACGTATACTGGCGTAAGTGAAAAAAGTAAATTTTACAGGAGGGCCATTTTAGTGGCCAGAACCATATCTTTGGTTCATATCTTCTGACCTACTAAAACGAATTTAATGAAATTTCACATTTAGCCTTAACATGTAATGCTTTTGCTACTGCTGTTATCAATTTTTATATTTTTCTTATATATTTTGAGATTTTACGCTTTGCCCTTTTACGTCGGCATATTTCTATAATTTCATGTATATTGTTCAACGTAAAGAGACTTAAATGACAACGTAAATATAATATTTTAAGCGATTACTCTCTTTATTTATGCATGTAATTATTTTAATTGTTATCATGTGCTATATCAATAATAAATCAGTTAGAAAAAGTCGTTTAATGTACCGTTTTACGTTTTAACGCAAATACGCCCATATACTGTGCTCGAGATTTAGTTAGGTCTTTTAACATAATGTGTCATATTTTTAAAAAATATAAATAACTTGAAAAAATCGAATTGCCTAAGGCTTTTTGGTGCAAATTTTAGTGTTTCGTAGCAGGTTTTTAAAATTTCTAAAGCTTATTGTATATCATCTAACAATGGATACTTTAGATAATACGTTTTCCTACATTCTGAATTATAATAACTATATCGAAGATGATGTGGTTCGCGCATTTCATGAAAAGTTACTTCGGTGCACATCATTTAGACCGCGTGAGCTAGAATTATTTCAACACCCTGAACTGATTGAACCTGTACCTAAAAATGAGACGCACCTTCAAGTAATTTATGACGGTGACGTGGGATTAGTGGGGCACTGGAGTTGTATTTATTACATTAATGGAATACTGCGTGTGTACGATAGTCTTGTTGGTGTTCTAGGAAAATCGCAAAAAATATATGTAAAAGCCTTGTTTCCGTATCTATCGGAGTCATGTATTCAGTTTCCAAGTGTTCAGCGACAACCGAATACTATTGATTGTGGTTTGTTTGCCATTGCTTTTGCCACCTCTTTAGCTCGGAATATTTATAAATACATATATAAAATTAATATTCATACATAAAAGTACAAGGCAAAATATCGGGAGAGTTTAGGCTCCATTCACCAGGTGTATAAATTGACATAATAAGTTTATTATATTTGCTGCTACGGAACCCTTTGTGCGCGAGCCCGACTCGCACTTGGCCGGTTTTTTATTATAACTTTTTGTTAAATATTTTATCTATCCGTACAAAGGCAGGGCAGGCCGCTAGTATTTGATAAACATACTATATCAATAAAATCAAGTGCCCTAGAGCCTGTGCCCTATTGTAGCAAGTGCACACAAATACTCGTATAATACCTCTGTACTTCTAGCACGAAAAGCTTTCGTCTTCGAATCGTTTGCGTATTCGACAAAACTGGACACCCAGCCTTCGAATTCAATGATAACGTGACGTTCTCGATTTCAAAATTAGTTTCATGCTATCATTACTCATACTAAGAACACTACATCGTATTCACAGAGGCGCTGTTTAAGATTTGATAATAAATATGATGATACGAATACGCAAACTATTCGAAGTCGAAAGTTTTTTCGTGCTGGGGGTACAATTGCGTAGTTTCTTCTAGTATGTTTGCGAAAAGTAAAATTAAATTAGAAAACATGTTTATTTTTTTACACTAGATATTGACAGAGGTTTTCTAATAATAGAACTCACATTCTAAGGGCGACGAGAAAGATCAGACGTAGGACGTTACATGCGAAATAAACATGAAATCTACACTTGAATAGAATATTCTATTACAGTACGAGTGTATTCTGAAAATAAAGCGTAGAAAATTGGACGTAAATAATACAAATAAGTCTAAGAAATGTATAAATAGATCGGTTTGCTTTTATAAATTATTTTCAAGAGTGTTATTATGATATTGGCGAATTTTGTAATAAAGACGTAGTATGTATTTCAATTTAGAATATCTACAACTCAAATATACCTACAACATATTATGTGTGTACCTAAAGTGTAATAAAAATACATACCTAAGTACTTATTAGATTTTGTCGGTATTACTGTGGTAAGTATTACACAGTTCTGCGTAAAAATATATTTCTATGGAACAGTTAACAGGTAGCGCGCCTCCGAACAATATTGAATTTGCCGTAACCGGTTATTAGATTCTTTCTTTAATAAGATCGAGGTAAAGGGAAGGTGAGGCAAACATAATAATATTATCACCGTAGATGCTGTAAGCGACAAGCTTTTTTACTATTATTACTAGCTTTTTATAACTGATATAAGATTCCTAGGATTCATATTTTTAACAAGCGGTAGAAATAGGTAAATCAAAAAAATTACGTTTACCTACTTGCATAAAATATACTTAGTTTACAAGTTGTTTAAGGGAAATAACATAAAACAAATGGGTGATACAAATCACTAGTAGGTATGTAAGTAGGTAAATAGTTTTTTCATAGAAATTCTTTAGAGCTTTTCTCACTCCTTTTTCAATTTCTGACAAACTTTCTGAAAAAGCTAACTTCATAGGCCGAAAATAACGTGAACTTTGTTATGATAGATAAGGATATTAATATAAACAATGGAGAATTTAAAAATACTTTGTTTTTGGGAGCTTTACTTAGTTACGCCATTAATACTCAATTTAATGTAAATGTTAGCTTTAAAAGAGGTTCTCTTTCTTTCACATATCAACATCAAAGTAAGTGAATGCTTAAAGTCTACTTATATTGGTCTCATGAGATTCGAGTCATAAATTGGATGTTCTTAAAAAGAGCATAATAATTCTAAGGCCCGATTCGACCAAACATTTATCTGAGAATAATTGCTGGTATGACTGGCACGTTGACAGTTTCAGCATGGGAAATATGTCAAAATGTCGAAGAACTGACGATTTATTCTGAGATTAATATCTACTCTTGTTTGGTCGAAGGGTCTTAGGGTGGCCTAAGGCGCTTATACACGCACTCGTTTTAACATAATGTCGTCCATTGCTGCACGAAATCTCTCCTATGGATCCCCCATGGATTCTCACGACAGGTCCTGCACTGCCCGCATCCAGTACCTCTAGTAGGAAAAACTTTCGAGTTCGTTTCGTTGCGTATTCAAAGTGTCATCGAAAAATTTTGTATGAAAAATTAAACAGCGCCCCCTAGGGCGGCTATAATATAGGGGGCGCTGTTTAATTTTATATACAAAATTTTTCGATGACACTTTGAATACGCAACGATACGAACTCGAAAGTTTTTCCTACTAGAGGTACAGGTGCTTCCCGCGACTATCACACGATCGTCGGTCCACCGAGTAGGATGACTACACTAAGTTATCCGATCTGTAGTCCGTAGAAGACTACGACATGAAACGACTACGAACGTCTTTTGTATTTTCTTGAGTCTCAGAAGCTTTACTGTTATGACTAATATAAGTGATCGTTTCCAGGTGGATATACTTACTAGAGCATTTTAACGTAATGTAAAGTTTTTACGAATGATACAATACAGGTAAAAGCTCAGTCTCAAAAGCACGTTTGACTTGTGAAAAAGTGATGCACTAGAACAGATTTCAGCAGCTCGTTTTTATGTTACAGGTAAATGCTCTATCTATAAGAGTATATGTAGATAGTATAGACATACTCACCTTTAATATCTTAGCGATACATAGCATCACCTGCTCATGCCAAATAAATAACGTGGCTCATAATAAAATCTTCAAATACACGATGTAACAATTATTTTATCGAATAATAATAAATAGGAATGTCACGTTAGGTAATAGACAAACTCTATTCTACTACTATTCTTTTTTACAATGCAAAAAGTAACAGCTTATTTTATTTTAAAAATCTGCGATTTACCTTTAGACCGTTAAGTGCTAAGTAATATAAACACCTCACTTGATAATAATATGTAATGTAGTTACTAATTGATACAGTAAGTAAATAATAATTTTAGGTCCTTTTATAAAAGCATGAAGCAAAACATGCACAGTTCGTCCATTAAAATTGAACAAGTTGTAAATCAAATTATTGTTTTAATTAATCACAACGAATGCTCCGATACTAATTCATTATGTACCTATGCAAATATCGGATTTCGGTAGCATTGCAAATTAAACTTGTAATTCGATTGCAGTGCTCATTAGTTCGGCCAAATCAATAACCTGTCATGTTAATTTCGTGCATATTAATTTCTGTGTGGTTTTTGTTAAGTACAATCATGGCAATACATAGTCTATATATATAAAAATGAAACCCGTTTCGCGTTGTCACGGCATCACGTGTGAACGGCTGAACCGATTTCGATAATTCTTTTTTTTAAATGTTTGTGGAAGTCCAAGGATGGTTCTTACGGAAAAAAATATTAAGAAAATCTCTACGCTAAGGCGGTACGAAGTTCGCCGGGTCAGCTAGTAGTCAAATAAAAATCTAGGTAGGAATATCACGCAACTACCTACATCTACGAGTAGGTAGGTAAATCAAAATTCTAAAACTCTATCCTAGATTTTCCCAATCATACTTTGGAGTAAACACCATTTACCTTATTGCTTGAGATGATCGAATTATAATTACGAGTACAGTATTTAGAAAATTAGTACCTTAATACTACTTACCTAATCTAGCTTTCTAGCTAACCAAATCCATCAATTTATTAAATAAACTTGTTAGGTAATGCCATACAATTTCAATTAGCGATGTTTACGTTACATGAAGCCCCCACGACATCTACTCAAGTAGGTACCTACGTTCTAACCTTTCCACACTTTACCTTCTTACGCAAGAGAATTTTCTGCACCCACATCGGGTCATCTATAAACCCTTTCTGCCTACAAGCTAGTGGCTATTTATGAATTCAGGTAATTAGTAGTGTTAAAACAATTACTCACCTAACCCAGGGCCTCGCAAAATGTGCGTCGCGATGCCCGGCGTCGTGAGGCGATCGAAAAGAGAGTGGCCATATTGAAACTTGAATCCCGTTTTGAGAAGCTTTTGCGTCGAAAAAGGCTTCTAAAAATGGCATATTCCCAAGGGCGTTACAGTAAAAAAAAGTTCGGGAAGCTCTGACCTAACCTGTTAGATTTAATCTAATGGATAATCACATATTATACCTACCTATTGATATTCAAATAATATACCTACTCTACGTTACGTCACATTTTTAAATATACTTAAATTTCCTCCCTTTTTGAATTTGGTCATATAAAGATTTTAACAAAGATGTAACTAATGGGATAATCTCATTCCAGAGCGCAATTCCAATGTGTGCAACCGCAAGCCCTGCCTCCGAGGCATTTGCATCCAGATCATCGAGGACCCAGGCTTCAGCTGCATGTGTGAGGGCACCGGCTTCTACGGGCAGCGGTGTGAGAAAGGTGGGTACGGAAATACAGTAATCATCATCATCATCATTCAGCCATAGGACGTCCACTGCTGAACATAGGCAAAATCGAAAAATCAAATATATTTTACTTATTCAATTCTAAATTGTACAAGTGGCACTTATGAACGTCAAAATATAGTAAATAAAAAAGGTAACCACTAAGGGACACTTTACATGTCTCCTTATCTTTTGGGCCCTACCAGCGCTTCGAGACAAACATGGCAAGTGCTGAGAAGAAACGCCGGATCAAACTCAATACAGTAATACCTACCGCAGATAATATTAATAGGTTATCCAAAGATGTTTCACCCTTTTTTGTTCACAAAGAGAAAATCTTGGCTTGTATCTCTTAATAGAAAGTGATAAGGCTGAAGGTGGAAGCGAGCTTCTTAACCTCACCCAGAATCCTCAACCACAGAGGAATTGGCTTTATCTTACCTCTAAATACCAGAACTCGACAATGCGGCATACATGTTGTTAACAAGAAAGATGGTGCCAGCTAGCCAGGCTAACTAAGAACAAGCCCCACCACCATCTAAAGAATCTAAACCGAACTGAAAATGTCGCCCTTAGGTACTGGAAATCGAACCTGAGGGTCTGAAACGGTCTAAATCACGTAATTTAACATTCATATCCACCTTAAGTATGTAGGCTGAGTTGCACCATTTAACTTAACATTGGCAAACGTCAAAAATCTGTCAAACTCCAATACAAAAAGCACCGGTTATTATTACTATTACGGTTAGAATAATATCATGTACGAGTATTGAAGTGCTGTAACTGAAATACGTTCACTGACTACTTAAACAGAGCTTAAAACGTGATCTACGTGTCATGTTTTCGGCATTATAATGTTTTATTTTTGTATGCGCGTTAACATAAAACTCAGCCAATTTATAATATTTTATTTTACTGTTTTGTTTTTTGTAGCAAACGATTATGAACGTATTATATTTCCCAGAATACACACAGTTCCCGTGTAACGAGTGATACTTTTTGTTTGAGAAAGAGATTTACACGAGAAAAGCTCAGTTTCGTCGCTCAAAAGCCACATAATACTATGTAAAATTGATTTACTTTTCGCTCTTTAACCCATAAGCTGCCCTTTAAGCAAAGCTATAATATTAAATGCTACTTAGTGTACCAATCAATAGTAATATTCTAGCCTAATCCACTGTCAATCAGTGGAAAGGTTCCACACCAGCACTACTAAGACATCACCATCACATAGCCATCACAATACCACCCCATTACTCCAAAGTCGTACAAGGTGACCATAGTCACCTCTATATGATTGATTGCTGTATAACAGTGCTTATGGCTTCTTCCATGCAGCCCTCAAACTGCCTACGCCACTCACGCAATTCATTATGAATAATAAACTAACGTTCTTATTTTACACAAAATGTATTAGTAACTCCTTACCTACATTTCCCATTAAGTAGGTAGGTATCTATCATCATCCAAATATGTTTTCAAAATTATTTTAATTTTCAGTGAATGTCGACTTTACAATTTTTACTGCCTACGCTAAGTATTTTATTATTATAAAGCACAGAAAATTAAAATGCGAGGATTTTGTTAGTGAGTAAGTAAGTAAGGAGAAACGATACACTTTGTGACATTAATTGTACCTATGCTTATGTGCGTGAGAAGACCTCTGTTACCCGTGAGAGAGAGCTTTGATTTTTTCCTGTGATAATAATCTTTGACACCTCATTCTATTTTGTTTTTCAGCTTGTCCTACGATGCTGATGCGCGGGCAGGTGTTTCCCCATGTGTGCATCGTGATCTGAAAACCTTCTCCTTTATTTTCATAAGCTAGGCCAAACCAAAACATCTCATAAGAGATGTAAACTGTACTTATAAGACAAACAGATACGGTGAAATGCTCAAATTGCCTCATAAAACGATGTTTGGTAAAGTTTTTATAATAAACAAACTAGACAATACAAGTTTTGGCTCTGCAACAATTTTTATAGAGGCTGATTTACAAGTAGTTAGGTAACTAAATTTAACTTGATTTTATGTGATTAATTGAATGTAAACACAATTAAAATGATAAAATTAATCCCTTAAAATCTAATTAAAATTTAATTACCTAAGTACTTTAACTACTTAATACACGTGTAAATCAGCCTTAACTTTTTCAGTCGTAATTTGTTAAGCTTAGAATTAAGTTATTTATTTATCGCTACATACATTTTATCTTAACCAGTGTCTTGAAAATCATTTTTTGCCGACTACCCATCATTCAAAGTACAATTAACGAGAGCTTTCGACCAAATAAACCAAAGGAGAGCTTTTCCGTTAAGGAGTTATACTTAGTTACTTACTTAAGGAATGGCTTCGACACCGTGGAAATTCTTTAACTTAAGTAATTCAAAGTAAGTAATTACTTAAGGTAGGTACTTAGAATTCTACTTAGATTAACAAAGTAGTACACTATCTTTAAGCTAGCAAAGTAGTTAATAACACAGGTGTTTGTATTTACCTACTTTATTATGATATCCATTGTTATTGTGACACCCTGTATAAACGCATCCTCTGCAATAAACTTAAGGCACAGTATCAAGTTTGGGAAATTTTTTATACATAAGTAATTTTAATAATAAAGAAATAAAAGACCTGTATAACCGCCTTTTTATTACCGACCACTAGGACCATTCTTATAAACCAACCATTCTTATATCTTATTACCTTAATGATGTAGTGATGATATACTTTGAAAGTTTTTTTAAAAATTGAACCTCCTCTTGAAGAAAATGATTGTTGTATTTGAGCAGTAGAATCAAATCTGTGAACTTTCCTCTTGTCCTACTCATTAATTTCAACTTGTAATAAAATTATTACAAATATAATTATTTTTATTATACAGTGTGAGTCACGTTAAAGTGGACATATGTAAATAGATGAAACTAGACCTATTTTTATCGACAAAAAAGAGGTCAAAAAATTTTTGAGTTTTTTTTTTAATTTTTTATAGTTTTTTTTTTCTTCCAATTACTTATTGTAAAGAAAACGTAATAACTTTTAAACTAAACGATATATCCTGATAAAATAAAAACAGTAATAATGTTAAATAACAGGCGATACTAAAAAAATACATAAAATACACAAAAAAAGGTCAACAAATAATAAAAAATGATACTTTTTGAAAAAAATCTGCTTTTAAATTCGTGTTTTTTTGGTTATTTGATAAATTTCTCCAAAAAATGCCCCTATAACAGGTGGTTTTTATTACTTTGTATTATTCTCTATCGTATTACCTTCGTAAAACCAAAAATTGCATGTCTCTATCCCTATCACAACATTTGCTATGATCGTTTGAACAAAGGCCTGCCACAACATTATTCTCCGCTACAGGTAGAGACAATTTTAATTTTTACTAAAATGCTTATTTTACTTCGAAATCTTTTGTTTTTATTTGAAATCTAACTTGTCTTTATCAAAATTACAAATCTAGAGCCATTTTCAGTTTCGTTGTTAACGAAGCTTTGAATGGCGCGCCCGGAGAGGCTGTTCAAACGATCATTGCAAACGTTGTGATAGGGATAGAGACATGCGATTTTTTTTTGGTTTTACGAAGGTAATACGATAGAGAATAATACAAAGTAATAAAAACTATCGGTTATAGGGGCATTGTTTGGAGAAATTTATCAAATAACCAAAAAAAACACGAATTTAAAAGCAGATTTTTTTCAAAAAGTATCATTTTTTATTATTTGTTGGCCTTTTTTTGTGTATTTTATGCATTTTTTTAGTATCGCCTGTTATTTAGCATTATTACAGTTTTTATTTTATCAGAATAAATCGCTTAGTTTAAAATTTATTACGTTTTCTTTACAATAAGTAATTGGAAGAAAAAAATTCTATAAAATTATTTATAAAAAATCTCAAAAAAATTTTGACCTCTTTTTTGTCGATAAAAATAGGTCTAATTTCATCTATTTTCATAATATGTACACTTTAACGTGACTCACACTGTATAATGCAGGCAGCAATTTAGCGTACCTACCTACCTAGCTCTATCTTGAAGTATTCAATCAGTAAGTAGCTTAAAAAATAGTTTGTTCCCGCTACCTACCATCCGGAATTCCGGACTTCGGAACTTATCACGCCATCTATGGACAGATTTTGAACTTATAATGGCAAGAAGCATTGTTAGATTTTGTTTCATTGAGTACATTCTGTGTAAGTGTGAAACTGGCTATAAAATGAGGTATTTTAGTAAAGTAGGTATACCTTTAAAAAAATTGGATGAAATATAAGTTTGCATTTTGAACACCAAAAACCACTTAAAATAAAATCGATAAAAGTACTAAGTAGTGACGTCATTAGTGATGTGCCCAAACGAGTTTGCGTATCGTTAAAAACAATAACGGTATCAATATTTAGATTTAGATAATTAATTATGTGGTAACTTAAATTGAGTTAACCTCCAACAAATAAAACAAATTCTTTATTGCTATGTTAGGCCCTTCGCAGGGCGTTATGGGACAACATAAAATATAATCAGCTGATGCTGATAATATGAAGTGGTGGCAGAAACTCAATCACCTTTATCAGCATCTCATTATTATAGGAAATAAATTACCATTCACAACATTAAAGTGCGAGATAAGCAAATAAAGTCAATAATTAATAATAAAGAAGAGTTAATTTTTCCAATAATCAAAACTCAAAACTCGAAATTTTATTTCTTTTAACCGTTTAAATTGAATAACGTTTTTTGATTTCAAAGCAACTAAAAGTCTTTTTTAAATTTAATTATTAAGTTTGATAGATAGTCAGAAATGAATACACTTAAAATGTCTATACAGGGTACTTAACCCAGAATAGCAGATAGTAAAAAAGCTACTTTTTCTCAAAATTGCATAAATCTGTTGTTTCATCTTTGTTAGCGAGTGAACTTTATAGTGATACCAAATTGTACTTACATCAACTGGAATGATATTGGAGCGCGAGTCAAGTGCGACTGGAGATGAAACGCGACTGAATTGGAGACATTACAAATTGGTAGGCATTAATTATTACTCGTACTATTGCATTCAAATTCAAAACGTTTATTTCCGTATTCACATTACAATTTATAGTGGTATTACAAAATAGAGGTAGGTAGGTATACATTTTGACGCCCTGCAAGGGCTCAGCAAAACATTAGAGAAAGGGTTAGTAATCCCAACTAATATTATAAATGCGAAAGTAACTCTGTCTGTCTGTCTGTCTGTCTGTCTGTCTGTCTGTCTGTCTGTTACGCTTTCCCGCTTAAACCTCGCAACCGATTTTGATGAAATTTGGCATAGAGATAGTTTGAGTCCCGGGAAAGAACATAGGATAGTTTTTATCCCGGTTTTTGAAACAGGGACGCGCGCGATAAAGTTTTTCTGTGACAGACAAAATTCCACGCGGGCGAAGCCGCGGGCGGAAAGCTAGTTTAAAATAAGATGTAGTTAATCTTAAATGGTCAATATTATACAGACAATCATTATTCCATTTTATAATCTGTAAGTTACTTTTACATTAAGAAATACACTCGACATCAAATAAATCGCACTTCCCGCGACAAGTACTTTTAAACGTATGCATCCCCACTTCCCACCGATATTGGTACCATTTAAAAGCCTAGTTCTAAACTTCATTTCATTAAAGGAAAGGTTTTTACCCCAAAAATGTGTCTTTAGAAGGATCCAGAATCACTTCTTCAAAAAATAGGTAGTTACGCTTGAGCCAATTTTTATATGGCTATAAAACTGTTAAGTTGGGATTAATCGCTATCCATCTGTTAAAGAAGACACGTGTGATCATTATTTGGTTTTATAACCATATAATTTTGTCTAATTGATCCCAGAGGTAAGCCCAAAGTGATTTCTTTTTTCAAGTCACATTTCTGGTATATGTTAATCATTTATTAAGAAATTAAATGTGTTTTTCTTTAAGGATATTTATTGGGCTTTCAAATAACACCAATATTGTTGGGGCACAATGATTGTGTCAGAAGAAAATCTTTAGGGTTCGCGTCGCGGAAGGTGCGGTTTATTTGATGTTGAGTATATTTAAATACATTATACCGGTACGTTATTAACGGTATTGGAATTGACATCGAACATCACTAAACCTTATGTCATTATCTGACATTGACGTTTATTGTAACCGAGGTCTTATTGCCAGGGTATTTTTTGCAAAATATAATGGTTAAAATTAATTTAAATATTGTCATTTAGCACCATTCCCAGTTATGTTGTGATAATCTCATCGAGAAAGGGACCAACGAGATAGCCTTTACTTGGGTCCACTGTTGGTTTGTCATAGTTTGGTCAGCTTTTCAATAACGTCGCCGCACGCCTTACGTTCTCGGTCACTGCAATCATGTGTCAATGTCAAACTCAAAATGTGATGAGTGACCGATGTGAAGTCAGCTAAAGTTTTTTTTTTTTTAATTTATAAAACGATAATGCTAGTGCTTATATTGCCAAGGGTAACTAAAACAATTGTTCTAAAGACCAATCAAAACTCACGATCAAAGGTTATCGTAGCTCTTATTGGCTATTGATTTCGGTCCACAAAAGTTCGCTGATCATGAGATCTTTGTGTTGTTTGTTGGTGTTGGTCGACTTCGGAATTTGGATAGATGCGAGTGAAATAGAATGACACTGTGGCAAAACTGGAACTGGCCGAGAGTTTTTGTCACATTACAGTGATCTGTCTCTACAGATTTATTGCCGATCAATACTACTGAAAAGTGGGGACGCATTTGTTTGCTGTCCATAACACATGCGTAGTAGCCAGCAAGTAGAAGTTTACATTTGAATTTTAAACAAATGAAAGTCTGCTAGTCTTCCACAAGTTTTCAAAAGGTTGTTGGTATGTATCAAACAAATGATTTAATGTTCTTTGCTTCAATGAAAGTGCCTAGTATTTTACCTAAGTAGGTAACATAGTTTAACAAAAATATTTAATATTAATTTAAATTTTATACTTTCTGATCATGTTGAAAATAAAAATTGATGATGGGATGTAAATAAATAACAACAAAATTTGATAAAAAACACCTTTATATTTTTTTATAACAGAGAAGCTTGTTTCGTCATTTTAATAACAATAATATTGTATTTTTTTAAATAGAATATGGCTTGGTCAAGATATCAAAAGTTCCTGGCGCTGATGCTGGTGGTAACCGGCTCCATCAACACGCTCTGCACAAAATGGGCTGACCAAGTGGTTGTGAAGGGCTCCGATGGCAACGAACGCGCTTTTGACCATCCATTTTTACAGGTAAATTAAACATTAAATATTCACATTAAATTGATTGTACGTACCTTCAGAAAAAGTTAAATACTCAAGTAATGATTTTTGTCGTATTTATCCTCAATTAGTTCTACATTAATTACTATTCCTCAATAGGCCTGCGCGATGTTCTTCGGAGAGATGCTGTGCTTGCTAACCTTCAAAATACTCTGGCGCATGAAAAGCAACTCCGGCGGCCACTCGCTCATAGAAGGCAACCAGAACTTCAATCCCTTTATACTCATGCCAGCTGCCATGTTTGATTTAGTAAGTAGATTTTAATTATTTCTCATCATTTTCTTTAACAAAGTACCTATCAACTTCAAATACAATCTTTACACCTGACATTGGAGATTGCCATATCAGTAGAAGCAATAGAAAGAAGTGTCAATTTGATTGTGTATTTAGCATTCTATGTATATCTTTGCAATCCCATCAACATCTTAAATTTCATTTTTCAGTCTTTTTAATATCTCTACAACTTGCATATAGATGTAAAATTAGCAGCTTCTTAATTATCCAATATGCATTATGCTATGTAAGTATGCAGGCCTAACATTGTAAAAAATATCATCTATTATTATTTATTATCTATGATAAGGCTGATAAGATAATTTGTCACATTAAAACTAGTCATCAAATCTTTGGATCTCATTTAAATCTCTTCTTTTGCCAGCAAATAAAACAAAATGCTTATTCTTAATTTTGAGATTGACGATTTAACCATCATACTTTTGGTATAAACAAGCATTGTTTCAACTGCCTGAAACTGTCAGGCTCAGATGCAGTTTACACATGTAAGCAAAATAGCCAATATCCCCGCAGACCCTCGTCCAATTACTGGCTTATTACGTGGTCTCGTTTCATCGCGTCCCTCCTTGTATTGTTATTATATTGCAGAGGGTTTATAATGGAATCAATTATCCTTCGTGGAACTACTGTGTGCACAGCGCATAAAGTGTTAACCATCAATATCGCTATGTTGATCAGATGGATATATCCGACAGACTTTGTAGTTATACGAGTATGCGACTACAGCATAAATAATATAGATTTATGTATTGTGACTAACAGTATCACGTACGCTTTGGACGGATCGCGTCAAAAGTTTATTAGTAGCGCGAACATTGATTGCCGACGTGGCAGCCATTTGCATTTGGGTTTTAGTGAATAGCCTTTTAAACAGGCTGATGCTAACGCCTGCCGCTACATATCAATCAGTAGCTCAGATGCACTTGAAGGACTTTTATAAAGCCTTTTGGATATTAAGCATACTTATAGCCGTATTTAAGAAACCATTATGTTTCGCACTCATGATACAAGTTTCGTTCTTAAGAGTTTAAATATGACAGGGTCACACAAGAAAGGTTCCAGTTTCTTAGAAGTCACCCTATAAGTTGACACAATAAAGAATTCTGGTTTCTATACAAAAAGTTGTATTCATTCCTACAATGTCTTTTATTACCAGGTCTTTATTGTGCCATGTGTGCCAACCGACCCTTATTCAATGTTCCCTAATATTTTACAAGGACGTCAATAGAAAGACTCAACAATTCAAGATACGGGTCCGAGGTCCCATAATATCGCGATTGATCTAATAAGGGGCATTTAATATGAATAAAATTGGTACCACATTACCCCACTAGTTTATGATACGTTCATCGTAGTCTCAGTTACAGTACAGCAAAGGCAGTCATCTTTATTATAATATTTTATTCTTAATTATTTTAAAGAGGCTACTACCAGCTTATGAGCTCTATAAAAAAAAATAGTAAACGGACTAAAAATCTCTAACATACCTATTATGACATTTTTTATTCCCTAATGTCGTATTCGTTGGTTACCTAAAACCTTTTGAGGTCTTGTAAATTTATTATTATGCATCACACGTATGTAATACGCGTGGGAATAGGACCTGGTGAATTAGCGAATCATTGCGTCAATATACCAGCATCGGGTCAAAAAATTTATAGTACGAAAATGATTGTATTTAATCAATGAAAGTCTGTTTATTTAAAAAAAGTTGGAAATATGCTTTCGCTTGGATATTAGAATGTATCCCGAATACTGAAATACGACACATTATATTACTAAGATCCCTATACAGTCTGCCATAAGGGACTGCATTCCTTACTATCATTACACTACATTGAACATCTTTATACTCAAGATGCCTACTAAATTTTAATTTTGACAATGATTAACAAAACTTTGCATAACTGGCCATGTAGGTATGAATATGATGCACCCCTTTTAATTGCCAAATCTCAGCCGCTAAAAGCAAAGCGAGGGTTGATACTCGTTACACCGGCTTAAAAAGGATGACCTAGGGGTGTAATTAGGGTTGGCAAGGTAGACAGGGGAATCTAAATTTGGAAGGGGAACTCCCGGGGGTTCGCTATAAATCAATAATCTGGCAGCAGGGTGTTCTGGTGAATCCATTCCGATGCTATACCTATACCAGAAATTATAGCTAGAATACACTTATCGTCTAGGAATGTGTGATTGTGTACAAATAGCAACGGAAGGTTATCAAAACATCAGTTACTATGGTTAAGTTGATAGTAGGTACACCTAGTTAATACAGAAACTTCATAACTCCCCACGTGGAGAGTTGATTGGATTACATTATTTGCTTGCAACCACTTGCAAGATACTTGGTGACATCACTCGTTACATTATGGTTACAACAAGCACGTATAAACATACATGTTACCGTACATGTTATCGTGGTTGTAGCCATATACAGGGTGGAATTTTGTAATGCCACCTGGAGGGAAAGTACTCATAATACTGTAGATAGAAAATTTTACTAAAAGAAAACATCCTTTATTTTTGAAAAGAAAGAGAACTTCATTCAAAGATTTTCTAAAATTTTTGGAAAATTCACCACCAAACCATAAAATTTTCTGTAAATAATTAAAATAATTTTAGATTTCATTTATCAAGTTTGTTAGAGAGATTTCATCCTTATACTTAACCCTAACGATCGATGCATTAGGCTAGTTGCCTAAAAAAATTTTTTTAGTCCGTAATGTTTAATATCAAAAAATATTGGACACATATATTTTTATTTGTCAATCTAACAAATAATTACATAGTTATGGTGCGTTGAAGTTGCGCACGACGTCACAACGTGCGGCATTTTTAAGCAAGCGTTGACGTCACGGGCCTCTTCTTATGAACTTTGGGGCGCTTTATCTCTTTAAATTTTCATTAGTTTGAAAAAGTGAAAAATACGTGTAGAGTATTTTTTGATAAGTTAACTGACGGACTAATTAAAACTCTTGCTTTTTGACCCAGGCAACATCCCCATTGTAGTTAGTTCTATTCCCGGGTGTGGCAAGCAAATTTTTAGAAATCTTTGAAGGCAGTTCTATTTCTTTTTCTAAATTAAGGAATGTTTCCTTTTAGTAAAATTTTCTATCTACCGTATTAGGAATACTTTCCCTCCAGGTAGCATTACAAAATTCCACCGTGTATAAAATAAGTTCACATTGATCGAATGTTGTATGAAATCCTTATAAAGCGCTATCGATGTTGGGTGTCTCGCCGCACTAACAACGGGGTATTGATTGTAATGCACCGACTGATAGAGCTAATAATATCACTCAATGGTTTGTAATGTCTGTCATTATTGGTATCGTCGGGCAATTTTGTCTTTTTATACGCTTGGCACGCTTAGATTTTGATGGTAAAGCGTTTAAAATCAAACTGAACATAATTCAACTTCACCTTTAAATGATAATAATATTTGGTATTCATTGTATTCCGATATATTATGTTGATGCTATTTATAAAAAAACTAGCTGACCCGGCGAACTTTGTTCCGCCTTAATGGCAATAAATAAGCAGACTTTTTTTTTATTTCGAACGGGATAAAAAGTATCCTATGTCCTTCTCCTGGCTCTAAACTACCTCCCTGACAATTTTCACCTAAATCGGTTCAGCCGTTCTTGAGTTATAAGCGAAGTAACTAACACGACTTTCTTTTATATATATAAGATTAATGTGTCGTTTCAATAAGCAATTTGGTCTTTGGGTATGAGTTCTCCTACCTACTCAATTCCGTCTATCAAAGATTTCTTCACAATAAAATTCGTCCCCTGCGGGATACGAACCTGCAACTGCACTGTGAATCACAGGCCAGACGTGAGTCGTTATTACGTTTAATATTAAAGTTAAGTGGAATCTGCCAGTAACACTGTTGGGGCAACTTACTTCGCCTAGTTCAAAGGATGGCGTAACTCGGTTAAAATGGCGTAGCTTCCTACCCTCAGGGACACCGTTTGTTTAACGGCAATTTCCGGGACTACGTCGGCGTTTTGTAGATTACTAATTCAATACTCGGCGGGCGTGTGAACTAGAGTCAAAGTTATCGGAATCCTGTTTAGGGTTCGTTACGGAATAAATTCATTATTTCTATAACATGGATAAAGGCCTTTAGGTACCTAGAGACTCATTAGAAGCGTGAATAGTTAATATTAATAGAAAGATTAATAGAGCATAGATAGATAGTAAGCGCACGAAAAGTGAGGCAACTTTTAGTAGATCATTCTGGTCCACTTGAAACTTTCTGTTTTAATAAAATGTCTTATTATTAACAAACAATAACATTTAATGTGGATACAAATCTCTCGATTTCGAAAAAATCGCCTTAATTTAAACATTTTTAACAACGTTTTGACAGTAACGACATAAGATTTTTGCCTCACTTTTGACGAAGCGTTTATATGAAGACTAGAACATCTAGACTTTACTAATCTAAGTTAATATTTAGCTATGATATGCAGAAATCGCCTTGTTTAACTGGACCATGCGCAAGTCGTCTATTATAATTAGATATTTCGTAGTTAGGTCCCTACAAATTACAAATATAAAATCAGATTTTCTCCAATCAAATCAAATTCTTACTATTATTGCAGCACCTACTGTAAAGGGTCTTTATGCGCTGCTAGCTTGATCCACAGGATTAATAAACGTTCCAAATATAGCCTGCCCTGCCACCACATCGGCAAACATTATCGTGGGTCGAATCACGAAAAGGCGTAACTGATTTTTATCAATTTTACAGGAGCGACGTGTAAAGATAATTTGAAGCATGGAAAAATGCATTTCGCTTCTTTCGCAAAAATGCTTTTTACCTGTCAATACACACACGCACTTCTTGAAAAATAATTCAGTTACGATCTTTTGTGAAGTTTTTTTAATAACATGTGTATTTAACTCAATATCGCGATTTTGTTAAATACGCCTTTTCGTGATTCGACCCAAATATCGTGTGTGCTATCGAGTACTGTCCACACCAATCGATACTATATTTTTAGATCGGCACCTCCATCATGTACATCGGGCTGACGCTGACGTACGCCAGCAGTTTCCAGATGTTCAGGGGCTCCATAATCGTATTTGTGGCTGTCTTATCCATGACCTTCCTCGACCGCGTCGTGGTCAAGCGCGAGTGGGCCGGCATAGGTGAGCATTTGATTTTGATGGGTTACCTACGTGAGTGCGACAAACGTTACATCGAATTTTGTTTATTCGAAAACCTTTCTGCTAAGTTACTATACTGCGACACCTTGTTATATCGATGCCTTGTTACTGCAATGTTACGTTACATCGAGAAACTTTACTGCGAACGATTTTATAGTCGTATTTTATAATTTATTTATATTTATGTTTCTATTCTTATGTTATTTAATCAAGGATTTAACTGTTAAATATATGTAATCTATACTTATAATAAATCTGTAGAGAGGTCAATTCTGTACATTAAATATATTTTCAAAATAACTATCAGGGGGTGATTAGTGATCGATACTGATGCCAAAAATGCAATCAGTAAAATTTTTGTCTGTCTGTCTGTCTTTCTGTCTGTCTGTCTGTCTGTCTGTCTGTATGTTCCTTATAGAAACAAAAACTACTCGACGGATTTTAACGAAACTTAGTACAATTATTCTTCATACTCCTGGGCAGGTTATAGTATACTTAGGAATTCCCACGGGAACGGGAGTTAGCGGGAAATAACTTTTGTATGAAAAAATCTAAACCGCTTAAGTTAGACGCTTAAAATTTAGCATGCAGGTATCTTAGTCAACTTAAAGCTTAGTTACAACAGGATATTGCAAAATTTCCACGGGAACGGGAGTTAGCGGGAAAAAACATTTGTATGACAAAATCTAAACCGCGTAAGATAGAAGAAGGGGGTAAACGGGATCCACGCGTACGAAGTCGCGGGCGGCCGCTAGTAAGTAAATAAAATGTAATGTATTTATAATCTTATTTCATCTATAATGTTGTACCGCCCACTTTATTCTATGTATGTGTATGTAATTTAATTTTTTTTATCTATCTGCTAAGTCAAATAAAAAAGGCTTCGCAGTAAAATCGTTCGCAGTAAAGTTTTTCGATGTAACGTAACATCGCAGTAACTAGGCATCGATATAACAAGGCGTCGCAGTATAATAACTTCGCAGAAAGGTTTTCGAAGAAACAAAATTCGATGTAACGTTTGTCACACTCACGTAGGTAACCCGATATACCAGACCAATTTTATTACTTGCTGACAAAGTTCCAGATAGTAAATAAATATACAAATCAAAGTTGTACTTTATCTGACAGATAAGTTTCTGATAGCTTATCAGGGACTTTAGTACTAGTAGACTTCCGCAAGTAGTGAAACAATTTGAATTATAAAATCATCAATGTACTTAGCTGACTATAAAACATTTTCACAAATGTTTTGAAATTCCAATATCCGTTGTTTTACCGGTTACCTAATTGGCGATTTTTATTTTTTATATCAATGTTGTTAAAATGTATTGTTTCCATTAATTTGTGTAATCGTGTTGCATGACTGTGTTCCGTGTAATCTCTGCTAGCGAAAATGTTGTTTTATCCCCCAAAGCACAGCAATATGCGAATTTACATTTACTTTGCTTTTTTACCCAAGCGAATGGTTTGTATTTTTTATTATTTTGTCAAGTAGGTACTTTATCATGTCTTAACACAATAGAGCTTTGTAGTTGAAGTAAATAGTAACAATCGACTCATTATTAATGAAAAATGGTACGACTGAACGACAACAACAATAAACCGTGAACATACATAGAGTGGAATTTAAAATGAAACACTGGGATGTTTTTCAAGATACCAGAATTTTATGTTTTAAAGGAATGTAGCTAAAATAGTTATGTTAGTAAGGTAAAGTCACCAGTCATGGACCAGTAGGTACCTGTATTTTTGTGTTTTTCTTAGTTGGGCTTTAAAGTGAAAAAAAAACCCAGTCAGTTTAACTTACATTATTATTACAAATGGCTTCATGGTATCAAATAGTGGCATGAATCACTAGTTCAGAGTTCGGTTTCCGCGGGTCTTGGCTTGTTTATACGCCGCTACTCGGAACAGGCGTAGCATCCAAAACATCGTACGATGCCGAACAAAACACTGTATCAAAACACGCTCGTGCAGCGAAAACTGAGATGGAATCAATACGCAGCCTTAACAGTATGCCCCATATCGTCGGGGTTATAAATTTTGAAATATTTGTTTGTCTCGAAGCGCTGTTGGGGCCCAAATAATACGGGGCAAAATATATATTTTTGATGTTCATACGGGTTAAAATTGTATAAATATTTTTGATTTGATTTGAATGACGATCGAAGGATAGGTTTACAAAAATGAATTCTCGATACATGGGAAAAGATTCCACCATTCGTCGATAGTTAATTAGAAGGTTAGATGATATATCCTTCCTACCCTTTTAGAGAAAAATTCCGTAACGTCATAACAACATAATAGGTATTTCACACGGTTCACACCGCGTACCCTCGCAAATCTATCAGAGCCGCCCATTATAGTATTTTGCATTATTGCTTTGTCCTAGCTGTCCCCGCCAATTGACATTCATTAAAACGCGTCGTTGCAGCCTGCACGTACCTACTGCATACAGTACGCTCGTATAAAATGAAATGATTCATGACCTCTATAATATAATATTAAATCTGGGGTGAACACACAGATACAGTTTGTCGGTGAATCATCATACAACACAGTTGAACACAGCTGTTTGCAACTCGTGTTACCAATAATTTATTATATGTATAAAAATGAATCGCAAAATGTGTTGGTAAGCGCATAACTCAACAACGCTTGGACCGATTTCCTTTTTTTAATGTTCGTTGAAGTCCAAAGATGGTTTTTTTTACGGCGAGAAAAGTTCGAAAAATTTCCGGGAAACCCCTAAAAATACACAAAACTTCACTCCTAAGGGGGTAAAACGGGGTCGACGCGTACGAAGTCGCGGGCGGCCGTTAGTTGTAAATAAAAGTACTGTGTACCAGAAAACGAAATGGTTGCAGATAATGAGCTATGACTGCTGCGTGGAATTTTAACACGTATTCAATATTTACTATTATGGTGAATCAGAAATTCTTTTCAGAGTCTGCTATTTCTATCACGGTAAATCGGTAAATCAAGGTAGATTTAACAATTAAATGTACATAGTTAGGTAATTATGAGAACATTAAAAATAAAATCATTCAGTACGAGATAAGGCCACTTGTAATGGTAATATTATCCCCAAAACTAATTATGAAAAGCGGCGATTGCCGAACGGTGAAGGTGTCTGCTGACTGGCCAACTCGTGATCCGAGGAACGCCGGTTCGATCCCCGCCTAAGCATATTTAGCTTACCAAGCACGGGATTATAGTGTTTCGTATTTACAAGTTGCTAAAATTTTTCGAAAAACATAATTATTATTGTGAAATGCCACAGAAAATAATACAATCTAGTGCTAAAGGCATTGTCAATTTGATTATTGTAAGGGGTAATATTTCGCACTATTGACTCCTGCAAATAATTATTTTTATTTCACCTTGCAAAGCATCGCTGTTGCTGTGTTTATCATGCATGCTGTTTCTACATTCTGTATTAATTTCAATCGTGAAGGAAAGTGTGGGAGACGATAAAAAAGGCTGTGAACAATAATTTGCTTCAGGCCTGGTGATCCTCGGGCTACTGATAGTGGGAGGCACAGATGCCCTGTTCCAATCGGCAGGGGAGTCCAAAGGAAGGAACAGCCTCATCACCGGAGACCTGCTCATCATAGTAGCGCAGGTCGTGTCGGCCTGCCAGATGGTGTATGAAGAGAAATACGTCGCTGGTAAGTTAGGCCCAGAACAGACGGTGAAACGCAACTGCAACGAAACTGCAACTTTCTGATGATTCTGATGAATGAAACTGAAACTGAAAGTTTCAAACTGGTCGCGTCATGCGTGGTCTCTCAACGGACGCTATGGCAGAAACTTAGATGCAACTCAAAAGTAACTAGCAGTTGCAGTTGCGTTTCACCGTCTGTTCTGGGCCTTACAGAAACTAGCTGGGTCATTTATACGTACCTACATATTACGTACACGAGACTATTTTCACCCCTCGTTCTCACCGCTGCAACTCCTGTGTAGCCAAGATCTACAACTTGATCGCCAATTAAAACCCTACCAATGGAGGTCAAGTTTATCCCGGTATAAAAGTTAAATACCGTACCTTAACAGTGTTTCAAAAGTTCGGGCAATTCGACCATTGTTTCCATTGGTACACCAACATTGGGCAATTTCAGTATAAATAGAAATTATGTCGCTGGTGAGTCACAAAAAGTAGCCGGATCATTAATATTACAGTGTTTCAAGTCTGGTTTGACAAATACCACTATTGATTCCATTTGTATTCCAACTTTAGGCAATGCCACTATTGTTGGCATACTTACATACATACTTTGAGAAATGTCACTCACTATTGATTACGTTTGTATACCAACTTTGGTAATTTCATTTGTTTACCAATCTTCACTCGTGAGGGTTTCAAAAAGTACGATTCGCCTGTCCATTTAAGCTATCCTGAAATAATTGACAATCAATGGGTTCCATCTCTGACAAATAATAGCATATAAGTCAAGCTATCTTCGTAATATTAACTTTTATCAAAATTGGTTCTGCTATTAAGGCGTTTAAACTAAAAAAATAAAACCCGACAGTTTCATTCGCATTATTAGAATAGACTAGACTAGAACTAAAGGTAATTTAAGTACGAGCTATAAAGGAACATCAGATGAGCTAAAGATATTTTGTCCAGTTGAGGAAAGTAGAAGGTAATTGACCAACTCGACCGTCAGATGTTATCACGGTACATGGCCTCCGACCGGGGTTAATGACTGATAAGGTCTCTGGCACACCTCCGCAAAACCATGACAGTAAATCCCAGACCTTACACATAATATCTGCGTTGGTTTTATCAAACCGAATCTGATGATGGTAGTCAGCCATTTTTGGCTTATTCCACTATTCCCCGTTGACAATCCCCGTCAACGAGTAATAGTGAAGTTTTTGTTCACTATTCCTCGATAAATTAGGATTTTATTTTTAACATTATAAGCTTCAATGAGGATCATTTCGATTTTTAGCTGTGAATGCAGATTTATAGGGCTAAGAAATCCTTAATACACAGTCCAAAAATTTTTGTTCTACGACAAAAATTAACGAAGTTATGGCCAAATTACTAAAAAAGTTCACTGACCGCCCGGCGCGGGGACGATGACGTCATTATATCCGATCCGAACGCTGCCGGCTTACTGCGTGGATAGAAAATATTTTTTTCTAGCCAAACTATCAGTTTTAGAGAAANAATATTTAAAATTTAAAACAAGCATCCTTTTTATGTTTCAACTGTTTCACAAAGATTTCAATGAGAGTTTTTGATAGACTTTTTGATGTCAATTATTGCATATTCTTTTAGCTGTCGAACGAATTTACTTTACTTTTATGCTTATAGGTCCTGTACATCGGAAGATATTGCTAAATTAATTAATACACCCAGACACAGAAACCAAAAAACTGCAATTTTTAAAAGTAGGCCCTACTCGAACAAAAATTGGCACTTTAAACTTTAATCATTTGCAAACGGATCCCTAAAAGGAAAAATAGTCTTAGAAACCCCTAAACCAAAAAGTCATATCTAACGATACCCCACACGATGAGGTAGATGAAAAAAATCATCCCCACTACATGTAGGGGAGCTACCCTAAAAAAAATTTTTTTTTTCAAAATTTTATTTTGTTTTTTTTTTGTCGGCGTGATTAATAAACATACCTCCACAAAATAACAGCTCTCTCTCTATTCTCAATAGTTTCCAAGCAAAACCTCGGACAGACCGACAGACATATCGAAACTATACTCAACATGAAATAAACCGCACCTTCCGCGACGCGAACTTTAAAGATTTTCTTCTGACACAATCACAGTGCCCCAACTATATTGGTGTTATTTGAAAGCCCAATAAATATCCTTAAAGAAAATAACATTTAATTTCTTAGTAAATGATTAACATATACCATAAATGTGACTTAAAAAAAGACCTCACTTTGAGCTCACCTCTGGGATCAATAAGACCATTTTTTATGGTAATAAAACCAAATAATGATCACACGTGTCCTCTTTAACAGATGGATAGCGATAGATCCCAAGCCCAACTTAACAGTTTTATAGCCATAAAAGTTGGCTCAAGCGTAACTACCTTTTTTTTAAGTGACTCTGGATCCTTCTAAAGACACATTTTTGGGGTAAAAACCTTTCCTTTAATGAAATGAAGTTTAGAACTAGGCTTTTAAATGGTGCCAATATTGGTGTGAAATGGGGATGCCTACGTTTGAAAGTGCTTGTCGCGGGAGGTGCGATTTATTTGATGTCGAGTGTATAAGGGTTCCTTGACAGGACTACGGAACCCTAAAAATGATGCTTGTTTTAAATTTTTCAATGGTATAAAAAAAATAGACCGTGAACATACCTTTTTTTCCACTTTTTAGATGCACTAGTCATTTATTACCTAGTTTAAAATTTTAAGGGCTTGAAATTTGAATTTGGCTGTTTAACTAACAATTTATCACGAATCCTTTAACTAAAAACAGATTGTTAAATATCACTATAGATTGGGCGAGTTATACCCTAGTGATTTTACAGGTATTATCTGGCCCGGACCTTCGGACGAGATGAAGACTAGTATTTAAAAAAGTTATTAACTGGTCCGCGGACCAGATTTTCGGTGGGCCAGATAATACCTAACCCGATTTTACGAGGACAGTAGTACGAACACGGTAAAGAGAAGAAATTATTTACGGATTGAGAATGAGGATCATTTCGATTTTTAGCTGTGAATGCAGATTTATAGGGCTAAGAAATCCTTAATACACAGTCCAAAAATTTTTGTTCTACGACAAAAATTGACGAAGTTATGGCCAAATTACTAAAAAAGTTCACTGACCGCCCGGCGCGGGGACGATGACGTCATTATATCCGATCCGAACGCTGCCGGCGTACTGCGTGGATAGAAAATATTTTTTTCTAGCCAAACTATCAGTTTTAGAGAAAAACTTGTAATGACATTTATTCATCAGAATAAAGTAAGCTATCGATAGGTAATTTTTTAAAATAGAAATTGTGAAAAATATCGCAAAAAATCCATACGCTCATACGATTCAATGGAACGCAGAGACGCGATTGGGTTCTCCGCGGTGGTATATTTGGCGATTTATTCAAATGAAATGTTCTTAAGTGTTTTCTTCTTCCAAGTAAAATATAAAAATGTATAAGTATTAATTTATTTACTTGTAACAATAAGGTATAGCTAAGGCAGATACACTCTGCCTAGAGCTAGAGCTTAATCGAGCGTGTGTGTGCAAACAATTTAGGCCCTTAAGGTGTCAAGGCGTTCGAGTCCCCGATAGTACCTACCTATCTATTCGCAGTTCCCATGGGCGGACCAGCTGCTGCAGGAAAGGACAGCTGCTCCCCCTGGAAATCTATTTAATCTTAGCCTAGAAGCTGGGTATGACTCCCCCGCCCCCCTCCTCTCCCCAGGTCATAAGCTGGGCATGACTTCCCCCTCGGCCAGAAGTTGGGTATGATTTATTTATTTTGATGAATAAATGTTATTAAAAGTTTTTTTCTAAAACTGATAGTTTAGCTGGAAAAAAATATTTTCCATCCCAATAGTACGCCGGCTGCGCTCGATTCGGATATAGTGACGTCACGCGGCCCTGCGTACGTTGACTTTTAGCGGCAAAAACGGTCTATGTTTATTACTTAATATCTTCGTAAGTAATGGTCCGATTTGGATAATTCAAAAAGATATATCTTTCTTATGTCTTAAAGATTAACGTAGATACTAGTTTTATTGAATTTTCTACAACAGTACTGATCCTCATTGGCGTTAACGGGGAATAGTGAACAAAAAGTTCACTAATCCCCGTTGACGGGGATTGTCAATGGGGAATAGTGAAATAAGCCTCATTTTTCGTAGTTACCCAATATTTTCTTAATTGATTTAAAAGCTAAAAAATAGTTCAATAAGAGGCCACGAAATCCCGGAATGAGTTGCGAAAATGTCAGACAACCTCAAAAATATCAGAATATTTTCATTAACTCGAAAATAATAAAATATTCTGACATTTAAATAGTACAGGGTGTGTTAGAAAAATAAACGAACATGGAACTTCATATATGCCCGAATCATACATGAATATATTCGTACACCTAACTAACTACGTAAAAATACCTCCCCATTTAATTTAATATGTAGCTAACATATCGATTCTTTCTTCATTGCAAACGTCAACCTCTTCAGGTCTAAACATCCCGCCGCTGCAAGCCGTGGGTTGGGAAGGCGTGTTTGGGTTCTCGGTGCTGTCAATGCTCCTGGTGGTATTCTATTGGATCCCAGCGCCGCCGCACTTTGGGCACAACGCTCGTGGGACAGTCGAGGATGCTATAGATGGATTGGTGCAGATCGGTGAGTGACGACGGTATTTTATTTAACTTACTAGCTTTCCCGCAGCTCATCCTCATCCTCACAAACTTTCGCATTTATAATATCAATAGGATAATCCTCCTGAATTCCCACAATAGACAGCCCTTTAGGAAAAAAAGTTGTGAGATATTCTGACGGATTCCCGAACTACTCAGCTCACGCGGTCCAGTAGAATATGGACTTATAATTATAAGGCTATCTTGTCTGCGCTAGATAGAGCGCCATTTAGAAACCTGACTCTGAGACGACTTATCGCAGAAAAAAATGATGATCGTGAATATCGTGATCATTTGCTTACGAGGTTTGAGTTAAATAAGTCATCCATACTTTTGATTGAGTCAATATGATCAATAAAAATAACTAAATATCACCAAAAAGCGACCGTTATCGGTACATCCTTGGTAGTAACAGGCCTGTTCATCTCCGCGAGTTTACATCGAAAACAAAACACGCACGATGGCCCACCTACAGGATACTATTCGACAAGGCCTCACATACGAGCGAACACTGACGCACGCACGCGTATTCTTGTGTATGATGGAAGAAAATAAAGAAAATGGTGTACTAAATACTGTGTAGTATTTAAATGCCTAAATAATAATAAAAACACAGAATGTGCTTTTTTAAGTTGCATCAAGACACTGATAGGCAAATAAGTAGTTAATATTATTCATGATAATTCATGCTAAATCATGTATTTCCTCCGCCATTTTCCGCAGTTTGGCACCACACGTCACATCATTTTACCGAAGTCAGCCCTATAGCTTCGGCGCAGTGCCGATCACTGACGTTTGTCAACAAAATGGTGCTTGACTCTTGAGACAGGCTAAATTAACCCTTATTTTCCTGTGTACCCTTGGCTGTTCCCTTGATGGTACAGTGGAAAATAAATTTTAACCGCTGTACCCTTGGCCGTAAAACCCAACCAACTTAAATTGTACACGTGATCAAGAGGACTAGCTTTTCTTGAATTTGGCCAAAAAACAAAAACAAATGAACATCGATAAAAACAAATGAAGTAACATGGATGTAGATAAAAGTAAAACCTAATTAAGGTAAGTGCCCCCTACTTCGGTATATTAAGGCTCTGACGAATTTNCATCAAAATATTATTCATAATATCCTTGATTCGGTAGTATCACGAAACAGGGGACACCCGAAAAATAATATGTACGCTATTTCGTGAGTCAATTAATCGCAATTTTAAAGGAATTCTACGTTTTCATATAACTTTTTTCTAAGCCAAATCAATTGTCAAGGAACACATGAAACCACTATTACAAGTTTTATGCAAATGGACGTTTCTTCGCCTTTCTATAAGCTTAAGAAGTTGGAGCGCTAACCTTACGGTGAGAGCAACATTTTCACGCCGCGCGACTGTTTTTGGCTCTCTGAGAGTTTGAAGCTTTGTATTGCTCTCATTTTTGGCGCCACAATGTTGGTACTTGGTTTTTTAGATACTTTGAATAATAGAGTTTTTGTAGTAATAAAGAATTTTTATAAATAATATTCCATTTGCTTATTATTTGAGCTAGAAAAAAAACTTACGAACTTACGTACTATCACGAACTAGTAGCCGTTTACCTTATAATTAATTAAGTACATAGAATAAAGACAATATTATGCCATTTTCCTGTACCACTTCTGAAATGTCAAAATTGTATTACTGTCGATCGTCATGTAACAATACCGCCATTCCTCTCAATAAAACAAGGTATATCATCGTCAATGCAATTAGCTTCCATGATAAAATTCACAAAAATATTGTAAAATCAGTTATCAAATAACATTCACAGGGACAATTGCGCAGAAGAATAATCTCAAGATACCATATTTCTTTTTCAGAATAATAAAATTAGCCAAGTGCGTGTCGTGCCACGTGCAATGTATGGTTCCGTAGTTGTCCGTCGTTAACACAATATATTTCAGAAAAACCAAGCAATTACTTCATCTAAAGTCACTTTTAATATTTTCTTCTAAGGAATTTTCACTAGTAAAGAAATTTTATAATACATGAGTTAAATGACTATTACTCTAAAAAGAAACGGTTACATTAAAGAGGTTCAATATCAATCCTAAAATAGGTACAGGATTACACTTAAAATGGAAAACTATAGTCTCAATCTCATTAAACATAGGTAAATACTAAATCCTCCTAACTTACGAAGTTTGACCTTTCATCATCAGCTCACCAAAAAACCTGAAGTAATACAACTGTATGAACATACGTACCTAAAATATTTAAAGAGTTATTCTCCAACTCCTAACCGTTAAGGAGTTTTACCTTCCATCGTCACCTCATCAACATTAATTGATGACTACCAGATGCATATATTTGAATATCTTTAGAATAAATATGAAAAACGATATACGTGCCTATAAAATTTAAGGGTTACCCTCGATTTCCCTAGGATCCCATCATCAGATCCTGACTTGGTGACAATGGGACCACCTCAGAACCTATCGAACAAAAAAAAAGAATTTTGAAAATCGGTTCACAATTGAGGAGTAATCGGTGAATATAAATAGAAAAAAAAAACATTACACACAGCCGAACATAATTATAACCTCCTCCTTTTTTGAAGTCGGTTAAAAATGGCGTAATATTATCTTTATTCTATGTACTTAATTAATTATAATTAGGTTTTAATTTTATTTACATCCATGTTACTTCATTTGTTTTTATCGATGTTCATTTGTTTTTGTTTTTTGGCCAAATTCAAGAAAAGCTAGTCCTCTTGATCACGTGTACAATTTAAGTTGGTTGGGTTTTACGGCCAAGGGTACAGCGGTTAAAATTTATTTTCCACTGTACCATCAAGGGAACAGCCAAGGGTACACAGGAAAATAAGGGTAAATTCCAAACCATATTGTTAATATTTTTTAAATACCTTCGCGAAGTAAAACTTCTGTACGTAGTACTTATTATTATTCTGTGGTAGTAACAACAAACCGGCGCTATTATTACTGCCCATTAAAATCATACCAGCCTTTTGGAAATAACTGCATTTCAAATACGGTAAAGTAGAATCATCATTAATACGATTTTATGACATTACAGGTAACAGCGCAATACTGATGGCGGCCATAATAGGCACCATCGTCTCCATCGCGTTCTTCAACTTCGCTGGCATCAGCGTCACCAAGGAAATGTCTGCCACTACTCGAATGGTTTTGGACTCTGTTAGGTAAGTTTTGTTACGTACTTAATTGATATCGTTCGTTCGTTTCAGCCAAATGACGTCCACTGTTAGACTAAGGCCTCCCCCAAGGATTTTCATAACGACCGGACTGCGCTGCCCGCATCCAGACTCTTCCCGCGACCTTCACCAGATCGTCAGTCCACCTAGTGGAGGGCCTACCCACGCTACGTCTTCGGCTCGTGGGTGCCACTCGAGAACTTTTCTGCCCCACCGGTCATCATCTCTACGAGCTTGGGGTCATTGGACAAAATTCTACGTGCTCACAGACCGGGCTTTAGACGACTCACCCAACTCTCTCGGCCTAGAATAATTTTACTATCTCGCCCGTCCACTCGGTAGGTGTGATCAAGGCAATGCTGCTAACATAAGAAACGTGACGTTAAGTTACACATCCACCATTCGCTATCTCCAGGACGCTGGTCATCTGGATGGTGTCGCTCGCGGTCAAATGGCAGGACTTCCACTGGCAGCACCTGATCGGCTTCGCCGTGCTCATCCTCGGCATGGCGCAGTACAACGGCATCGTCCCCAAGGTGAGCTGCCGGCGCCAGGCCGAGGCCACGGAGCCCGAGACCGAGGCCGTCAACCCGGTGGCCGCGGCCGCCGACCCGGAGGCCTAGGGCTCACCTGCCGTGGCCATCCCGCCGGTCCCCACGCCGCCAGGCGCCTGACAGTCGAGCGGGGTGGTGTGTTGGAACTCGATTCCTTCCATCCCCCCCACGCCGCTTCTCAGCGATTCCTCAGTGGACACCGTCTCACAAATGTCCTCAGATATCTGCTTGTCAGTGGAGTAAACTGCCCATCATCGGCGACCGGCGACTGTATACGACCGCGCGACCGATGCGAGTATTCTTATGCTCCCATACACAATATATTGTTTCCTAAACGAAACATTTGCGTGTCTTTAAGAAGAATACAATTCATGGGACCCAAAGGAAACTTGCAGCTACAAGGATATTTTCGTTCTTCAAAGGCAACGGCTTCTAATGTGCAATAGTGACTGCTAACAAAAACACTTATAATTAAGTAGTGATTACCCTTTTAATGTTTATCTGTCTCAAACACAATCCTTGCAGTGTTTATCTACGAATTTATTGTATTTTCGATGGCTGTTCAGTAATTTCGTACCTATTAATCATTTATAATGGGTGTTTCAATTTTCAATATATGTTATCACTTCTATTGTAAGTAATGATACAACAAGTAACAATCTTGTAATATACATTTTGCCGAACAGATGTCAAAATGCTAATGTGAAAATACACTTAGTTTTAGTGAGGACCTAAGTATGTCCTGATTTATGTGAAATGAATTTAATAATTAAAGGCTCATGTTGAAAACTACTGTGAATGTCCAATATAGAATGTGATGGATGTAGATCATAAATATACCTATATATTTTTGTGCTAAGATTTGTAGAATTATTTAGATTTAAGTCATATTTATTCATACATATTAAATACTTATAAATAATGTCGTGATTGACATGTTTTTAATAACTTTTACTCGACAATACTATTCTTGATCTAGTATTTAAAAAAAATGATATTTTAATATTTGTATAATGAAGTGATTTATGAAAACATAAGTGAAACAAAATTAATTAATTGATACCAATTTGGCACAATAAGAGAAATCGTGATGATAATGTACAAATATGAGACTATTCATTTTTATATATTTCAAAAATAATATTATATCGCTTAGCATAGGGTAGCGATTAGCTACCCTGTAATATTTAAACGGAAATAATGGCTTACTTAAAAAAATCTAATATAAAGTCAAAAATACCGTATGTCATTAAAAGGTATCTAAATCATCGCCCTGAACTATTTTGTAACGTAAATCTGTTTACGTATAATATTTACTTCTTGACCATTAAATGGTTGCGCTATGTACAAACTACACCAAACATGGTTCTGATTGAACAGAATTTTTGTATACCTATCCTGTATTTGAATATTGTAATTTTAACGCCAGCAAAGGCTGATAATGTAAACATTTATAAACGAGGAAGGGGTAGGTAGGTTATAATAATGTATGTATGTTAGTACTTGGTTGGGATAATTCTATATACATAAGGTGTGCCTTGGGACGGATTTGCAATTGATTGTAAATAAAGACAATTAGTCTTACCAAGCGTCTAGACTTACGGCAAATTATTTGCCTCAAAAGTAATTTCTAAATTACCCCGAATATCGCGGGATTCCTGGCGCTCATGCGGTGTACCGAGCTATTGGTCTGCCAAATTGTGATAATGTAGTTGTCGTTGTAATTACTCCAAGAAAAAATGTTTTAACTACGTCAAATGTCCCAAATCTTAGAAAAATGGATTTCCACGTGTAAATACATACTTTGATTTAAATACATGCTTTGATTTCCCGACATAAGTAACTTTCATATCATAACTTTGAAATGGCATGATTATTAAAAACTGGAGAGAGAAAGACTCTGAGATATTTCCAAAAATACAAAAACCCGTGCCTTCTTGACTATTTATATTTCGGAAACCTTTAAGTCTTTCACACATCTCATTGTAATTTGCGACTGCTAATGTTGTAAAATTAAACCTTAATAATAACTTTACACCTTTCTAAATATAGTGAGATGATAGATCGTATGATTTGTAAGTCAGTCGGGAAAATTTTGTAAAAGTATTTATTAATATTTGATGGAAATAATGAATACAGGATAAAGTGTTAGTAATTAACTGATTACACGTAAACTATGTAATGATTCCTATTCCTATAATATAATAGATGTCCAAATGCTACATTTTTCCGGTGATCCTCTTAAAATTAATACAAGACCGGTCTTGGTAGGCCGGAAAGTAATGCAATGAGTGCCAACTGAGGTGCTAGAATGTTCGTAGTAGACACGAGAATGAATATGAGTACTGAAAATTCAAACTACCTACTATCTCACAAAACACAAGTACACTTAAAATCGGGTATAGATTATTTGCAACACAACATGTAATAGAAAATATGCATTAACAACTACGTGCGCGCGCACTCACAGAGTACTAAGCTGTCTTACGTGGCCATTAGCGACCAATCTAAGCCGCGAACAAGCAAACCAGGCGATTATTTTGAATTAAAGAATACGAGCAAAAACTACCGGAAACGGACGCACAGTAAATGCGCGTGCGCAAAGAAAACATATCTTCATCCCTACTTAATGCAATTAATCTCTACCTTGTTTAAGATATAATTAATTAAAGCCTATTTTCGTATGGTGACGTTTTCTCTTATAAAATTAGGATTACAGATACAAATTGGGGCAACGGAAACCCGCACAGGGTTTATTAGATTCTGTGCTATCAGCACAGTCGCAACTTAAAAATGCACATAAAAAGACGCGTGTAAAAATGGTCTTATGACGGTATAATATTTAAGTAGGTATATGATGATAAGTACTACTTTTCTATATGTATGTAACTTATGTGATATGTATGCATACTCAGTCTTAATTAGTAACTCAAAATACTGTAGAATCACCTCTAATTATCTCATTAGCAGTAAGTGCAACCAATATGATATTATCTCTTACCTATTTGTATGTATCTTCAGCAAAGTTGAGTCAGCGTGTAACATGCGGCTCAATTTCAACATAGTATATTTCTATATTTAGTGTATACAGGGTAGAGATGAAATTGTGACCAAGAATATTTTGTTTATCAATAACATAGTTTCGCACAAAACAATAAAAACTTCCTTGTCAATATTCGACTATGAATTCTTTATCGATTAAAACGTCCCCAACCTCCTGTAAATTATCTACCGGTTTATGATAAACTACTTTTTATTAGCATGCAGTTTCGTCTTAACTCCGTTTTAAACAAACATAATCGTATATTATTGGTAACTTTAGTGGTTATAACATACTATCTATATTCTCTAATAAGTATTCGGAAAATATACATTTCCACGATTTGCTCATTAAATTGGGTCGATTTGTAGATTTGTGAATGTGCTTGAAGCACTCTCACGCACGTGACAAATGCATATTTTATAATATTTGGTGTGTCGCTTAAATGTACTGAACTGAGTGCACACCACACCCTGTATACTTTAATGATATTAATGTATAATCTAACGTCTGTATGTGATATTCCAAAGTCCAAATTAAGGAATGTAAATCCTAGTGATAAAATATATTTTCGAGGAATATTGTATCACTGCATTTGAAATGATATATTATGATTGTAAAGTAACCTAATTGTATTTTATTAACTCAGTAGTGTGAGTGTAAGAAATAAGTGCTACCCTATACTGTACTGCCTGTGAATGCTACTAGAAATAATCGAATCTATTTGTGATGGTCCTAATAGGAAAATATTTAGTTTGCGTCCTAATCTCTTACTGAAATTATAACAATGTTAAGTTATACACTTTTCAGTCATATCACATCCCTTTAGAAGCAGAATATGCCCATTTTTCACACAAACAGGCCTACTTGATGTTACGATTATTTTTAGAAATGTTTACTTCTGAATTTTCTATGTTATGGTAAATTATAATGAATATCGGTGTCCAATAATAATCTAAATGTCAGTGGTATCTGTTGAAAAAAAAGAAACGACATATCCTTTTTAAGTATTTTTTAAACTAATAATACCTTTAATGTTTACCTACGTTCGTAAGCCATATTTTTTCTACTTCGTAAGGTATGTTATTGGTTATCGCGTATAAAATATATTATTTCAAGATAATTTTATTGTTTTGAAAAATTTAAACTTATTTGTTGTCTGTAACGAAATAATTTAACTTTTTTTAATAAAATATGTCGTCAAAATCATGCTGTTTGTATTTACGACTTTCTATTTACTTTTATATTATAACTTGGAACTTAGAAGTGACTAATAATAATAAAATACAGTGGTCGAATTTAAATTTGTATATTAAAACCGTTATTAACTATAAAAAAAAATCAACTATTGTCTACTCTAGTTATAGTAGCGTGAGCTAAGTTGGTTCCTTTTCCGGTTCAAGTTTCTTTCCATGAGCTGTAAATAAAAAAAAACATGTCAAAACAAAACGATAAACGCTAGGTTCGTACTCGTATTTGTGCAAGTCTCGCAGGGAATTCACCTTTTTCTACACAAAGCCTACTTGTTCACATACTTACATGATGTAGGCGACGAGCGACGTTTAATGTAGTGTGGCACTTAACTTGCCACTCTACTATAAGTATCTTTCGCTGTTACACATAAGCATGTCACTTGTGCTTATTCATGCCAGCCAAATGATTGCTCCAACATTCAAATTATTCTTTCTTCGCGACAGGACCAGAAGCATATTAGATATGGGGCCCGAACTAGAGGTCCCTCCACCTAAGCACGCTACGCCAGGACATACCTAACTTTACAGGCAATAGTCTTTAGTTTAGTGGTAAGACCACCTGCTTCAGACTTCCTGTTCGGTTTGGTTAGTAAGACCGACTGGCTAGCTACCACCGTGTTCATTCCGGCAGTTGGAGGTAGATAGCCAGTTCCTCTGATCATCACTTCTCGTCGTGTGATATAGACCAAGCGCTTCCTAAAAAGATTACCTATTCAATAATGAGGCATAGAAAAACTAACCCAGCATCTCTCCCTTTAGCCAGTAGAAGTATCTGATGGCAGAAATGTCCCTCTTGCCGGCTTCGTCGCGCAGATTCGCCTTGAGGGACTTCCTCAGCACTCTCGCGGCTATGTTCGAGTAGTTCACGTAGCTGGAGACAAGTTTAAGCTAGTTTAGTCTTTCTTATCTTCATACCCCCCCAGTCGAAGCCTATGTAAGGCTGCCGTTTAAACCATGTTTAAAAAGAGCGAGAGTTCTAGGTAACGTTAGAAATCAATGCAATAATATCAACAGAGAATAGGTGATGAAACTCTTAAGGTTTAGTTTAAGAATACGTTACTTCTCCTAAGTTTGGCATTATGAAAAAAACGAGGTCATTTTCTGTAATAGTAGTGTCAACGAAACGGTTGACCGTTTAACTTTAAACTTACAAATTAACATATTTCCTGTACACAAACGAAACAATAGTAAATTGGTGTGTAATAAAACAATGTGTCTAAAATTAGGAGCATGCTTCGCTGAATGCGATCTAAGGCTAGCCGCACATGTGGACTGCTCTAGACTGACAGCTCCATGCCTCCATGTATCCGGGTAGTCATAGTCATAAATGTTTATTGCATCATGTTGGTACATTTGGATCTTTTCTTTAATGCCGTCTCTCGTCGCACTTAAAGAAAACGACGAGCAATCCAAAGTTTTCTCTCAAAACTGCACACCACTTAAAAAAATGTCGCTGACCACATGAATATCTGCCCGTGTGTTCGCAGACTTACACTGGTTACAATTAGCTATGCTAATTAGTACTCCTGCTTAACATCTTCAGTTAAACAAATTGAAAAACAAACCAATGATGGCCTGGCTTGGTAGCGCGACTTATCGCCTCAGTGCGTCTCAGGTTCGATTCCAACTCCTTTTCTAATGTGCAGGGAGAGGATTATTAGGCACTGTGCAGGGAGAGCCCTAGTAGGAATACCTTACTACAACTAGGTACCTCACTCTAGAATTTATTTAATTATACAAATATTTACTTGAGGCCAACCATCCTCCACGTGCTCATGGTGAATTAAGGGTCACGGGCCTTCCATAAGATCTACGAAACTTCCACCATCAAGTGTATTTTTATCCACTAAAATCGTGTGTACACTTACAAAATGGATTTATAGACAGTGACAATAGTATGTCAATTGAAAAACTTATATGAATAACGTGGGTGGCCAGGATTTAAAAGTAAAAGGAGTACCTACATACTTATATCATATTATACCTATTTGTTGGTAGACAACACAGGGCAATACGCAATGAAATCCCTCGCGATGTCGCGAACAGTTATAATAACAAAAGCGCGGTTCAAATATATAAAAATAACTTGTTCAGAACAGAGCCGCAACATTTTTAACTTATTTAAAGCGACGATTGTGAAAACTTGGTTATTTCTTGGAAACTTTCCCAGTGAAATACTGAACTCCTGAAGGGTAAAAGGACAAGCATGCGCAATGCTCCCGACGGTCCTAACCCAAAAAATGTATCGAGGTCACCTTGACGACATCGTTTACCTAATTCTGCTTTTGTCGAGGCAAATACAAAGTATTTTTTATTTAATTATCAGTAAGTAAAACATTTTTAATGTAAAAAAATCGACCGCACAAGCCCTACATTTTCCATGGAATTACATTCCGTTTCATCATTTAGCGAGGGTTCAACGTTTAACTGCGCTGATTGCACCATACTCTTAGTGGTTACCTAAGTAATTCGGAGGCAATGTACGAACTTAGTCCTGGTTACGCATGGCGCACGGTGACCTTACTCTTGACCGAGAGCCGTGTCCTTCATTTGACCTTTCCGGTCTGGACTGTACCACCTTTACACGGCCTATTTATGGCTCCATTTTATTTACATCGCTGATGTTGCAGATTTGATGATAGGTACTGTATTGCTGTGAGTTTGCAATGTACAGACACTAATTTCTCTTTAAGAATCTCGGTTTGATTGATTTCAATGACTTCCGTGAAATGAACGGTTCATAAACTTTGTTGTTATTTTTTTAGAGTGCAGACCACAATCTGCTTCTTATTAAAACATCAGTATTGAATCTTAAACCAAAGTCGTCCTGCTACGGAGTAGATAGGTACGGCTATTAATATCCACTCCCCTTTGTACGGTACTTACAAAAGAAAAGTTTTTATTGCTGTAGGTAATTCAAAGACGAATAAAAACAACATTTTTTTGGTTTCCTCCTTACGCTACCATTTATTTTAAGGACTAAGTATTGTTTATAGAGATATGTAATGTAAGTAGGTAAAGTTATTTGACGTGCTACGAAAATAAATATGGTTACGTCATTATAAGGAAAATGCATTCATTTTTCAGTGATGGGATTCATCGGGTAGCTTAGGTTAGAGGTAATGTATTAAAATTTTCATTATGTCGCTTCTATAAATAGTTGCCTACCAAATCTTATTGTTGTGTGGTAGACATTTAAATTAGCAGCTTTACAACCTGTAATTTTAAAAAGGCTTATTACGCTTCTTAATAAGTAGGTAAGTGTTTTCCTTCTACGTCTACCTATTTAAGTTGTGTTCCCTAGAAACGTTTCTTCCACCCATTGCACAATACCGCCATTTCCCCACGTGCATTGCATCACGCGGTGAGCCTCCCGTGGCCGAGTGCGAGTGACTCGTCTCACGCAACACGGGGTAACCGGTTCGACGCTGCGCCATGTGAAGGCCACAGGAATGCTCGTATCTTTTGTTGACATAACAACCCTCACAAATAAAGGCATGGGCTCTATACACATAGCTAGGTACGTACTACGTAGTGCATTCAGGGCATACTTAGGCATGGTAGGTGTAAGCTTTTATGCGTTTTCTCGGCAGCTTAGGAATAGAGTTTGCATAATTAATTGCGTTAATTGCGAGTATGATAAAATTGTACGTATATTCGCTTTAAAATACATATCTTTTGCTTCATTATTATACAGGGTGTTTCTTGTAAGGTGTCAAGCCGAAAGCAGGTGATAGGTGAGGACTAGACCTATCGATTTCACCCCCATGTATGTTCTACGATTTTTCATAGTTTAGAAGTTATCGTTAATTTTGTGATTTTTTCAAATTGTATGACCCAGTAGGCTTTAAATTTTTTTATCTTTTTTTTGGGTCGACTTTTCTCAGATTTCTTTTTTTTTACAGATTCCCTATTAATTGCAGATTTTTGAAAAAAATAATCAACTTCCTATCTTTGATGCAAGATACAAAATTTTTGCTAGAAACATAAAAAATATGCTTTTAGCGGAACATTCTAAAATTTTCAACTTAAAGGTTTGAAAAAAAAAAGAACTTCCATAGGTCCAAAATAATTTTCAAAACTGCGCAGTTTTCTGAACTTTCATAATAACACAAAAAAACATGTACTTAATAGGCCATTATTTTCTGTAATCGCTCCACTAAAGTGGTAAGTCGGAGATTCTGTTACATGTTTTTGACTTTCTTAGGACTAACTAATGTTTGCAATTCTCTAAGTTTACGTTACGTAGAACACATTTAAAGACAATAACTGAACAGAACATTTTTTATCCACAACGAGGAATCTCTTGCCATTCATCTTACCTGATGGAAACTGATGGATGATCAGCGAGCTTCACTCGGAATCCTAAACCACAGAGGAATTGGCTGTCCTAAATAGGTGGCCTTACCACTAGACCACAGTGGTTGTTGTTACTTTACGATTAAATTCGATATACCTACATATTAGAGTGCGAGAGAAAGGGAAAGAGTTTGTGTGTGTGTGTGTGTGTGTGTGTGTGTGTGTGTGTGTGTGTGTGTGTGTGTGTGTGTGTGTGTGTGTGAGAGAGAGAGAGAGAGCAAAAATGGGTTGCATTTAAAGTAAATGTTCAAAATGTCCGCCGTTGACCTGATTGCACATTCGACAACGACGCAAAAAATTCTTTGTAAAACCTTCTTCTTCATTTTAATTTGGTTTTGTGCTTCAGTCAGCTTTGTCCGCAGTTCATCAATATTTTCATATTCCCTATTGTATACCAGATGAAGGGCAAGAGCTTCCTCGTTGTGGATAAAAAATGTTCTTTTCAGATATTGTTTCTAAATGTGTTCTACATAACGTAAACTTAAGGGATTGCAAACATTACTTAGTCCTAAGAAAGTCAAAAACATGTAACGAAATCTCCAACTTCCCACTTGAGTGGAGCGATTACAGAAAATAATGGCCTATTAAGTACATGTTTTTTTGTGTTATTATGAAAGTTCAGAAAACTGCGCAGTTTTGAAAATTATTTTGGACCTATGGAAGTTCTTTTTTTTTTCAAACCTTTAAGTTGAAAATTTTAGAATGTTCCGCTAAAAGCATATTTTTTATGTTTCTAGCAAAAATTTTGTATCTTGCATCAAAGATAGGAAGTTGATTATTTTTTCAAAAATCTGCAATTAATAGGGAATCTGTCAAAAAAAAGAAATCTGAGAAAAGTCGACCCAAAAAAAATATAAAAAAATTTAAAGCCTACTGGGTCATACAATTTGAAAAAATCACAAAATTAACGATAACTTCTAAACTATGAAAAATCGTAGAACATACATGGGGGTGAAATCGATAGGTCTAGTAATCACCTATCACCTGCCTTCGGCTTGACACCTTACAAGAAACACCCTGTATAACACCTGGTTGCTCGTGATTTCTCTTTACGATTCACTGGTTTTTGTACCTACCTAAGTGAAATGACCTAGTGGAGTGGTATTACCTAGTTATTTCTCAAGACTAGGCTGCAGAAAGCAGAAACTTAGTTTAGGTTTACTACTCTACTTGCTTATTCACGTAGTTGAGTAATTTTTGAAAGATGGTGTAATTTTATTTCTTTACATTCTCACGATTCCAACTAAGTACCTAGCTACTTTGTATCCAGGGCGTTTAACAGCGAAGTCAGCAAATAGGTTTAAATGTAATTTTTGTTTGTGAACATCTGCCTATTTTAATTTTCATGAAGCTTCTATTCTATTTTGAATTTAATTAAATTCACGAACAGAAACAACGCCATCCAATTATAATTCTGAAACACTCTAGGAATGCACTTCTCTTTCATGCGACGTGGGCGGCGATAACAGTTTTTCATGAATAAAGTTCATGTAATTTTGAGTATACTTACCTAATTAAATCAGAGTTAAGATGACTGAAGTGGGACGGAGTTTCAAACTATTCTACCGCTACTTTGGTATTCTTTCCAAGAATTGCTTGATTTATTTATTGACCTGCATAATGCAACAGAAATAAACATGGGAATAAAATTATTGTAGGGTAACTTATTATACAGGGTGACTGGAACTGAACCCGCCATAGCTAATAGGCGTATAGAGGTGGTCATTTGCTAATTATTGAACCTTACTTTCTATGGCTAAAGTTTTATAGTTTAGGAGATATGTCAATTTTTATACTTTTATCAGATTTTTCCGAAATTTGACCTAAAAACTGCTTCAATTTTTTTTCTCGCGTGATTTCAACAGTTTTTTTTATTTGATATTAATATCGAATATGCTGGAGATATTTTTAAGATTATTGGCAATCCATTATCACCATTAATTTTTGTTTCAATCGAATTTGAAGTAGAATTTTTTATCGTGGTTTGTACTTTTGTTGAACTTTGGCGGCTCGTAACTAGTTATTGAATCATTATCTAGATCTGAAATTTATTTTATTTGACTAAAGGTTTATTCGATATTAGTATCAAATAAAAAAATCGGTTAAAATCATGCGAGAAAAAAATTTTAAGCAGTTTTTAGGTCAAATTTCGGGAAAATCTGAAACAAGTATAAAAAATGTCATATCTCCTAAACTATAAAACTTTAGTCATAGAAAGTAAGATTCAGTAATTAGCAAATGACCTCCTCTATACGCGTATTAGCTATGGCGGGTTCAGTTCCAGTCACCCTGTATAATTAATCCTAATTAGTATGTAACCTTATTTTACGTTTCAGCAGCGTTTAACTTTTTCGAGAAATAAAACAAAAACAAAAAAACGTCACAAATCACTCGACATGACGTAACAATAGACACAAATCCACACAAATCAAAAAATAAAAATAATTAAGTATAAATGAATTCCTAGAAGTAAATCCGCATGTAGGTATTAGATTTCCGCGGATAGTTTGCGTGGTGGCGACAGAGAGGCCCGGCACGATGCGCCCGCTGCGGTACCTACAGTCTTTGGGGCGCAGCCTGTACTCGTTGACCAAGAGCCAAGTGCAGACCTCCCCGCCCATGGCCTTGCGTGACCCTAACATCATCTCGTCACCTCTGCCTACGCCACCGTCGCACAAGTCCCAGCCATTGCAATGTAAGTTTCTCTATCCTTTTTTCCACAAGCGACCCTTTGTGGTTTCTGCTAACTAATAATTTAAATATACCGCAGGTGAAAAGGGCATAAAGGAGCCACTAGTAACACCAATAGAGCGTGAACCACCCACCGATGCTAAGAGCCCCAACGGGTCAACCTTCGACCAGCTGTTCCTGACCATGGGCCGCGGCAGCTACAAACCGAATAACAAGATCACCGTGGTGGGCGCTGGTGACGTCGGTGTGGCCACTGTCTTCTCGTTGCTGGCTAAGGTTTCTGTTACATCGTGTTAATTTTGTGTTTAAGTTACGCCACCGTCAATCTTCAAAATCACGGGAAAGGGAACAAGCTGTTAGAGCTCCTGTCGAAAAAATAACGATCCAATAACTGGAAAAGGTTTATGTTTAAAATCAAATATTACGTTTTGATTTATTGTAGAGCGTGTAGTTTGTTTTCAGAGTAGGTACGCTAACTTTCATCTAAATTTCTTTACTTACCTACTAGAGTCAATCAAAGGTCGGTGTTTTTCAGGGTGTTACAAATGACATAAGCATGATTGACTTCGGAGAAGATAAGCTGAGAGGCGAGCTCATGGATTTACAGTATGGTTCAAAATTTTTAAGGAACGCCAAACTACGAGCTAGCAAAGGTGAGATCATCTCTCTTTTCTTTGTATCCTTAAACACGTTCCTGTTTTTAAAATCAATAATACTCGTATTTTTAGCAGTTAAGTATGGAGAAAAATAGCTTATTAGTTAAATCCTTTCTTGCAGATTATGGTATATCAGTAGACTCAAAGATTTGCGTGTTAACTCCGTGCTATGAATCGGAGTCCGGTCAGAAGATTGGCGACTGCACCCGGTGCAATGCGGAGGTCATGAAGGCTGTCATACCGCAGGTAGGAAAGACACCTTTATCGCCTATAATTTTTTTACCCGACTACGGCAAAGCAAAAGGAGGGTTAAGATTTTTTATTACACAGTTATTTACGATCAGTTTTCAATATTAATCTATTGAGCGAATACCGTCTTAGTAGTTGAAGTTATTCCTGCTGCCATATTATCTCTATCAATAACAACTATTCCCGGTTTTCTATAAATCAATTCCAATCCAAATCCGTCCTTCCGCCGCAAATTTTATTTTCTTTTCGATCCTCTATATCCATAAATTTCGATGCTTTTACACTTTCATATTTTTTACAGCTTCTCCACTACAGCCCCGACGCTATCATCCTAGTGGCAATAGAGCCAGTGGACGTGCTGGCCTACCTGGCGTGGCGCGTCAGCAATCTGCCCAAAGGCCGCGTCTTCGGTTCTGGCACGAATCTATATTCTGCCACGTTCCGGTATTTATTGGCAGACCGTCTCGGGCTGGCTCCGTCGGCTTGCCACGGGTACATCATCGGCGAGAACGGGTATAGCAGTGGTAAAGTTGTGTTTTACTTCGTTGCTTATTTTGCGTATTTAAAATTGAGTGACATTCATTGAATACTTTCCACCAGTGCCTGTGTGGTCCGGTGTAACGGTGGGAGGCGTGCACCTCAAGGACCTCAATCCTGACATCGGCACAGACACTGATCCTGAGAACTGGCAGGAGATACACCGTCAGGTAAAAAAAATAACAAAAAAAGATTTGTTTTCATTGGTACCTTAAAAATAACAACATACCTACTTAGATGTTATTAATGTCTTGCAAATAAAAACAGGTACTGCAGAGTGGCCAGGAGATCCGCGACCTCAAGGGCTGCAACTCCTGGGCCTCTGCCCTCTCTATCACCGACATCTGCTCTACGATACTGAACGACGCGAACTGTATAAGGCCCTTGTCTACGTACGTCAAGGTACCCTTCCTTTGGAATTACTCACATCCTTAATTATGGAAAATCCTGAATTCCCAAGTACTATTGTTTAAAATGGGCTACCTCAGAATTTTACGACAGATATTTCAGCTTTATCTGTTTTTAATCGCCCATTTCAGCACGCTAGGATAATTCCGACAGATGGATCCGAGCAAGTTCATCTGCTAACCGGCTAAGTAAATGGATATTTAAGTATGTCTCTTAATCCATAGGGTGAGCACCAAATCAACGAAGAAATCTTTATGTCTCTTCCCTGTGTGGTGGGAAGCGCGGGAATCACAGACATCATACGGCAGCCGCTCAGCTGCAACGAAATTGAACTTCTGCACAAGTCTGCCGAAGCCATCGTCGAGAACCGAGGCGCTATCAAAATCACTCAATAGATACTGAATAACTTTTACGATAACATTATCAGTACTGACGTCCCTAGAATGCAATAGAAAGTGATGCGTCAAACTTAGCGGAAATCCAATACTTAGTCATAATTATTACATTTAAATTATTTCAGTCCGTCTGTTTGTTTCGAAGTTCTGTTCCAATAAAAATCCTGTTAAACTTATATTATCTTTTATTTAAGCTTATTTTTGCTCACCATTTTTAAAATAATACGCAAATGTCTTAATGTAGGTTTGGTAGAGACAGATTTATTTAGGACTTAGGTTTCATTTTTACGTTCTCTGATTATTCAATCATCCGATTTACTTTTTGTAATAGGGGTCAGCGTGGGACTTCCACCCACAAGGTGGACCGACGACATCATAAGCAGGGAGAGGAAGCGCGCTGGACGCAAGCCGCTACCAATCGATCAATATGGAAAACATTGGGGGAGGCCAGTAGTAGACGACGTCCTATGGCTGAAATGAAGATGATGAATCCCCTATAGATTCATAGACTGAATCTGACTGAAACTTTATAGCGCCAACCCTCAGTTCAGTCCAAGGTTCATTCCAACCAACAAGTTTTAAAAAAATGTTTTATAAAAAATTCGACACATTACCTACCGACACATGGTAAGGTAAGGGTGCTCTAGCTCTACCTACCACTTGACTTCTTACTGACGACATTTTTTAGGACACCATGTGATAAGGACGAGTATCTATTACTGCTGCACTTATGTGCGCTTATATTCTGAATAGAGTGGGTCTAGACAAAGTGCAAATTATAATCGCAAACCAGTCGAAAAGTGGTCGAAAAGCCCCTTTTTTGTATGGAGTTTTGACGGATTCGATTTTCGATTCGATCAAAAAGTGCGTTTTGTCTAAGCTCGTAGGTATCATAAGATCAAAGATTCTATATCAATCAAGTTTTTACACTATCAAGATTGATTTTATGATATTGAGTTTGTGGTTTTGTATCAGCAAATGCATGAATGAACGTAGAATGAATAAACCAGANGCTGGGCCAGCAGCGCTGCAAGCGTGTCGGCGGAGTTCTGCTGAAGCTCCTCGGAGCTTTCTTTCTTGATGCTCTCCATCAGCGGACGGACCACTGGGTTCAGCTTCTCTGGGAGAGAGTGCAGGTTGGCGCACGCGGCTGCTAACGCTGCTTGAACGCTGCGAGGTTAACAGAAGTGTTGATTAGTTAGAAACTTCACAAAGACGGTTTCTCGTTTCGTCTCAACGTCGCGTTTGCGCGGCGCGGACACGAGGCTAAAACTCGAGAGGGAGACGTTAGGAATCCACGACGTGTTCGCCGCGGAGAAGCGGCGTCGCTGCTCCGCTTTTAAAACGCTTGCAATCCGCCAGAGTGGAAGCTCACTTATGGACTAGGGTATTGTTGACTCTTAACTATGTACAAATGAGTGGTTGATATCTTAACTGATTCCAATCTTAAGACTCGAATTAAATACGTAATTCCATTGATCTCAAACGTAGATTCAAGCTTGTTTTAATCTAAATATCGAAACAATATACCCCAAAATTAGTTGCCAACAACGTAAATCAATAGCACCAATATTATTGTTGACGCAATCTCTCAATACAAAGTAACAGAGCTATCAAATGAGGGCTATCGTTTTAGCGCTCACCAGTTAGCGCCACAGTAGAGTAAGGTCCTGTCACTTGCTAGTAGCGAAGACAGTGGCACCAACTGGTGAGCATTAGAGTGGAAGGAGGACTATCGCATTTGCACTCATCAAGATGGCGCCACTGTAGAGTAAGGTCCTGTCAATCGCCAGGGGTGCCAACTTATAAGTATAAAAACGATAGCCCTCATTGGCAAATAACAAGTATACAACAACAAAATTAATAGTAAGACATAAACTTACGACACATTTAACGTGTTCTGTTCCGCGCAGCACTGGTTGACAGATGACTGCAGATTCTTCCGCCTCTCTTCAAGCGTCTGCGCAACTCGCTTGATCTTCATCGCCGCCACCATCGGCTGCGTCACTTGCGTTAAATGGACCACCTGGGAATATAATAAATACACTCGGCGTCAAATAAATCGCTTTCAAGCGTATATGCATCCCCACTTCCCACCAATATTGGTATCATTTGAAAGCTTAGTTCTAAGCTTTATATTTCACTAGCTGACCCGGCGAACTTTGTTCCGCCTTAATGGCAATAAATAAGCAGACTTTTTTTTAATTTCGAACGGGATAAAAAGTATCCTATGTCCTTCTCCTGGCTCTAAACTACCTCCCTGACAATTTTCAGCTAAATCGGTTCAGCCGTTCTTGAGTTATAAGCGAAGTAACTAACACGACTTTCTTTTATATATATAGATTACAGGAATGGTTGGTACCCCACCAAAAATGTGTTCAAAAAGTGCTACACTTTAAAGCACACCTTGACGTCACAGGCCTTTTCTTTTGAACTTTGACGCGCTTTATTTCTTTCATCACGGATTTTCACGCGTACGAAATCACGGGCACAGCTAGTAAAGATCAAATTAAGGGCGCGCTTATGAGTTGATTAAATAAAGTATATTGATGTAGTACGCACCTGTTCTAGCCTCAGAATATTGTTGAATTCTTCACCGTCCACCGCCAGCTTGTAATGCTTCATCATGGCGTGTAAATCACGAGCCTCTTGTAATATCCTAGAAAAATAAACACATTTAGAATTCATGGAAACTGTCTGGAGTCCTTAGGGCCTGTGTACACCGTGTTTACTATACATGTGGGAGTTTGAAACGGAATATAAGGGACTGAGTGAAAGGGAATGAATGAGTGAGTAAGAAGTGATTTTGACAGGACGAACGGTTGAAAATATACGGAGCGAACACTCCTTGTCTCCTGTGGTTTATCCTGGAAATAAAGCTGAAAACATACCATCCATGTCGACGGCGCGATTATAAGACGTGGTGTGAATAGACCCTTGCAGGACATAGAACAGCTGACTTTATTTGGGTTAATAAATAAGTATTTTAATTGACATTAATTCATACTTCTTCCTGACAATCAAGTTACTTATAATCTATTTTTCTTCTTCTTTCTTCTTACCTATTGCAGGTCAGAGCGACCTCGTCGTAGTAGAGAGCTTGGTTGAGCGCCGCGCTAAGCGTGCTCGTCAGTAAAGGCGGCGCCAGTTTACTCATTTTCTCTTCTTCGTTCGTGGAGTCACTCGGTTCTCCCTGAGAATAAATATTGACATAAAGTTATTACACTTTTTAGTGTTAAAAGTTGTATATCAAAATCAATTATAAATAACTTGAAAAAATTCGATTCCCGCCTCAGGCAGTTCGATTTTTTCAAGTTATTTTTAATTAAATATTGATATTGTTAGGGAAATTCTATTGTTGACATTGAGTACGATTTTATAGATGGTTCTACTATCCTCCAAGTGTCTAAGGGACTGTGGATTGGCTGCGGGCAGAAAATACGAAATACTGTCCTGCGTGCAACCAGCAGCGTGATTTTACACAAATGCGGACCAGGGGGCCTACTCTGAAACGCTATTTACGTAGTTTCAGGACTATCTGTCACCGTCACTCATGCTGGCATATCTCTTTGTGTGAGAGGGATGGCAACATTCGAAACTTCGGATGACGTTTTTCGGAGTAACCCCGCAGATCCGTACGCTTGCTGAAATCCGCATTACAGAAAAAGGCAGTTAATTACCTGATGCTGCAGTCTCGCGCGGCTGTGGCGCGCCCACATGGACACCACAAGACCCGCCACGAGTCGCTGCAGCGCGCTGCCCGAGCGGAGGTACACCACCATAACCTGCGATCAAGTACTGCTTACATTACACATTGCAATAGTCTAATAAAAACTCTATAAAGATTCGGCCTAACCAACGCGTGCAAGATCGCGATGGCGATTAGACTTAAGCTTCAACGATCGCGATCACAGGCCAATGACAGAACGCGCGACCCATGAGAGTTCACGCGACCTGTCATTGGCTATGATCGCACCGTAATCGCGTCAGCGATGGCGATCTGCACGCGTTGGTGTGGTTGAATGTTAAACACATTGATCCCATCGCGTGTGCAGACTGATCGCGTTGGTTTAGCCGAACCTTAAAACGAAACAATAGAGAAGTGTATGCACGCTGCCGCGATCACACTTCAGCGCGAAATCGCCAGACTAATCGTTAGTGTGAAAAGGTTCTAAAATAAACATTTCAAAATTTCACCTCACAAGCAATCAATAAGCGTGGACTGAGTAGCAATTTTATACTAAACGTTAAAATTTGGTAAAATTACCTTAACATAACAGTCTATTGGGCTCTCATCTTCTGCTTTGTACTCTATACCAGGTGCGGGTTGAACGAGGTAACATGACAAGTAACCTGTAAAGAAAAAACATAAAATTAATCTATAATTTAACGAAATAAATTTGGAAGAAAGGTCCCTGAAATTTCACAATCACCACTTCAATAAGTCTCTGTATCTTTAAATGAAGACTATAGTATAGAGCTACCCATAGTCGGCAGCACCAAGTAACACGTATGATAACCACATAAAACTAAAGACGTGCGCAGCAAGGTAGCGCGCGACGCCACCTGCTGCGAACCACTTCTAAAATTTCGTTGTAATTTAAACTTTATTACATAGCCGTTTAGTTCTTACCTAGGACGTGCGCAGCCAGGACTCTAGCACGCGTTACTTTACGGTCACGCATCGCCGCCGGTTACGACTCGCCACCTCCCACGAACCACTACTACAATTTTATTGAAATTTAAACCTACTTATATTACATAGCCGTTTAGTTCTTACCTAGGACGTGCGCAGCCAGGACTCTCGCACGCGTCACGTTACGGTCACGCATCGCCGCCGGTTGCGACTCGCTGCCGCCTACAAACCACTTCTGGTTGGGCCGAAGCTCCGGCGGCAGCGAGCTATCTGACGAAACCGAGCTGGTGCGCGTGCGCCGCTCCTGAGAATAGAAAATGAGTCTTATTACACTATCTTTAAGTTACATAATTCTGTAACGTGGAATAGAATATTGATGCCAAGTTTTTAGTGTGTGTGATTTTGTACGTAAAAATACCGGGAGACCTTAGAGTATGATTCAGACTGACCTCAGATTGTTATTACATCATATGTCAAAGATCTAACAATGCTCCAATACCAATAGAAACCTTTTCGGTTATGCTTGTAGCTATCAGAAACTAAACTAGAAAACGTTACATGGCAGAAATTTCAATATCTCACACCAACTTTCTTACCGGTGGGTTTACCACAAAAATTCAGCAGCGGCGGGGTTTCAATCCGCGTTTCTCGGCCAGTCCGATACCTTCACCGTTCGGCTATTTGTTAATTCATTTGCATTTCATCTCCAGTCTACCCACCAGTCACATTTCTATTCCAGCTGATGTGCAATTCGGTATCGAGGTAAAGTTCACGCTCAAACAAAGACGAAAGATAGATTTATGTACTTTTCATTAAAAGTCCGAATACCATATTATTTAAACTAAAATTACTAAAACACAGCAAATACCCGAGAAGCATTTGACTTGCGTGTGAGAAATAGTAGCTTTCTGTCAGCTTTAACTCAAAGATACATTTGCGCTCCGTTTACGTTACATCTTCGTTTGAACTAGCTGTCAAATCTACACCGCGATACGGATTTGTCAAAACAGCTGATGTTCGTTTGTCGTCCAGTTCCGTTTCAGTTGAAAATTTTTCGCTGCCACCAGGATCACTCCGAGTGACGCGTGCTGGAGGGAGCCTTCGTACCTTAGACGGCGGCTGCAGCAGCAGGCCGGGCTCGGCGGGCAGGCGCGCCGGCTGCATGGCGAGGCACAGCCACGTGGCCAGCACGGGGCACGCTGCCACCAGGATCACTCCGAGTGACGCGTGCTGGAGGGAGCCTTCGTACCTTAGACGGCGGCTGCAGCAGCAGGCCGGGCTCGGCGGGCAGGCGCGCCGGCTGCATGGCGAGGCACAGCCACGTGGCCAGCACGGGGCACGCAGTATGTGATTATAGCTTACTAGATGACGAAAATTTCTGCGTTCTGGTCTTATCCAGAGGTTCTCAAATAGGGGCCTAAAAATGCGGCGAAATGGTTCCAGTAAAGGATGGTACGGCAGTGTTTGCTTCGCGCTCGACTTGGCGGGGGCACTGCCGTGCCCCCAGATTTCAAACCGCAGTCTTTAGTAAATACACATAAATTCAATAAATTCAAATTCAAATAATTTATTTGTGAAACACAGGTAAGCAGTATGATGTACAAACAAAATATGTGTTCAAGCCGTGATCAGCCTTGTCGGCATACAAATGTTAAAGCGTGATATTAAGTATAATATTATGTTAAAGAAAAGTAATAATGAGCAACATGCACATAGAGGATGTTTCTAGGACGAAAGTTCAATTAATAAGTTCCACTCAAAGTAACATTATTTATTGTATACTTAAAATGGCATATTCTTTGCTCTACATGGTGCTCTGACTGAAAATATTCATATTATTAATACGAAAAGTATCTGGGCAAGGTCAAAATCTGAGTATTGTTACAATTTCATAATTATAAGAGCTTCGACATCATGAATGGCCCTATTCCTAAACATGTGGATCGCCCAAGGTTGTCACCAATGACCTTCCCAATTAATATTTCTATGTGCCTGAATTACAATGTCAATGCTCCCGTTAAAACACAATTGTAGCAATAGTTCATAATTCCGCGAGACGTACGCGTTGATCATGTCCTGTATCAATGGGTATTAGCGTGCCATTATCGTCCGTACGGTGGGGTTTTACGGTTGGTATTAGAATGCATGGTGGGCCTGATTCGGGCATGCGCTGTGTTGTGGCATCCAAAACGGAGTGTTGAAGGTCACCTTGGCTCACGGAGCGCGGCAGCGAAACAGCCGGCTCCGCTCCACAAGAGTCGAGCGAGACTCGCGGTCCCAGCAGCTACGTGCCGGCATACACACACGCGACGCAACAACTTTATTCAGTAAGTAAATAATTTTGCGATTCCTGCAACTGTTGCATCATGCTTTAAACTCTACCAATCGCATGTATTCAGTTAAAAGTTTGGTGTAGTTCGCGCCGCGCCCAACTGAAACCGGCCGGTTTTGATAAAACTTTATTGGGCGTAGGTAGTAGCTTAAATGTTTGAACTCGTAGTCTAGGAAAACGTTTCCTTGTAAATCAAGCACTTAACGACTATGATGCAGACAACATTATTATGTTGAAATGTGATGCAAAGTGAATATTGTTTGAAAAATTATAATTTATTATCATGGTAGAGTCATTACATATTTAAGTATGTGTTTGATTTTATTTTGTGTTAGTTCCGCTATAATTTTCATTGTTTCATTGCATTGACGTACAAAAAAGAAATAATATTTTAACTTCCTTATTTCAATGTTTCTAAAAGGCGGCAAGATAGCGTCCGCGCGTATCGCAAAAACTTCGTGAAATTGTTTAGTCAGCCCACTCCTAATGGGGAAAATATCAAATTTAAATGAATTCAGGCGCAAAAACTGTAGGTACTTACTTAGTGCGTTTGTTATTTATTTTGCTTCACCTGGCTTATTTTCCGTTATGTTATGGCTTAAGGAAAGTGAATTCTGTTCGCTATAATAAATAAATAGCTGATGGGAATAACCGCAGATAGAGGTCAATGACGAGCATTGGGCTAGGGAGAGACATGTCTATCATTGGACTGACGCGTAAATGACGTCATCGGCGTGGGTTGGTAATAAAGCATGCAATAATGTAAGCGCCGCTAAAGGAAAACGAAATCCTTCCACGAGTTGTTAAACTCGAGTAAAATAAATTAAATTATCACGGCAATTGCGAACTGAATGCTCTATAAAATAAATATGTATGTTTCTATAGCTCTATAAATCTCAGAATTTTTATCGGACTTATATCAAATTAATTTGCGCAATCATTTCAAAGATTTCTGCGAAATGTATATTTTTAAAGGCCCAGTCACCGGGGAAGCCTGCGCGTGCGTGACTCCCCACAGCTACCGTTTCGACCACACTCTATATAATTTCGCGTCCCCCGACGGTTCATTCAGTACATACCGACCCGGCTAACCGGTCAAATCCAACAGCGGTTCAGATTGAGACCCTTCAATCGGTCATTCAACTGTCAATCCCAGCTGATCTCAGTTCGGTCAATCGTTTTCATGAGTGTGGTTGTGTTCAACTTTCTTCGAATTTTTTCGATATCTTGATCTCGTGTTTGTTCATCTGGATTAGTTGAACAATTTGTTATAATGGCTGAAAACAATCACGTACACCACTGCAATGGTGGACGCTGTAAGTCTTGTTTTTCTCTACTTTTCTGGCGTGCGAATCTCTATCAGTCTTCTTCAAGGAAAAGCAGAAAATGCTTGTCATCGAGGGAGACAATTTTTATAATAATGCACTTTATAAATCGCATGCATTTACCTAGCTAGGGTTTCCCGGCTCTTATCAGCCGCTGATTTAGATCCAACAGTTGATATTTTATTTGCGGAGCGCACAGTATTGTATTTAGCACGGTTCGTTCACCTATTAGTTTAGTTATTTTTAATTACCTGCCTGAGTAGGTACCTACATTTTTTTATTTCAGTTCATTTAATTCTATGAAAATTAAATTGCAAAAAAGTGGTGACCAAATACTTAGTTTAAGCTTGACAAAAAAAAAGGTATAGCTTTTTTGTTGTTTTTTTACAATTTTAATTTTTAATTATAATACAATTGTTGATGCAGACTCAATGAATTAATAAGTACTTAAAATACATAGAAATTAATTATCATGTTACTTAGGTAAAATTATTTTCAAAATTACTCAACATAATTATTTGATTGCAACATTTAAAAACATAAGTTAATTTACTTCTCGCTAAGTTACCAATTTTACTGAACAACTTACTTTAGATTACCAAACACGTATCCTATTAAGCTATTCATATTATTAGACCAGCTATCTATAGTACCTACGTAACTTCGTAAAATGTACTGAATATTTTGTTTTGTACAGGGAAAATGGCGACCATCGACAAGCTGTTCCAGCCCGTGCAGGACAAAATGGACGACACGGGGAACAAGGTCACGGTCGTGGGAGTGGGGCAGGTCGGCATGGCCGCCGTGTTCTCGCTGCTCACCCAGGTCAGTGATATAGGTCGCGACGTGGGACGCCGTGGGGATCACCGGTGGACCCCAAACAATACATTTCTGCATACATTGTGTCTGGATGTTCGGCATCCAAAGATTTAAATGCCAGGCCAGACCACACTTTCCACGCATAACCACACTTAATGTTTTATTTTATTTAAATGCAAAAGGAACTCTTTACTACTGTGTCTCTACCTTTTAACGCTCGTTTAAGCCACTGAAAAGATTTTGATGAAGTTTAAGGTCCAGGAAATAACAATTTTAATTAACATGAATATTTCCGGTTTTAAAAATAGGTCACACGTATAATAATGTTATTCTGTAACAAACTGAAATTCACGGAGGCGAAATCACGGTCAAAAGTTAATATCACATTATTTATGTACATACATTTAATCTTTATAGTAATTTAAGTTGCCTGGGGTAGTTATAAAATTTTATCATTTAATATAACTATTATGCCTAGTGCTTGCAAAACTTTGTATTGTGGATTTTAAAAGTTATGAACTCTCAAACAGCTGGCTGCGATTGTTTGGCTTGAATGAACTTGTTGCATCTGCGCTTTCGGGACCTGCCCACCGGTCCCAAGTCACAGGCGGCAAAAAAGTTTGCAAGAAGCAGATGCAAAAATGTCTTCAGTTACCTGGATAGTAATTTTATACTTTTTTGGCGTGGTTGTACTATTAGAATGTGCACTATGTAGATTCAAAATGTTTAGCTCTCATTGAGCGAAAATAGTAAAGATAAGCACTTTCAAAAAAATCTTCTAATTCTGTAAAAATATTAGTCTATAAAGCCCTGAAAGAGTTTCAGATTAAAGTACCAAACGATAGAGCTACATGTGAAAAAGTAAAAAATTAGATTTGGCGCGCTGCCACCGTACGCAGCAGTCGGCTGCTAAATTAAAGCATCTTATATTTACGAGCTAATAGGAAAGAATAAAAATATATTTGCTTATCAAAATGGTTAGTGCTACGAGTATAAATATATGTATAATAAATACTAGTACCTCGTTCAGACATGCTGCATAAAATGCTCAGGAAACGTAACAAGTTACCTACGATTGCAATGGGACTGGTTTGCAAATACTTTAACAGACAGGTGTTTCTTAAGCTTAAATCGGTATTTATTTCGGATTCACAAAAATCTCTTAAGATGTTTTCAGAAAAAAAAAAATAACGACTTATGTTTGAACTTTGGACGTAAATCTCATCATTAGATTTTACGAATTCCCTGAAACTGACCACGACACCATTTACTAACGTAATTCGTAATGGTACATTCCTATTTTTTTGGACAATATTTATTAGGCACAGTCAGGCGTTCAATTGCGTTTATTCAAAGAGTAACGTAGGTACCTAACACAGTTTTGGTATGCTCTCGTAACTAACTGAAATACTTAAGGACTCGTTAATTAAGTATAGTTATTAAAAGGTAATTTCTGATCGTAAATAATATTTGAATTACTTACTCGTAGTTAATTGGATTTCATTATTATGATAAAATGCTAGCTAATATACCTAATCTCGAAGATTTAAAATTATTCAATATTTCTTGCTTATTACCGTGAAAATCATAATAACTGGTATTTCCAGACATTACATTTATTTAACTGCCTTTACAATTATTTAAGAGTTATTACCTACTGATAAAATATTTCTAACGGAGATGATGTGGGGCGGTGGTTCGTGTTCATTACTACTACGCTTGCGATGTTAGGTACTGGTTCAAATCCCGCTGGAGTAATGTGCATCGAAATCAGATTCATTAACGTTCCTGCTGTATTACTTTATTCATCCATATCCGCTGTAAATAAATAAATATGTGTCCCTTTGGTCACCATAACGGTAAGCACCACTTGTGGCATGGCCATGAATTATTTATACGAGGCACATTCGCATGCACTCAGACAATGTGACTTAACTAGCATAATAGCATATTAATGAGTCTGCTAGCGATTAGTCCTTGCAGTCATTGTCGCTGAACCGCCTATCTGATATTCACTACGAAAATGTATCTACGACACATTTTAATCTACGAGTCCGTCCAACAAATCAATAACTAATTTGATGATCAAAGTTGCTGTTTACTGTATAAATGTCTGATCTGCAATTCCCTTAATTAATTAAAATATAAGTCCTTCCAATAAATCAATAATTAATTTGATGATCAAAGCTATTTATTACAGAATAAGATGTCTGATCTATGGCTTCTTTAATTAATTAAAATCATTAAATATATTTTCTTTTGAAGACGAATATTGAATACTTACAAATGCGTAGCAATTCTATCAATTCATTAATTCGCAAAAATGAAAGAAATGAGATGCTTTATGGATAGGACTTGTAATCAGTATGAAATGAAATTGTGAAGAAAACTTACACAGAAATTTATGTAGAGATTGATATTCTTTTTAGAAGTTAATGTAATCAAGATATATTAAATTGTCAATAAGTTGATTGGTATGAAGTTGATTGGTTTACTTTATTGAAATTTTATTTGCGCAGTCGAGAAAGAAATCAAGGTTAAGTCTTTGTAGACTTTAGAAACTAGAGAAAAAATAAAAATATTAGCAGTGAAGAAGAGCTTAATAAAAAAGGCTTAATATTTATTAAAGAAAGGTAAACAATTTTTCCAAAACATACGCATAATATTGATTGATGAAATCCAGTGGACTAAAATACAACAAGCAATATGAAATATTAAATTACTGATCACTTGAAGGGCAATGTCCTAAACACGCATGTCGGTACTGTATCGATTTTTTCCGTATTTCCTAAGGGTATAGCCAGACCAAGGTCAAAATAATTTCGACTAAGTCTGGTTTCTTCGTCTTTCTTAGAATGAAATAAAGTTAACTAGTTATCCATTTTCCTTTTTTTTAAATATTATTTCTTCACCAGGTTTTCTCACTTGTAATAAAAATAAAACATATCGTTACATTAAAAATAGCGTAATGCTTATAGTCCTAATACAGCACTCTCAAAATCGCTTTTAAAGCCAAATACCCAGACAGGTATCTAATTTATTTATTACGCACAGGCACGAATATCCATTGGTAAATACCTTACCACTAATAAGATTAACTCATATTAGTCTGAGTTATAAGCCGAATTAGGGATCGAAAATTTCGCTTGTTTACTTTACTGATTTCATTAGTTACTTTTAACTCTTCTAATAATTAATACCAACCGTCGTATTTTTTTTATCAAAGTGTTATTTAGAACCCACATTATTATCACTGCCCCTCATAATTATTGTTGTTCTTTCATCATCATTTCAGCCATCTAGTTGATTTAGTTACATATGATTCCAAGTTACATCTACCCTCAATTAGATTAAAGGGTACGATTGTTCAATACATGGGAAACCTAAAAATTTACGCATAAAAATAAAGCCAGTGAAATGTACGTGTACGACTTACCCGCTCGTTACAGGGGGTCACCAACAACATCGCCATGGTGGACGTGATGGCAGACAAGCTGAAGGGCGAGATGATGGACCTGCAGCACGGCTCCGCCTTCATGAGGAACGCCAAGATCCAGGCTAGCACAGGTAACAGCTCGTTCGTTTCAGCGGAAAGACGTCCACTGCTGGACAAAGGCCTCCCCCAAGGATTTCCGCCGCTCTCATCCAGGAAACTCCCACGACCTTCAGATCGTCGGTCCACCTAGTGGGAGGCCTACCCACGCTACGTCTTCCGACTCGTGGTCGCCACTTAAGCGCTTTCCTGCCCCAGCGGCCATCAGCTCTACGAGCTATGTGCCCCGCCCACTACCACTTGATTTTAGCGATTCTGCGGGCTATGTCAGTCACTTTGGTTCTCCTCATCTCTGATTTGATCACGTAGGGAAATTTCGAGCATAGCACGCTCCATCGCTAACTATCGCAGGTAACAGCTCAGATCCATCAATACTCATCCAGGTAGATCCAGGGTATGCACACTCCAGACTCCCACACTGTAGATCCAGGGTTACACGGTAACTTTAACACTTATGTCCTTTCGGTACTGAAAGATAACAATATTATCACACTTTTAAAACGATTACGAAATATTCGAGTCATACTCGTACTAATGACATTGCAGTTTGTACTAACAATGACCGTGAAACAAGTCTGCCGTCTTTGTTTATGTCAGGCCAGTTTATTTAAGTTTCTGTCCCTTACTATAAATAATGTGAGTTTATTTAAGGATGTTAATATTATCCTGAATGCTGACTAGTGTAACTACAATGCATTTTAGACTGTGGCACAGTACCTACATAATTAACACAGCTGACATGGCTTTGTTAGCAGTTGTGATTAACCTACATAAAACAAAAGTTACCTACATAATTTTGATTTAATGGCTGTTGTATGAATTATTGTAATTTAGTTGCAAAAATTAAAGGAAAGTAATTTTTATAGTTACCAAAATAAAGGCAGAACAAAAAAGATCATTTCTGTGCCAAACAGGCACCCGCTCAATTTGACATGACGTGTGTATGTCGCGACACTGATTTATATCCACGGGTACCACCCAGAGCCATCGTCAAAGCTCACAGATTATTTGTTTCGCATGAAAAATAGAAAAAACATAGATATACAAAAAGCGAATAACAGATTAAGATTTAAGATAAGTCGTCAATTATTTCACTAGAAGTCTTCAGGAAGTTGAATGTGTAAGATCTACCCACACATAAATTGCGAGACGCTTCATGTGACGTAACGGAGCTGTCTCGGACATGTCTGTAGCACATCTGAAGTCTTACTGACGTTTTGTAGTAACAAAACCACAGCAGGAAACAGGAGTATACTCAGTTACGCAGAACTTCTGGAATACATCTAAATTCTCGGAGACGTTTTGAGGTGACAAAAATGCAGCAGTTAGCACGATTACTTACTTAAAGTAGCGTAATGTGTAAACGCTGATAAGCTCAGGAACATACAACCCGATCGAGTTACCCCGAACCTGGTAACGGTGACGTCACATTGACGCTCTGGTAAGTGGGAGGGAGAGTCGCATTCCAGCGAGGTGCACAAACGCAATTTGCTAGAACGGGTTGTACTGTTATGTAATATAATGGGGATGTTGCCTGGGTCAAAAAGCAAGAGTTTTAATTAGTCCGTCAGTTAACTTATCAAAAAATACTCTACACGTATTTTTCACTTTTTCAAACTAATGAAAATTTAAAGAGATAAAGCGCCCCAAAGTTCATAAGAAGAGGCCCGTGACGTCAACGCTTGCTTAAAAATGCCGCACGTTGTGACGTCGTGCGCAACTTCAACGCACCATAAATATGTAATTATTTGTTAGATTGACAAATAAAAATATATGTGTCCAATATTTTTTGATATTAAACATTACGGACTAAAAAAATTTTTTTAGGCAACTAGCCTATTTCCCCCACTCGTTCCCACCGCTGCAACTCGTGTGTAGCCAGGATCTACAGCTTGACCGCCAATACAAACCCAACCAGTGAAGGTCAAGTTTCTCCCGGGGGAAAGCCTTTGTACTGTTATGTAGTGACTGAGTAAACCCTGTAACATCTGCTTGTAGATTACTCGATCTCCGCGGACTCGAAGCTGTGCATCGTGACGGCGGGCGTGCGCCAGCGCGAGGGCGAAAGCCGCCTGGACCTGGTGCAGCGCAACACCGACGTGCTGAAGATCATCATCCCCCAGGTCAGACACAAATAGCACCTATATGTTCTTTTAAATGGATTCCGAAACATCTTTTTGTTGTAGAAAGATTCTCGATGATCAGTAAAAAGTTAGCTCAGTATACGAACACATATTTTTTCTGGAAAAGAATCATCATACGAATTGCCAAATATGATGTCGACGGAATGTTCATTATGAGCTGAAACTTAGACCAGTCCTCAGTACCAGCACATTATAAACATGATCGAGATTTCACGAGACGAGGTTGCACGAGAATTGGCCCCCAGTTTCAGAAATATCCCCAGTGACAAACGAATTTTGAACCACCTGTTTTTTCTCCAGCTGGTGAAATACAGCCCAGACGCCATCTTCATCATCGCGAGCAACCCAGTGGACATCCTAACTTACGTGACGTGGAAGATCTCCGGCCTGCCAAAGCACCGCGTCATTGGCTCCGGCACCAACCTGGACTCGGCGCGTTTCCGTTACCTGTTGTCAGAGAAACTCGGTATCGCGACCACCTCCACCCACGGCTACATCATCGGAGAGCACGGCGACAGCAGTGGTGAGTGTCAAAATCATTCAAGCAGACATCGATCCGGCTCGAAGGACCATTAATCGTTTGAAGCAGCCTTACGTGACTTTTGACTTCACCCACGATGGCGATGACGTTCTGATTTTCAATACGCCGCTAATCTAGTTGATGCCGACATTCTTATAGAGTTCACTTACTGTTCAGTATAAAAATATCATTAACTAGTAATGGTAATAAGCCTTGGCAAATCATTTGGCACTAAATAAAGCTATCGTACCTCTACAGTGCCCGTGTGGTCTGGCGTGAACATCGCCGGCGTGCGCCTCAGCGACCTGAACCCCAAGATCGGCTCCGACTCCGACCCCGAGAACTGGAAGGAGACCCATGAGATGGTGGTGAAGAGCGCCTACGAGGTCATCAAGCTGAAGGGCTACACCTCCTGGGCTATCGGCCTCTCGCTCTCGCAGCTGGCTCGCGCCATTCTCTCCAACGCCAACAGCGTGCATGCCGTCTCCACCTACTTGAAGGTAAGCATGATCGCCAAATAGAAGTTATCTATTCTAGGTCTAATGTTGCTAAATTACCGCAGGATCCAATCCATCATGGAGCTCTGCTAAAATTGGTCGGACTAGTAAATGAAGCATTTCACATCAAGGCATTTGACTTATCTGTCAGTTTATTTAGGCCAAGGTTTAATTCCAAGTTGCTATGTCATTATCCTTTCTTATCATATTAACGCATCAAATCTAAGATAAGCTTGCACATTTTGAACAAGTGGTCCTGACCGAGTTTTTGTCTTACAGGGTGAGCACGGTATCGAAGAGGAGGTGTTCTTGTCGCTGCCCTGCGTTCTGGGAGCCGCAGGAGTGTGTGACGTCATCAGGCAGCCGCTCACCGACACCGAGACTGCGCAGTTGCAAAAGTCCGCGCATCTGATGGCCCAGGTGCAGGACGGTATCAAGTTCTAAGCGCCCATCAATTGCATTACATAAAACTTGACTAAGTTTATTGTACTGTCGAAAAACCGGCTTCAAATGACATCATGCCATTCATGGTTAAATATTTTTAGACAATACAACACTTCGTCAAACTTTTTTGTATTAGCAGAGAACTAGCGATGAACCCAGTAGAGGCGCACGATGTTAAGGCAAATTCCAAATATGTAACGCACGAAGAGAAAACTGTTGAAAATACCTTTGTGGTAAAAAAAGATTGGTAGTTGTGCACTCTATTAGATCAATGAGCTGTGGTTTGTTCTAGAAAAAAGTTATTTACGATTTTTATGCGAAAAAGTATTTTTGCCAGTGCTTTTATTAGGCTCTTCATAAGCTTTCTTGATTTGCCATATCAAAATAGGATGCAAGAGCGACTGAGATTTTATTTTATTTTAAGTGGTTCCTACTTATATGACATAACTAAATTATATTCCACTATTAGGATTAACAGTTACATTCTTTCCAAAAATCTCAAATATTTGATCATGACGTAATGATTTGTGTAAAAATCCGGACAGTTCAGTATTTGTGTGTATTAATTAATTATAGTAATTGAAGAATCTGTCACAAAACTTTATTATAGTCATCTCCAGTAAGAATTAACATTTAGTAGACACTAATTAATTTATGATAGTGGCTTCAGATTTGTAAGGTTGCGATCTGTTTTTGTCATCTTTAGATTATGGTACACAATTGAACGGTTTGTTAGTCCGGCTGGCGTACAGCTAACATGGATGTGACTTGTAACAGGTTTTACTTTTTTGGAGCTGAGCAAATATCTCGTTACACCATTCCAGTGAATATTGTTTTCCAAAGAACTCACGTAGGCGTATCAGTATTTAGCACCTGAGTGAATAAGAATTTCTCATAATTTAAATATTTATCATCTTAGTTGTATGTTGTGTCCCTGGTAGACGTGGCAAGAATCCAGAACGTAATAGTTTAATAGCTACGAAATATTATATTTTCAAATCTTTAGAAACTAGACATTCGTAATTTTTGTCTTTTAACGAATTTCAATCGCCTTTAGCTTTTTGATGTGTGTAGTTAGTCGAATAAATTTAATAGGAAAATATTAATAGTAATTATATTTTGTTATGCTATCGTATCCAGTATTAGTTATCTTTACATACGAATTTTCTTGCATTTACAAAATTATACCTATGCCAAATGAACCATAGATTAAAAATGTGTTATTGTTGTCATTATTTCTGACAGACGTATTTTTATCTTGTAATAAAACCCTAATGTAATAGCGATAAAAATAAATATGTTATTTTAATTACCGATTTTCTAATTTTCTTACAGTATTTTAGTCTCACTATTCATAAGAATACAATGCCCTATTTATTATGAATTATTTATAAATAAATGTTGTGATCTAAACATTTTTGTTTCATTATAGAAGACATTTCATATCGTATGATTCTTAGATCTTAATTAATTTTTAGTTCATCCTACTTTAATTTTAACAAAAGTAAAAAATCTGTCATAAATCATAAAAAAGGCTTAATGGTAATGTTTGGTGGTGCAACTCATCCCTAGATTATAATAGGTATAAACATGAATAAAACAATAGTTTTTTCAAAATTATATAATTATTTCATAAAGTTTACATCATCAGTACTAAAAACTTGATACCTAGAAGTGACACTGGCATGTAGCTCGCTGACAGATAAAAGGAAATTGTAAAAATACGAATAAAAACATTTTCATGATAAAATTACTGTTCTGTGACCCGATACGTAATCGACGTCGAATTAAACTCAAACTTCTAAAGTTACCATATTCTAGGATCAACCTGTATAGTTATTTCAATTCAAAGTCGATTAGGTTCATTTATAAAAAATATAATAATATTTTATTTCCGGCAAATGCTAGCTGATATGAGTAATGCGATGTCTGTCCGGACTGAAATGTTCAGAACGAGGCGAATTGAAGAAGGAATGTATTTTGAATATACGAATGTAGCACTTATGCTTTATGTCGACAATGTTATAGATAAGATCGCAAGCAAAGAAGTTAAAGATAGAGCGTTCAGCAAAAGTCAGTAAAAAAGAAGTTTTATTTTTTTAAAAGGAAAGTAGTTATAATTGATAAAATAATAAGGCTATGTAAAGGAAGAAATACTAAAGACATCATTGGATGCGTAGATACAATGTATTATTTGCTTGACTCTTTCCAATAAAAGCATAATTTTACTACGTAGTATACATTATTTTCAAAAAGAGTCAAACGCATTCATCATTATTATGTAAGTAAACTGTTACTTAAGAGTGTCAGTAAATGAAACAATTCGCTTCGCTGTTGAATTGTTGAGTACCTATGAAGTTCAGGACATGTGTGAGGCGGAACACGCGTGATATACAGACAGAGTGAAATTTGTGACACACTATGTTTCTGATAATGATCAACAATCCGTAGTTAGAACATGAATTTTATTGTTTAGATACATCGCGATATACCTACTATATTTGACGACTAACAATACACTTAGCCTTAACTTAGATGTCATCTGAAATCTACATAATTTTTATATCGGTTGAAATACAAACTAACGATTACATACAAAATCTCGTAACATATATTTTCATAGTTAAAGTTGGTGAGTGCCGCGAGCGCCTAACACGGGGTCGTGAGAGACGTACATTAATACCTAACATGAAACTTATACCAATTCATGTTGATTCAATTACATACTTAAAATTTTGCATTTTGGTCACAAATTAGGACAAACATTACGCGCTAATACTTACTGCTATATACAATGTAATAGTATTTAACAAGTACATACGTTAAATTATGAATAAGCATGAAATATTATTTTAGCATAAATCACAGACACTTTCCTTAAAATCGGCCGCTCTAGAAACTCATACAAACTCTATACATCACAAAGTTACGCCAGCAAACTTCACTGCAACCCTACGATCAAACGTGTACAACCATTTACTTATGTTTAGCAACGTTGTGTGCAATACAATTTCATTGGAACACAAAAGGTTTATTTTTGAAAGGCACAAAGGAAATACTGACAACTATTTAGTTATTAATTAATAGTAGGCGTACGTCAAACCTCGGTAAATATCTCCAAAACACGCCACGAAGTAATTTTATGCAACTAAAATACCGAACTCGACAGGTGGGCACATTGACTATAGGACGTCTATACTACTTACAGAAATAATAAATCTACGTTGAGTGTACGAATGAAAGCTCAATAAGATCTAGATTTGGCTCGCGCCTTTGTCCTTAATAAAATACACAAAGATAAAACCGATTTATAAAATTATAATACAATACATTCGAACGTAAGATAAATGTTTCGAGTCGATGGGACTCGTGTCAAAAGCTCATTTTTCTATCATCTAGCACAAAAACTCATCAAACCATACTAAATGACTCATAATAGGCTCCAAAAATTGTTTTAATAAATTCATTTTTCCATAATTTAAAAAACAGACTGCCGCATGCGTGTATAATCGTACGAAATAAAACCATTTCAAAGAATTAACTTAAGATAATCTTTTGATAAAATAAAATAATTATCTTTAAATTGATGCAGTTTTTGTGTCTAACAGTGTATATTATAAATAATAAGTATCATTCAACGAACGCAGTGAATGGCGAACTTCGTTCTACGTGAATGTATTTAATATTTTCATAGCAACACTGTTAATTATCAAAAAATACGCTTTTCACCCACTGATCCCGGCGCTAATCCAAAATATAACAGTTGCATGCAACCGATACTCTAGTAATGGAACATTGTCGGTAGTTAAAACTTATGTAGTACTTTATTGCCAACTTACAACTCAGAAATTGGGCCGTGACAGTTATGGCATTGTGAGAGTTATGTATGCCAGTTTAGATCACAGTAGTCAATCATGGACATGTGACAATTACTTGGGTAATAGTTGAAAGTAACGTGTGTATAGATACACAACATATAGCTTCGCACAGTAGTATCTCGTAATAAAATGAGTCACCGCTACCAATCCCTGATTCATGTAAATAAAGTTAATTAATTTAATATTTTTGAGTATTATAAAAAAAACTGTGCTGGGTATTAAAATGACTGATGAATAAAATCGTGCTTACATAATGTTCGCTGTAGATGCGTACTGTACCACAGTGGTGTCGGCGTGTGCGCGTGCGTCGAGGCAAGGGATAGAGGCGGGAAGGACGCGCGCGCGCGGTCAGGTGTCGGGCGACCGCAGCGAGTGCAGCGCGTTGCCGTGCCCCGCCGGTCTTCGTCGGTCCAGGAAAGTCTTCAGTTGGGTCGCCGATAGTGGAGTTGGTGGCGCCTGTAAGAAAAGAAGAACAGGTTAACATTGTAACGGATGTAATCGTTGAAAGTGATAATAGGTAGCGTGTTTGGAAATAACAATCAGAAAATGACTTTTTGTTTGGATCATTTCTTTATTCCGCTTTGCAGTTAGGTCGAAACAAATAGCCAGGTAATGTTAATTGTTTTATAAAAATCGACAGCCGTTAAACAACGCGCAACGGATGAAATATCAGTCTCGACAAGTGAGTCGTGAGTGAGTGCTCGCTGATGTCACTCCAGTGCCTGCGCATGCTTCTTGGATCTATCAGTAATCAGGTAGTCTATTATGACGTCTGCTGACGCTCACTGTTACCACGCCATTTTAGCACTAAGGACTATACAGGGTAGAAACGATAAGTGATCTCATTCGATTATTTCTAAACTATACAAGATATCGAAAAACTGGTTACAGGTCCAGAAAGTGCTTTACGAGCTCTTTCAAGAGGAACCAATAACAGGTTACAGAATAAACTGGATCCATCCGGAATTCATTTTTGTTTGAGTTTGTTCCGGCGTTTCTTCTCAGCACTTGCCATATGTTTCTCTCGAAGCGCTGGTAGGGCCCAAAAGATAAGGAGACATGTAAAGTGCCCCATAAGGGCTACCTTTTCTTTTTTTATATTTGACGTTCATAAGTGCCACTTGTGGTCTAAACTGAATAAATATTTTTGATTTTGAATGTTCAATGGCGAGGGCTCCAGCAGGCCCCGGATCAGCTGCTGCGCGCGCTCGCTCACGCCGCCCCAGTGCCCCGGCGGGAAGCGGCGTCGCGCTTCAGTGAGACACTAGTGCCGGGCTCACCTCATCGAACCAGGGGTCGGCGAGCGCGTCCCGCAGCGGCAGGCGCGCGGCCGGCGCGGGCTCCAGCAGGCCGCGGATCAGCTGCTGCGCGCGCTCGCTCACGCCGCCCCAGTGCCCCGGCGGGAAGCGGCGTCGCGCTTCAGTGAGACACTAGTGCCGGGCTCACCTCATCGAACCAGGGGTCGGCGAGCGCGTCCCGCAGCGGCAGGCGCGCGGCCGGCGCGGGCTCCAGCAGGCCGCGGATCAGCTGCTGCGCGCGCTCGCTCACGCCGCCCCAGTGCCCCGGCGGGAAGCGGCGTCGCGCTTCAGTGAGACACTAGTGCCGGGCTCACCTCATCGAACCAGGGGTCGGCGAGCGCGTCCCGCAGCGGCAGGCGCGCGGCCGGCGCGGGCTCCAGCAGGCCGCGGATCAGCTGCTGCGCGCGCTCGCTCACGCCGCCCCAGTGCCCCGGCGGGAAGCGGCGTCGCGCTTCAGTGAGACACTAGTGCCGGGCTCACCTCATCGAACCAGGGGTCGGCGAGCGCGTCCCGCAGCGGCAGGCGCGCGGCCGGCGCGGGCTCCAGCAGGCCGCGGATCAGCTGCTGCGCGCGCTCGCTCACGCCGCCCCAGTGCCCCGGCGGGAAGCGGCGTCGCGCTTCAGTGAGACACTAGTGCCGGGCTCACCTCATCGAACCAGGGGTCGGCGAGCGCGTCCCGCAGCGGCAGGCGCGCGGCCGGCGCGGGCTCCAGCAGGCCGCGGATCAGCTGCTGCGCGCGCTCGCTCACGCCGCCCCAGTGCAAGTAGACCTGAAGTGATGCAGTGACCGCGCGCTCTCCGCCCTCTATCTCGAAAACGGTTCACCGTATAAAAAAAGTTTTTAAACAAAATTTGTAGAGAATTTAGTATTCTACAATATTGATAATAAATACAAATAGCGAAAAACCCATAGGTAATGAGATATTTCTAAAAAAAGCGCAAAAAACCGATTTTTGTGACCGTTGACCTTGAAATTTAATAGTTGCTTACACCCTACCATATGTAGGTTTTGAGACAACTTTTAGGGTGTCAATATACACGTATTTACAGACTTACAGCTGGGTATCTCGAATTCCGAGGTGAACTTACTATAATGACTGGACTAAGACGTCTGCCGCGCGCTTGGTGTGCCTTTGCAAGACCGCATATGGTAAATTGTATGACAACTGCGTCGGAATAAAATTTTCAATTACTAATAATTAGTGTGCGGTCTTGCAAACGCACGGCAAGCGCACGGCAATTGTCTAAATATAAAGCGCCTTAAGTGGGTGATAAATCTATACTATCTATACTAATATTATAAATGCGAAAGTAACTCTGTCTGTCTGTCTTGCTTTCACGCCTAAACCAATTTTAATGAAATTTGGCATGAAGATAGTTTGAGTCCCAGGAAAGGACATAGGATAGTTTTACACCAGGTTTTGAAACATAGACGCGCGCGATAAAGTTTTTCTGTGACAGACAAAATTCAACGCGGGCGAAGCCGCGGGCGGAAAGCTAGTAATACCAGGCCTGTTCATCTCCGCGAGTTTACATCGAAAACAAAACACGCACGATGGCCCACCTACAGGATACTATTCGACAAGGCCTCACATACGAGCGAACATTGACTCACGCACGCGTATTCTTGTGTATGATGGAAGAAAATAAAGAAAATGGTGTACTAAATACTGTGCAGTATTTAACTGCCTAAATAATAATAAAAACACAGAATGTACTTTTTTAAGTTGCCTCAAGACACTGAGAGGTAAATAAGTAGTTAATATTATTCATGATAATTCATGCTAAATCATGTATTTCCTTCGCCATTTTCCGCAGTTTGGCACCTCATCATTTTACCGAAGTCAGCCCTATAGCTTCGGCGCAGTGCCGATCACTGACGTTTGTCAACAAAATGGTGCTTGACTCTTGAGACAGGCTAAATTACACCATATTGTTAATGACATTGAGCATACATTTTTTTAAATACCTTCGCGAAGTAAAACTTCTGTACGTAGTACTTATTATTATTCTGTGGTAATACTATACATAATACTCACCCCAGTAAGGAAGACGTATAGAAACACGCCGGCCGCCCAAGCGTCCCAGGCGGGCGCGGGCGGGCGGCCGAGCACGCACTCGGGCGGCGCGAACTCCAGCTGCGCAGGCGCCGGCGGCAGCACGTCGCGCCCCGCCCCGCCCGCCCCCGCCGCCCCCTCGGCCGCGCAGCCCAGGTCGATCAGCTTCACTTGGGGCGCGGCGCCGCCTAGCTCTACTAGAATGTTCTCCGGCTGCAACAAGATACCATCTATACATATAAAAATAAAACCCGTTTTCCGTTGTCACGACATAACATGAAAACGGCTTGACCGATTTGGCTGATTTTTTTTGTAGTTTTCTAATACTCTGTACAAGCTTTTTACGGAAAAAAATATAAAGAAAATCTCTACGCTAAGGCGGTACGAAATTCGCCGGGTCAGCTAGTTTTAAATAAATATCCTAGGACATTTTACACCTAAGCAAAGCTTGTACTATGGGTACTAGACGACGGATATAAACATACTTAAATACTTATTTCTTTAAATTATACATACCCGGGACCTCTCGGCATAGTAGTCCGTTCTGAACCACTATACCAAATGACGACCGATCAATTTTATTTCAGTAAATCTATATTAATTGAATGAAAATGTAAAAAAATGTGGAATACAAAGCTATAATAATAATTTAAAAAAAGTCTACAGGGTGTTAGGTAAATGGGTATATGAGCCGACCCTAGCCCATGTTAACATGGTCATATAAATGGTATGGTGAAGTCAGAAAATTTATATCTTCATTTTAATTATTTTAATTTTCAAACAAGTCGGATTTTATAAAATTTATTTTGTATGAAAATTAAAAAAAATAAAAAGATGATATCAAATGGCAATGCCAGATTTTGTATGGAAAGTGGCGTCTTTTTTTTTTCGCGCGGCCATCGACCAAACTTTGTTTTTGAATAACAAAATAGTATAATAAACCAAACTTACTATGGCATGTATACCTCTAAACTCAGTCTGAACTGAGTTACGAGCATTAGAAGTTTGATGATTTTCATTACTAGATTTGCTTTTTGTGCGCAAGTTTTGTAAGAAATTGCAACAAAATATTGCGCTATTTTTTTATTGCGCTGATTCTGCTCCATATTGATGTCTGGAGCCTTTAATGGATGATATTGTTTGTTGACACATACAATCTCACTATTTTGTTGCAATTTCTTACAAAACTTTGCGCGCAAAAAGCAAATCTAGTATGAAAATCATCAAACTTCTAATGCTCGTAACTCAGTTCAGACTGAGTTTAGAGGTATACATGTCATAGTAAGTTTGGTTTATTACACTATTTTGTAATCAAAAAACAAAGTTTGGTCGATGGCCGCGCGAAAAAAAAAAGACGCCAATTTCCGGCATTGTCTTTTCTGACTTCACCATACCATTTATATGCCCATGTTAACATGGGCTAGTGTCGGCTCATATACCCATTTACCTAACACCCTGTATAAACTATATTTTAACACATTATAAATGTTAAGCCTAACTAGTTTTTAAACATTCCCATCCTATCAAGACCGATGTCATTATTTTTAAGGTACCTAGGTAATTGTTCGTATTGGCCGCTGCGATACAAGCTTTCCTGCTTAGTGCAGAGACCGCCAGAATAATTTGCACAATGTGACATCTTTTAGTAATGAATACTTTTTACTTTTAATTTCAGTAAATCTATATTTAACCCACCGAATGACTCCCTCTGAAACGTAACCCTTAACCAGGCTCTAGTTCACAGGACCCACATCAATTTGAACTTTGTGCTGTGAAGATACGGCGGAAAACCAATGACTTTTTTTTAGTACTGGTTAAGGGTTAAAACAGGAAAAATTGAATTGTGATACTAAAATGGGAAATAAGGCAATCTGAAGAAAAAAGGACCTAAAAAACGATTTTTCCTCCAGTACAAAACAAATGACAAAAAGACGTGTGAATAGTATTTCTGAATGGAAATTATGCCTGTTATTGTGCGCGCCTGCCCCTAGTCTAGCAGGGGCTGCCATCCTCAGCTCCAACGTATTACTAGCATTCCTAAGTCCTAAGTGTACTTCACCCTAACGGCCTAATGCACAATATTGTTTCCGTGAACAGCTGTCGTGTGTGCTGGGCAGCCGCCTGCTGTGTATAAATAGCGACAGGTGCGCCTGCGCCCAGTTTAGCAGCGGGCCGCCGCCCACTAGTTCAAGCACGAGCGCGTTAAAACGTTCTTAAGACCTACAGGTACTCACCCTCACGTCTAAATGTGCTATATTGTTCCCGTGCAGGTAGTCCAGCGCGGACAGCAACTGTCGTGTGTGCTGGGCAACCGCCTGCTGTGTATAAGTAGCGACAGGTGCGCCTGCGCCCAGTTTAGCAGCGGGCCGCCGCCCACTAGTTCAAGAACGAGTGCGTTCTTAAGACCTAAGTGTACTCACCCTAACGTCTAAATGTGCTATATTGTTCCCGTGCAGGTAGTCAAGCGCGGACAGCAGCTGTCGCGTGTGCTGGGCAGCCGCCTGCTGTGTATAAGTAGCGATAGGTGCGCCTGCGCCCAGTTTATCAGCGGGCCGCCGCCCACTAGTTCAAGCACGAATTACGAAGTTCTTAAGACCTACAGGTACTCACCCTCACGTCTAAATGTGCGATATTGTTCCCGTGCAGGTAGTCCAGCGCGGACAGCAGCTGTCGCGTGTGCTGTGCGGCCGCTTGCTGTGTGTACAGCGCGGGGTGCGCCTGCGCCCAGTCCAGCAGCGGGCCGCCGCCCACTAGCTCGAGCACGAGCGTGTGCGCGCCCGCTCGCGGCACGTCGGCGAATAGAGCCATCGCGCGCACCACGCCGCCGTGCGCGCACTGCGACAGCATGCGGTATTCGCGCGTTGCGTCCGCACCACGCCCCGCCAGCACCTGATGATTGATAGGTAATATGATTGTAACAAGTTAAAGTTTTGAAAAAATATAAACTAAAATGATACAGATAAGTTAAAGCTCAATCTTTTCTGCGTTTTATAGTCAGTTAAAATTAGACAATTTGCAATCAGCTGAATTGAATATAAAATACGTGCGTACCTGTTTCAAGGCCACTCGTTGTCCCGTTCCAGTGTCACGAGCTGCCAGAACTCGCGCCGTGCGTCCTCTTCCGATCTCCTCCTCGATGCTGTATCTCCTCCCGAACTGTTCCCTCTGCCAGCTGCCGCCGCCGCCGCACGCGGCCGGGCCCGACGCCGCCCCGGGGGCCCCGCTCCGGGCGCACACCAGGCGGAAGCTGTACTGGCCGGCCGGCAACTCTTCCAGGGCCAAGGTGTTGGCAGCCGCCGGGGTCTCAGTGGCACGACGCCACTCGCCCTCGCCGACGCGGCAGTATTCGAGATGCGCGGGGCTCGACTCGTCCCACTGCACGACCAGCCCGCCGCCGGGATGCGCCCGGACGGCCGGCACGCCGGGGGCTCCGCCGGCGCCCACCGTCAGCCGCGCCGAAGTCTGCACGCCGCCCAGCTCGTTGCTGATGAGGCAGCAGTAGACGCCGGCGTCGGACGCGCGGCACGCGTGTATCGTGAGGGTGGCGAGCCCGTCGGGCGCGAGCGAGATGGCGAAGCGGTCGCCGTGGCGCAGCGCGCGGGTCTCGGGCGCGGTCTTGCGCCAGGAAGCCGCGGCGCGCGCGGCGCCGGCGCGGCACGACAGCGTGGCGCTGGCGCCGGGCGACACGGTGACGTCGGTGGCGGGCTCGGACAGCTCGGGCGGGCGCAGCTCCGTCACCACGCCCTCGGCGCTGGGCTCGCCGGCGCCGCCGCTGCCGCCCCGGCGCAACTTCAGGCCCCAGGGCCGCTTCGACAGCCCCTGCACGTTGCGCATACACTGATAACATCTCCCCGAACGAGGCGGCTACAAGCGGTGTGTATCGCAAGCGATGCATGCATGCTCTTTGCTCACCTAGTGTTCCGTCACCTTTGTTTACTGACCACTTTACCGATTTAATACTAATAAACGATTAACAATAAATAAACTTAAAGTCATTGGCGGTTATTACGAGTCACTAAGCACAATACTAAGTCTTGCGCGTGAGTCGAACTGGCCGCTATCACAGTCTATGTTAAAAATGCATTCCCATGTTTATCATACCTACAACAAAAGAAATATAGACAAGCGTTAAAAAAGGAAGAAACATGCAAAAGAAAAATGAGTGCAATGAAGTGTAAACGCATTTAAAAGTGCAATAGAGTGAAAGAAGAAGACTATACGGGATGGAGATAACAATACGATATTTACAATAATCAATATTGCGGTGACTAGACTGAAACTAAATTTACATTACTTGATGTTCATACTTTCATACCTGAATAGGCTATTTTTATCAGTGTTAAACATCCGCAAAAAAAATATTTAAGTGAAAACTATCGTGTTACATGTAATGTATTTTCGTATTGCTTTATCCATCTTACATGAGAATCAGAATGGACACTATTAATTTGCATAAATAAAAATAAAATGATTTAAAATCCCGTAAAAAAATAGTAATTATTTCAACTAGTCACATTCATGACTAAGAAATTCTATCAGAACCAAAAGTATTTTAGGGCACATTTTTCAATTTTCTGATAACTTTTTCAACGTCTACCAGCCTAATATACTACAAGCCTGCTCTTAGAGCATGTTCTTTCTACCGCACCAAATTGAAATAAACATTTTCTGGGTGTGACAACAATCAAAAGCTTAAGGCCCGGTTTCCACCAATGCGGCGCTGTGCGGAGTGGAGACGAGAAGTGTAAATAATGAAATCTGATTGGTTATTCAACACACTTCTCTGCTCCGCTCCGCTTTGGTGAAAGCCGGGCCTTATACCAGTTTTTTTTTTGTATATGCGGCGCGATGTTTTTATACTATTTGACCATCGAATCAATTGCGCCTCCCGCTTCACTTGTAGCTGTCTTTCTATAAAAACATGATGTCACGCTTATGAGAGGTGATTATTCCCAAATAGAATTCGTATTATGTTGTATTGCAACAGTGTGCTTCATGTTCTGGTTACAGATAAACAAAGAAGTTACCCTTTTTTAATATTTAAGTTACCCAATGTATAACCATTGTCATGCAAAAGCTACCAAAAACTATATTACCTACTGTGTTATTACTTATTATGCAATACCTTACTGCATTTAAAATGAAATCTGCATCGATTGTGATAATTGGTTAAAAACATTATATGCCGAATATTAAAATAATTTCATCAGGTTTAATATTATGACGACTACGTGTAGTAAGCGCAACGAGAGTTGAGGCCATCGACACAGTGATTTGTACGAGTATCTATATTCGCTGTCAGCTAAAATAGTGACTGAGTTTCTTGCGCTGCTTCTTCTCAGCACTGGCCCATTGATTGTCTTGAACCAGTGCTAGGGTTAATACTGGGACGCGTAAAAATGCTTGTAAAAAGCCTACTTATAAAATTAAATGAGTTTTATGAGCTGACGTCACGAGTAGTCCGATATAATTATACCTATTACGATTCCGGAAAAAAGTAAACTCTTGAAACAAACGGCACGGTTGAAATATTTGGTGATAGTGCATCAAGCACTGTCTTTGTATCATGTGTTTTTGTGATCGCAAATTAGTGTTCCTCAATATTTTTTTATAATAGTGTCATTAATGCATCATTGTTAACCATGTTAAAATGTATGAACTGTACGTGACTTTGTTGGTGTACTAAATAAATAAATAGAGCCTTAGGTGAGTACAGATCGAATTACTCTGACCGTTGTGCAAGTTAGGTTTTCAATCGGTTCAATAAATAGATTTGGGTATATTTGGTTATCTCCGCCTGAATTTATTTCACTATTTCATAATTGAATATGTTGTAAGAACAGGAAGATGACTCCTATCTATTCTAGCAATACGGTCAAATTATGTGCACTTTGCTTGTTAAGAGTTTTTAGTGATATGCTCTTTGCACACCCACCCACATGGGATTGTCCCGCATGCTTATTAGCATCCGTAATCAAGGATAAATAATTATTGCGAAACTTGATATACGGGATTCGGGGCGACCATCTCGGTGCGGGTTAACCGCACTAGGAATAACTAAGACTCAAATAGCATGGTCATCTGTAGCATCTGTAGCGTGGAATTTAAACACAAGCGAGCCAATCCTGTGAGCGTGTGCAAATCCACATGACATTAAAAACGCCTGTGGACAGTATCTCGAGTAATTTTGCTAACTTTGTTTAGACAAAGTTTTTCCGAATTAGTTATTCCCACGTATGTTTCAACGTTTTCGAATTTTCGAGTTCGAATCGTTTGCGTATTCGAATCGCCATGAAAATTTTAGTACTAAAACTACAACAGCGCCCTTGTGAACGTGTCGTAAAGTGAACTTAGTATGAGAAAAGGTTGGACGAAACTTATTTTGAGAATCAAAATTGTCACGTTATCGTTTAATTCGAAGATTGAGTATCGAATTTTGTCGAGTACGCAAACGATTCGAAGACGAAAGTTGTTCATGCTAGAGGTACAGGTCGGAGTTTGACGTCATCGGCGCAGCTGCATCGCGCGCGCTACTCACGTTGGCGTGCGGCGGCGAGGTGTGCGCGGCCGCGTTGTTGGCGGCGACGTTGGCGCTCTTCTTGCGCTCGTCGCCGCGGATGGCGGTGGTGGGCAGGTTGATGGTGTTGGCCTTGGCGTGCGGCCGCTGCGTGCGCCGCAGCTCAGGCGCCAGCCGCGCGCCCACCGACGGCGGCACGCTCTCCGTCTTACGCAGCCCGCACCACCCCGAACCCGCGCTATTCGGACGGGAATAGGATGTTAAAACAAAACAAAACAAAAATGGGCGAACCAGCTTTCGCTACCGCTAATGCACCCTCTCCCGCTCCTCATGAGTCAAGCGAACTAAATACCCCATCACCACCACCACCAAGCGTTTCTATTCTCACTTTTATATGGATTCATGTGTAGGTGAGCGCTCATCTATTGCGTTGCTGTGCCAATATTAGCAGCGTTCAGCTAAGCTGGCCCCCGAACATAAAAATAATCAACAAAAAAGAAATAAACATAACAAGCATGCGGGACTAAAAGCATAAAACCACAAGCATTTTTTATTCACATTTATTGGTTACTCATGTAACATATAAGTAGTTCAGTATTACAGTGATTGTTAGAAGTTAGTATTATATACATATTTAGGATTCGATAGGCAAATATATACATACGATGATTTATTAAAATGATAACACATAAATGTAGAAGATAACATTATTTTTGAAAACTCAAATGCTTTGGTCGAGTTTGTTAGATTATAGAAAAGTTGAATACAGATATAAAATATTAATGTTAGAACAGATCAACATAATTCGCAAGAGATAGTATAAGGAGTCGTGTGAACTATTCTATGCACTATTATTGAGATGTCTAATTATAATGTATTTCAAAAGCAAATAACGAAGCGTTACGTCGATCACAAAATAATCGTCGCCATCTCCAACTCGTACAATTTAAAAGTAACAAAATATATTAGCTATATAATCTGTTAAATGTGCGACTCATTATAATTAAGTAGCCACAACGAAGCGGTAACCCATCGTTATTAAAGCAGTGATCACTTTGACCCTAACCCCCGCCGCCGCCGGTCTGTCGCCGCCGGCCGCTACCGGCGGCGCGAGCGCGGCTGCCGCTGCACCGCGGTGAGCACGCTTATCAACTACTTCATCTAATGTTATCCTGTTTGTTAGTACTACAATGGATGCAGATTCATTCAAACTGTCCTATAACTTTGTTGTTATCATTTATATAGATGTATTGCTAAGTATTTAAGTTCTGGGCAGAGATTTCATTGCCAGATGAACTCATTAAAAGGCGGCTACCGTCCCGGAGTGCGCAGCGGCGTTCGATTACATGTCATATTATTACACCCTCGATAACTCAGACTGCACCTTTACGCAGCGTAAATGCAGCAAACTATAAATACACATTACACATTAATAATAACCATTAAATATACCTTATTACTATGAACATCAAAAGCCGAGTTGTAAAGCATTTAATGTTAATGTTTACTATTTATTACAATTAATTATTCCACCTAAACTTACAGACTACAATGGCTGGGATGATAAATAATTATAAGTGGGTAAAATGATTAATAAATTACATTAAAAATGATTGCAATCAAAAGTTGGCCCCTATACCTAAAATGATTTAATCTAAACGAATGCAATAAGTAGATGTGTTGCGGTATACGGGGTTAGGTGAATGGAGTTAAAAGACTATATGAAATTATACTAGGTAGGTATCAACTCGGGATCTTATACTATGTATATTTGAAAATTTTGTTAATATAACATGAAGACTGGATTATAATTATGTTGTAAGGTGACACCATTTATACATTTATAATCTTCAAATACTAAGCTATGATGTCGCGTGTATGTCTTTGCTTTCTATAGATGCAGTGTCTAAAACGTCTACGTCATCGATGAAGTCACATTATAGCTATCCAAAAGTGAAGTACATATTCAGCGAACATCCAATATGAGAAATTGTATCGGAAATATTGATTGTGAAGATCAGTATAATACCAAGAATACTTACGCTAATTGTACGGTGCAATATATTTTATGTTATACGGTACTATTATAGTATCTTGCGACTATATACTAATATTTTCTATTTCATGTGTACTTTGCAGGTCTCTGGTGTTACAACAATAATTGTAACAACTGTAATAAATATAATAATAATTATAACTACTAGACAGCTTCCGGTCGTTACCTTAAAAAGCTGTGAAATGCCTACTTTTCGAGAATGCATTGCGATTTGTTACAACGCATTCCGTTCGAGTAGGCTATACAAATGTGAGATTATTAAAGAATAAATATTCCGCGATTACATGACTCTAACCTTACTGAGAATGTATATGACGTGTCTTAACCTACCATGCAATACTTCTAACCAACGTTTCCAATATACTTTTCGTATGTTCACTCCATATTTCCAGTCTTCTTCGATTCCTACTTAACACTAATCACTGAGAAAAATAAAGAAATGTATGCATTAGATGCATGCTCACTTTCATTCGGCCAAGATCAACCAATGGCAAGAGAAAGCTTTGTAAGAGCTATGTTAAATTGTTCAGAAAGGTTATAATGTATGTTGTTTTGAATCAATTGACGGTATTCTATAGATAAATAGTTCTGACACATATTATGTTCAAGAATATGTGTGTTATAAAGAACCTATAGCGTCAGGGGTGCGAACAGTGATATGATGCTTGATATGACTTGCAGATTTTTAAATTAAGTAGCACGTACACTATTAGTTTCGCGAAAATAACTAAAATAACTTAGAACATCATTACCAGTGTACATTCGAATTACAATAAGTACTTTTACATTGAAATAGAGGTTGTTATACATAAATGATGATCAAACGACGTTATCATTGGTCAGTTCTCAAGTACACTTACATAATCTGGCAGTACATTATTGCGTTTTCGTTAACATTACTGAATAACTAATATTAAATTTCACTGTAATGCGACACCTCGACTGGAGGTATCGCCGTCGACCAGTCAGCTTCAATCGCAGAACCACTGGTCATGTCTAAGTTAAAGCGATATGAACTGTTACTTTAAAGGTACATACACATCCTACCCGTATTAACATTAAAATTTTCAAAATAAGTATATCTAAATATCAATTCCAGTGTAGTAATTAACCTAACATGGACAATTATTATAACTAGTTATTTATACGAGCCGCGCGAACTTACAATTGACTCAGACGCCAGCAGCCGGGCCGGCGGCTGATCGTGTCGCTTGTTAATACATTAAAGTTATTATCCACATCCACCACCGCATGTTAGTATGCTAACACAAATTTTCTCCCTGGGACACCTCAAACACGACATGTCTTCTAAGTGATACGATAAGCAGAAGAGACGAGAAAGAATGTGTTTTGATTTCTCGAAAGACTCGTGTTTGAGGCGTCCTGGGTCATGCATGCGTCGCCAAGAGTTGCTGTGTGTCTGCGACTAAAGACACCTTTGGAAGACTCGTGGATAAACGGCTAGCTAATGTACGAACCATTCTATCAATATTGCTGATGTAACTTACTTTTAATGTCATTCATTTGTCTCTGTAAGTGGTCAAACATTTTTTTGTAATATATTTTCAGTTTTCTGGTGAATAGATTCGTAAATTAGCTGCCGAATTGTCGTTAGTAGATATAATGATATAATAAAAAGTATCATTTTTATTGCTATAACAAGGTTGTCATTCATTCTGTAAACACAACAATTCTCGGCGAGTTTCAGTTATCCTTGTTATTATTTCCTATTACGATTATTACAAAGCTCTTTTATCACTCTTCAAAAATAGCGTAAAATTAAATTAATTATTACACCTTCAGAAACAGTTCAGATGCGCGGAATGCGTGAAATTGTACGACATACTTTTACAGTCATATGCTTGTATTTCAATGTCAGATGATTATTTACACTGTTCGCGGTCCAGTTAAGTTATAAAGGAGTAATATGTCATCGGTGGTTGTATTCGCGATAATAGCAGTCCGCACATCGCCGGTTAATTAACATCCTTTGTTAGTGGAGTTGTGTTACATGCGGTTAGGGTTATCGGCTGTTATCGCGGCGGCCGCGCGCGGCGCGCACGCTGCCGGCGCGCGCGCAGGCCACACGTGACGTCACTAGCACGCCTTGCGACTAGCCACCAATACGCGGTAATCTCACTAGTGTAATCTTTTTATAATGGCAGTATCGGTTACATATGAATTGATATATATTTGAACGCTTATAATTACTCTCTCTCGGTACTAAAATGAATAAAATTGTGCGATTATATAATGGGTTTATACTATAACTATTGGATTACACGGGCTTTGAATACTATTACTGATTTATTAATTATACTAAGATTTAAAACTTATATTCTGCCGTCCATCGGTCTCGCTAGGGTCTACCAATTTGATTGGATATTATAGAAATCGGGCTAGCTTTATAAGACCCTTCGCTGAAGCTATCTATCCCGCGTGGCATGCGCGCAGCCGGCGCGGCGTGGCGTGGCGTGGCGTGGCGCGTGGTACTTACGAGGAGTGGCCCTGCAGCTCGCGCAGGTAGGCGCTGGGGTTCTCGAGCGCCTCGCCGAACATTCGCTGCGAGTTGAGAATGCGCGAGAGCGCCGCGATCCACTCCTGGAGCGACGCCTCGGGGCCCTTGCAGAGATAAGACTGCCGCGGCTTGTTCGGGTCCAACGAGTGGATTATGAACGCTGTGTTGTTCTCAACTTCTTCAAGCTCCATCTTGTTCATCTGTGGAAATATAGTTGAAATATTAGTTTATTTTAAACACGATTAAGACTGGTGATATTATATCAGTTGCTAGAAAGAGCCCCTGCATCAAAGAAATCTTTATTTGAAATAAGTATAAGCACAGAATAATAATAAGTACTACGTACAAAAGTTTTACTTCGCGAAGGAATTTAAAAAAATGTATGCTCAATGTCATTAACAATATGGTGTAATTTAGCCTGTCTCAAGAGTCAAGCACCATTTTGTTGACAAACGTCAGTGATCGGCACTGCGCCGAAGCTATAGGGCTGACTTCGGTAAAATGATGTGACGTGAGGTGCCAAACTGCGGAAAATGGCGGAGGAAATACATGATTTAGCATGAATTATCATGAATAATATTAACTACTTATTTACCTCTCAATGACTTGAGGCAACTTAAAAAAGTACATTCTGATTATTATTTAGGCAGTTAAATACTGCACAGTATTTAGTACACCATTTTATTTATTTTCTTCCAACATACACAAGAATACGCGTGCGTGAGTCAATGTTCGCTCGTATGTGAGGCCTTGTCAAATAGTATCCTGTAGGTGGGCTATCGTGCGTGTTTTGTTTTCGATGTAAACTCGCGGAGATGAACAGGCCTGGTATAAGTCAGAATGAACCGATCATAATGTTATTTACAACTCATCATGTGTACAGAAAGTTTGTAACTCAATCGGTCTGTTGGAAGCATGATGGCATCTACATTCCACGGGACATAAGAGTAGGCGCACACCGTTGATTTTTCGTCGGCCGATAGTTTAGTCGGGCAGTTGATCAGTATGGGCATGTATGGGAGTGCGCACACTACGCCGATTCGATTTGGCCGATTCTTCATACAAATTAAAATCGGGCACAACTATCGGCCAACTAAAAATCAACGGTGTGCGCCTACTTTAATAGAGAAAGCCATACCTGCACATGTCCCTTGTAGTTGTAGGTGGGGCTGGTGTACTGGTTCTTCTTGCCGACGGCCTCGCTGAAGATGACGCACTGCTCGAAGAGGAACACGTGAAGCTCCTTGCCCTTCTCGCTGCTGGAGCTCAGGTCGGCCACCTGCAGCGCCTCCTGCATCAGCAGCTTGCCCTGCGCCGTGATGTTGCCCTGCAACGACCAGCCACCGTTAATGCTTCGCTCATCTCGCCTCATGTCTAGTGATGTACAAGGCGAGGCTTCCGAGAGCTCAGAGTCGTTTTACAGGGCTCGCCTCGTTTGTATGAAGCTCGACGACTCGGAAGTCCTTTTTAGAGTTCGAGCCTTTTTCGGGGCACGCCTCGTTTATGAAGCTTGGAGTCTTTCGCAGAGCTCGAGCCTGTTTGAGAGCTTGAGCCTTTTTGAAAGCCCAGTTAACTTTTGTGTTAAGATCGTCTTATTAAATAAAACTGCAGAAATTCTGATGCTACAATAAAATACATATTTGAAAAACGTTTTTCACAAAAGGGCACAAATCAAATAATGACTACAAACAATTAGAATTATAACTTTTCCTAACAAAATAAAATATAGGTCCATTTTAAAAGTATCATAATTAAAATCAAAGTAGGTGATGTTTTGTTATTTGTTTGAGCTCTTTTGAAGGTTCGAGCTCTTTTCAAGGCTCGAGCTCTTTTAAAGCTTCGAGGCATGGCTCAGAGAGCTCGCAGCTCGGCTAAATTCGGGGCACCGAGCCTACCGAGCTTACTGAGCATTGCCATTTCGCCTCGAGGCTTCAAAAATAGGACTCGACGCCTCGAGTCTTGTACATACTCATGTCGCGACCAATCCTTGTGGCATGATCATAATCGTATAGGCCGCGCAGCGACAGTTGAGGCGCTCTACACAAGCAGATATCTGTATACGCTCGCCGCGCTGATGCTGTGCGTAGTCTGACTGACAAGCTCTCTTCTCTGCCTCGCTTGCACACATTCGTTATATTGAGCAAGTGCGAGGTGACTAGGGTATTCGATATTTGTATGCGTAAATTGTTGTGTGTGTTCGCCAAATCTTTCGTTGCGCGACCTACACCATTCATCCATAAACAACTGAGGGTAAACTGTCAGTTTTCAGGTAAATGTGAAGCATTTACTTACTAAATGACATTTATTTAATGGGATTTTTTTTGTATTTCATAATGTTATCACAACACGCTACGTGCTAGCTTTTAATAATGATCTCTGGTTCACAGTTTAGTCCCTAATCCTGATTGAACTTTTGGCGCAAATTAAATTCGTAATTAGCAACAGACGGCCACATCTGTAATCGGATTTCAATGGTCAATTCGCAAAAAGCAATGCAAGCACAAAACACATTGTTACGAAATAATTCGCGAGTTGTCAGTCGCTGATGGCAAATAGTACGGTGATAGCGGAAGGGTGTACGCCTAGGACACTTCGTCTGGCAAGTGAAAATAAGGATGGCGATGCTTACCGTGAATCCTTGCAGGCGGCCGACGTCCATCATCATGTTGGCGTTCTTGGGGATGATGTCTGTGTAGTGCATGGCCTGGCGCAGCGACGCCAGCACGTCGGGGTTCGCGCGCGCGTGCTCGGAGTACGATAAGATCTTCTTCACCAGCAAGTGGTACTTCTGGATGCGTTGGATCGGCTTGATCAGCAGGTCACCGAGCTGAAAATTTTACGCCAACAGTTATAGACACTCATAACTATTACAACAGGCGTTTGGACCTCAAGAATTATGGCCTCCAGTCCGTCCAAACGCAATTCGCAAGCATGCGAACATTTAAAGCGAAATTTCAACACATAGCATTGCACGACATATTTGTGGTGTGTGCGTGTCGTGTCTGTTTAAAAAACATAAATTACCAGAAATTAACCAAAATACGTGGTTTTGTTAATATATAGACACCAAACATTTAGCATTTGATCATGCAAGCATCGAGTGCTTTTAGCGTAGAACACATAAGTTTTAACTACGATTACGTGAATTTTAGACAACGTGTGTTTTTGAATGTGTTCCCTTAAACATTGCGGCGGATGACAGCGGGGACAACAAATATGATTTCACTCACTATGTCTCATTCCATCGACTTGTGAGCAAATAAATGAAAACAAAAATCTGAAGTCGATGGCATGCGCCCGTAGTGTAGTGAATACTGCGAAGCATGGCTGGTACTGAGTGTGTTAAACTATCTGCCAATTCGGTGGTTACGATTGTAATATGGTAGATCAAAGAATTTTGCCTCGAGTCCTATTCCGTTAGGGGATTAAACTACAAGTTTCTTAAAAATAGGACAAGTGTAAGTCATGGTACCAGCGCTGCCCGGATTGTGGACAAATAGTGAACGGAGTTTGTACCTGCGCGATACTAATGCGTGCGCCAGGGATGTACGAACGTTGTCTAAGAAGAACCTAGTGTTGGAACACACGATGTAATGGTTTACTATAAAATTGACAATGCTTGGTTGCATAGGAATCACATTTGAAACATTATTTTCAAACGGGAAGGGAGGGGACTGGGGGAATTTCAATTCGAGATCAGAAATGTTAAAAAAGAGTAGTCAGTGTTTATCTAATATTGTAAAAGAAAAAAATTATTGATTCTATGGGGAAAAATACTACACGTCACGACCTTTTTGTATGCAATGTTTTTAAGATTACTTATAAAAATGTTCCAAACTAAATTGACATTTAGTTTCTTTCATACTGTTGTGGAATATTAATAATAATATAATGGTCACTTCGTTTTCATTTATGATTTCGAATTAAAATCAAACTATTCAAAAGGCTGGGAATATTTAAAAAAATATTTTTTGACCACCACACAGCATCAGGAGTGAGTGAGAAGATTTAAAACTGTAAAATAGGAATTAATTTGATTATTACCATAGTCAAAGTATTGGATTCAAGTACATTTCCAATCATAAACAAAAAAATCCCAACCAGTCCGTAGTCACACTAATAGTAAATAATAATAATAATAAAAATATTGTTATTTTTCAAAAATATAATTTGTTAAACATTGCCACACCAGTGTCACACACACTGAATTGCCACACTAGTGTGCAACTTATAAATGTGTCTGATGTTAGCAGTGCCTTGTTTAACTTGGTCACAGTAGTGGTTAGTTTATCAGCGTACCTTTGAACAGAAGTGTTTTAATGCTAAGGCATTGCATGCAGTTTGGTTAGTATCGGTATCATTTTATATGAGCTATATTATTGGTGCTTTTAAAGCGGAGTAGCTGCCTTAATAGTTCTTATGTATGCGCCAGCTACCGCAGAAATGTGAAGCGAACGGGTATGGTTATTGACTAAATAATTGATGGTTGTGAGATTGTGCTTTCAGCTAACATGAGAGAACGTCACAAGTGTTAGGTGCGAGACACGTGATATCATCTACATGTGAAAAGCCAATTCCGTTTGGGTGTTGTTATTTAGATAGTGTTGCGCTGTGTTGTATTACCTGTAGTTTGTGGCCGAGCTTGTGCCTGAGCTCCTGGAAGAAGTGGTCGTGCTCGGAGACGATGTACTCAGAGACGGGCTTGTTGCGGCAGTATTGCTCGTACATGAACATGCGCTTCTCGAAGAAGCGGTGGAACAGCGGCCCCAGTAGTTCCGGCGCGGCCACGCACTCGTGCAGCTCGTGCACGAACTTGCTGCGACACAACACAAGCCTCAAACGCTGCGCGCCGGCAACGGGCCTAGTAGGTTGCCGCGCGCGACAGCTCGCAAGACAATAAACAGCTTATTCCGACAACAAATGTCAATACACTTTGGGGGCGTCAATCACACGACTCGCGACTTCAACAAGCTTTTTACAAGAGACAACAGGGCATTTTTCAATAGAAACGTTTCGTCAATTTATAATATTTCGCATTACAAGGAATATTTGTTGTCAGATTAAAGCCATTTAAAGTAAATCCTTAACTATTGCTTAGACTAATCCTTAATATTAATAGCATAAAGCATAAAAAGTAAAACTAATGAAAGTAAAGTGTTCCAAAAATTATTTTAACTTTGCCAATTTTCAAAAATAAAAAAGGAATTTGATTAGAAGTTTTAGAAAGAGTGAAATTTCATTAAACGTAACTATTACAAAAAATATTGGAATAAAAAACACGCAACGTAAAATAAGCAATGCAATCGCACAGCTGAACAGGGCTTGCAGACAGTCGTACGCGCATGAGTAAACAATGACAAACGGCTCGCAGATAGCTCCCAAGGCGACGTGGGGAACCACGACAACCACGAGATTGTCTTCAATTGTCTATAATGTTATCATATCTTTTTCCAAGTCGTTTCGTCCATGTTTATTTATGCTTGACAATTGTAACTGAGCATCGAATCTCATAATTTAACACTTGCAAGTTTCTTCAGCAATCGCTACAGCAAACATCACAAAAACTCGCATAGCTTACTTTTATAACTAAGGTTACTTACATAATAATTTAAAAAAAACATAAGACCTAATAATCAAACTTGAACATTCTCGATCTCGTTTACTGGGCCAATTATAAACAAGATTTGTCCGAATAAAGGCAAAAAAAGTTAACTGCGACATGCTTTGATTTCAAAGGGAGACTTGGAATCAGGATGTTAACAGAAAAGTATACATTGACTTTATCTACATAAGCGGCTCAAGTCTATTTATCTTTCACGACAAAGAATTGTAATAATGTTTTTGCAAAATAACATTCGAAATAAACGTATTACAGTTCACGTAATGTTGTCATTGTTTAAACTGATTTATCCAAGCAAGATTAAGGTGGATTAAATCAAGGACTTGTTTACAAATAACTTGAATGGGGTTAGTCTGAACAATGCTAACGACTTCTTAGTTGTTCCATTAGAATATTGATTTAAATAGGAAACTGGAGCTATTAAGCAATGCAATCGAGTTCTATTGTTGGCCATTGTGATCGCGATATAAAGGAATGCATAGAGAGATTAAATATTGTCGATACGACGAATCTTAGAAAATCAGTATCTTTATCGGCATTTATGTGAAGTTTTGAACAAGTCTCATATTTTTTTTTTTTTCNATGACCGTTCTTCTTTCCGGGAAAATCCTAAAAACAGCCCTTTTTTCACGCGGGCGAAGCCGCTAGCCGGAAAGCTAGTGTATAAAAAATAGTTTAATCAAACTCTCCATAAATTTTCCACACAGGTATAGTAACTTTTTACAGTGGGATTTTTCCACTATCATTTCCACTTTAGAACATGTTGATAGAATCCCACAACCCATGCCCTGTCGATACGTCCCGATACCAACCGACAGATTTATGCTCATCCTAGGAAAGTGGCTGAAATCCTTCCTTCTATCCTACCCTTTCTTACGAACTATCAGTTGTTTTCACATGTTAGGGTAGTCCAATTTGCAACAGTTATTTACTTCTCTTTTTTATTATTTTTTTTTGGCACATGTCGGATCGATGGGGATTTTTCATTCTAATGGTGCTCCGAATATTCGTACCAATTTTCAGCTGTATGCGAATTGTTGCAGGGTTCATGTCTAGTACAATTTGACCGGACTATAAGAGAGAAGAAACAGTATTTAAACAATCGTTTAACCGGCTTAGAAACAGAGTAACTAAACGAAATTGCTTACAAAAAAATGTTTTTTGCAAAACACGTGCTGGAGAGTGAAGAAAATTGGTTAATTGTTCGAAACTCTATATATAATTTATAATAGCACATAAAACCTCATAAAACTTATTTATTTTTGCAAATAGGCTTTATAAAAGCACTTTTTCACGTCCTAGTATTAACCCTACCACTGCTTCGGGACAATAAATGGGCCAGTGCTGAGAAGAAGCAGCGCAAGAAACTCTCGCCCGTATGTACAAACATTACTATGTTTCACAGTGCGCGTGGACGCACAGGGTGTCACACGAACCAATCACAGAGCTCTATTCAACGCTGTGCGTTCAATTTGCTGCTTCACTTAAGCAAGCATCGTTTGTAAATACGGGTGTCAGTCTATTGTCATAACTACTACTTTTAATAAAGCATTCAGGAATAAACATTTTTGCAAACATATACACCATTTTTAAAACTCACAGTTTGAATAAGATATCGAAACGTACCGCCCTTTGTAGCGTAAGAAAGCCATGAATAAAATTATAGTTCTTTGGAATTTATAACTCGTATAAACGTAATGTATACGAAACGAATAAGAATGAGACATTTGCATTGGGATCGGATACTTTTGGAAGATGTTATTCCACCTGTCATGACAATTTGGATTTTAAAATGGCAAATAAGTACTTAATATGATCCACATTTTGTCTTGTGTTCTTTATGATTTTAACAGACATCACGCGCGCGGAACATCTGTGTTACATTTTTACATTAAATAACCGGTAAATAAGTGTTGTTGATACGCGAAGACTATTGCAAAGTGGGCATAAAGTGCTTATATTCGTTATAATATAATTGAAGTTGCAGTTTATTGTCGAATTAAAGTGAATTAACTTAAAAACATTTTTGTGCTACAAAACCGTAGTGTCTGGCGATTGTGAGTTGCTACGACGCGTAAGCGACGGGCTCCGCACGGCGCTTAGGACCTTTTGGACGCGACCTTTCGCTAGCCGGGTTAACGCTGCGAAGTAGCGGACGTTGTTTACATCTTTAAATTGAACAAGCTTTATTGTCTACCTTCATCATGGATTGTAAGACTTGTAATGGAGCTTTAAAGGCGGAGGACATAATTAAATGTGCAGCATGTAATAATTCCTACCATTATGTATGCGTGGGATTGAGCGAAGTTGACTTTAAGAAAATATTACCTATGAATAAGATTAAATGGAAATGTCCGTCGTGTAAACCTGGAAAGAAAAAGATGAACACCGGCAGTCCCAGTGCCCCTGGCACCCCTAGCTCGGAGTGTGGCACGTCGCATTCAATGATAAACATTGATGCGAATGCTATTATGGAGCATTTTGATAGCCGATTTAACGCCCTGCAGTTGGCCATCAGCTCCCTAAAAACGGATGTTAATGACCAACTAATGAAACTTTCGGCCACTGTTAATTCATGGGAGGCTAAGATAAACAGTTTTTCATCATCCATAGCAAATATAAACGTGCAGATCTCGGATCTTAAGGACGAGAATAACAAACTAAATCAAGAGCTCGATCAATTGCGCTCCAAATTGAAAGACATTTCTGACAACAATCAACGCAATGACCAGTGGGTTCGCCGTTCAAATATACAAATCAACGGGATCCCTGAAAAAAAGGGTGAAAATCTTTTGAATCTGGTGAGGTCCCTAGCCCAAAAGTGTGGTTTTTCTATCAGCGTGGACAGTGATGTAGACTTCGTAACCCGAGTGGCGGTTAAGAATGACGCCGATAACAAGACGCCGAAGCCTATTATCCTGAAAATGCATTCGAGATATAAAAAAGATGATTTTTTAACATTACTACGTAAAATTAAGAACTGTACCGCACGGGATATCGGTATCACAGGGGCACAGAGTGGTAATAGAATATTTTTCAATGACCATCTTTCTGCAAGGAACAAATATCTACTTAATCAAGCTAAAAAGTTGGCAAGAGAGAAGGGCTACGTGTACTGCTGGGTCCGCAACTGTACGGTCATGGTGCGCCGCAACGACCAGTCGCCGATTATTCATATTTCATCCGAACAATCTTTAAACAAAATTGTATAAGAGTTATAGCCGTTCAAATTTTTTTTCTTCTACTGCTTTTAGCATTTACTGTTATTGATGGTTTAATTTTTATAATGATTAACAGTCACGTTATCAGTATTATACGTGCAAATTGTCAACTTACTTCTTTTAACAATAATATCGTAATATATGTCATAATGTTGTTGCAAGACGAAATATCTTACTATTGCTTTTTAAAATTGAATCTAATAGCGTCGGAGCCGACAAGGGGCATGCACCCTGGGTTACTGAGACAGACTTGGAACGTTGCATTCTCACAGAGTTTTTTAGTTGAATCAAATATTTGCATTCACTCTTAACATTTATTATCAGAATGTCAGGGGTCTGAGAACGAAGGTAAAAATGTTTTACAGAAATATTCTAAACTCCGTTTATGATATTATATGTATAACTGAAACCTGGCTCTTACCGGGAATTTGTGACGCCGAGTTGTTCGATTCTCGATATTGCGTGTACCGCACTGATCGTGACTATGATAACTTATCCGTTAAAAAGGGTGGTGGTACCTTGGTTGCAGTTCGTCGTGGGATCAGCGTGAGTATGCAGGGATTACGTAAGTTACCTTTTATGCATGACGCAGACGTAACATGTGTTAATATCTTGTTGAATCAGGGTCCTACAACATCTTTGCTAAGATTGTTCTGTTGCTACTTTCCACAAAATGATAACCAATCGATAGCGGAACAATCGCTTTATGATTATATTTCTGATCTAAAAATTGACTACCCTCATGATAAGTTTTTGCTTGTAGGTGACTTTAATATAACAATTGCTAGGTGGAACTCAACTCCACATACTTCTGATAGTAAACTGTGCCTTGAAAATCCACAAGATAATGTACTAACTTCTCAAATATATGCGTTTTTAAACTTTAACGACTTATCTCAATATAATCACGTTGATAATATGAACAGTAGGAAATTAGATTTAGTAATATCCGACTTGAACTGTACAGTACAACGAGCCACGCCGTTGTCACTGCCTGAGGATGGTCATCATCCTCCTTTGTGTATCGACATAATTATTAATTATACATCAAGTCTGTGTCCTGCCCCTCGGGTAGTGCGACAATTTCACGCGGCGGACTATATTAAAATTAATTATGAACTGTCAAATATTGATTGGGAGAATCATCTAGACCCAAACGACATTTTAACTGCTGTGAATAGCTTTTATAAGGTTGTCAATGATCTAATAAATAAGTTTGTTCCTCAAAAGATTGTTAAAGACAACAATAGGTACCCTGTTTGGTTTGATAAACGTCTAATTAAACTTCTAAATAAAAAACTTAAACTTCATAAAAAATGGAAAATTTATGGTAGACAGTGTGACTATGAGAACTACTCTAATGCACGTCGTGATGTTAAAAAGTATGAAATTTTGTGTTATGATCAATATATTGCTCGCGCTGAGGGAAATATCCAGATCAATACCAAGTACTTCTGGTCTTTCATAAAATCAAAGCGAGATAACAGTAGTATACCTGACAGTTTATATCTAGGGGATATGCATGCATCTGAGGGTCGAACGATTGCTGACCTTTTTAACACATTCTTTCAGTCTGTTTTTGAGCCCCCCTGTAGTAATACCTCGGATTGTGATGTAACATACAATGCCTGTATTATTAATTCTGTGGACATTGATAGCGTCACTGTCGAAAAATATTTAAAGAATCTTGACGTCACCAAGGGAGCTGGCCCTGATGGTATACACCCAATATTTCTCAGGCAATGTAATAAGCTTATGGCAGTTCCTTTATCTTTGCTATTTAATATGTCTCTAAAACAGGGTGTGATGCCCTCGATCTGGAAGCAATCTATTATTGTGCCCATACATAAGAATGGTGACAAACATAATATCGCTAACTACCGTGGCATCTCCAAATTGTCTGTAATACCAAAACTCTTTGAAAAAATAATTTACGATTCTCTTTTCCCCGCAATTAAACCGTTAATTATCCCAAATCAACATGGTTTTATACCGCGTCGTTCCACAGAATCTAATCTATGTGAATTTTTGGATTTAACATTGCAAGCTATGGAGGATGGCTTCCAGGTGGATGCTGTGTATACGGATTTTTCGAAAGCGTTTGACAAAATTTCCCATAACTTATTGATTAGCAAAATCGGAAGGGTAGGTATACACGGCGATCTCCTGAGATGGCTGACCTCATACTTGCGCGAAAGATCCCAGGCAGTTGCGATAAAGGGCTATACTTCTAGCTTTGTTCCTATCACATCTGGCGTGCCTCAGGGCTCTCATCTCGGCCCTCTTCTCTTTAATATATTTATTAATGACGTCATGAATTGTTTTCTTCATTCCAAAGCATTATTATACGCCGACGATACTAAAATTTTTACATTCATTAAATCTGTTGAAGAATCATTGCTATTTCAAAACGATTTGAATAATTTTTATGATTATTGCTCAGCTAATAATCTAAAATTAAATATTGATAAATGTCATACTATTACCTTTTCACGCAAAAAACGTCCGATTAATTATAATTATACATTTAATGACATTATGATCAAAAGAGTGGCCGAGGTGAGAGACCTGGGAGTATATCTAGATAATGAACTTAACTTGGCGTCTCATATTGATAGAGTTACTGCGAAATCTTATAAAATGTTGGGTTTTGTCTTTCGTCAATGTAAAGATTTTAAAAATATAAACACCTATATAATGTTGTATAACTCCTTAGTAAGAAGTCATCTCGAATATGCATCAACAGTATGGAACCCAATTTATGCCACTTATATTGATCAGATGGAAAGGATACAAAACAAATTTTTAAAAAGACTTAGATACTTGTTTAGGGATCATTCAGCGCAGCTTCAGTCATTAGAATTAAGACGTGAACATAGGGATCAAGTATTTTTGTTTAAAATTTTAAATGACTACATAGATTCATCCTTCCTTCTCAGCCGAGTGTCATTCAGGTGCCCCAGGCTCAGTGCCCGCTCCAATGCAGTTTTCTCTGTTCCTATTTGTAGAACTAATTATTCAAAGAATAGATTTCTTGTTCGTGCTTGCAACACACATAATGTTCGATACAGCCACATTGATATATTCAATTGTTCTCTGCGTGTTTTTACTTCACATGTTAAGAAGGTTGACCACGTTTAAGTGGGATTATCTTGTTTCTGATGAACGAAATTACCTAGTTAAATTACTACGAAACTTTTTATAATATGTCTTCGCTATTGACAAATTAACATTGGAAACTTTTTTGGCTTATGAATAAACTAAACTTTTTCCTGTACCTATATGTAATATAAAAGCTGTATGTTTCTTTCATTAAATAAATAAATAAATAAATAAATAAATTTAATGGCCAATTTTAAACACAGATTTTAAAAAAGATCTTCGAATGTAAAAGTTGCAAATATTGTTAGAAGTATCAGACGTCTGCAACAGTTTTGCGTCAGACACGAAATGTGTGGTATACTTACTCGCGATGCCACTCGTAGATGACCTCGATGTTGCCGAATATCATGCGGTGCCGACGGTCGCGCAGCCCTTCCGGGATCGGCGGGTCCGGGTTAGCCAGCTGGGAGCAAAACCAATATTTCATTAGGTATAAAATCCATCAGTAAAACTACAGCGCATTTAAGTCTAATATGTGCGAGTGTGAACAATATTATCGAACTCGGCGGCGATGTTATTGTTTTAGTTTCAAGTTATTTACGACAAACAAACCAAAATGACGGTATTTCAAAACACTATTGGAAACACGTCGTCACCGCGACGAGTCATCTTTGTTGACCTAAACCTGACTGATAGCTACTAAAATTACAAATCGAACGATTTGCCCGCAGACCGACCAACTATAAAGGAGAGACATATCGATAGGCAACCGAGCTAGGAAGAAGCGTTATTTATTTACCTCCGGACGGGGCGTTTAGCGTAACGGAGTTCAGTGGGATAAGGCACACTGCATCTCTTTGTAGAGCGAATCTTTTATCTTTGGCACTTCGCTGGTTGAATTCACCTGCGGCTATTGCATGCAGTAAATGAACAGAACAGTTGCTGGCTTATTGTCTATGTATATTTTATACCATTGATCACGGATTTAGCGAGTTTCTTATACAGGGTGTCCCGTAATGTAACGTCAAGCCGGAACTGGGTGTTGAGGCAAGTTGTGCTGGTTATCAGAAAAATATAAAAAAAAATCTATGTGGCATATTTTAAAAATAATAGGCATTTAAAAAAAATCAAAAAATTCTACTCCAGGTGACGGTCTATTTNTAAATAAATAAATAAATAAATGATTGTACGTAGAAAACTGAGGATTTGGAAATAATTATCATCAGCCTAAGTTCACTGATGAACGTAGAGTTGTTGAGATATTGAAGGTTTTTAAAAAGAAAATTAAAAACCCTTGAAACAACTTAAAAAAATAAATTCTACTAGGTACCTACTTAAATGTAATGCAATAGCTTCTGTGGCATAATGCACATTGAGTAATACAAAAAATTATATTTATATTTTTATGTAAGAAAAAAAAAGTTTCAGTTCTCGTAATTAATGCATTAAGTTTCTTGTTCTTCTCCTTTTTTGGCTAAATTATTGTCAAAGCATAACTAGGTACCTACTCCTAAGCTGAGTTGCACCACCAAAGCTTGACCGTAACCTTTGTATGGAGTTTAACAGATTTTTGATGTTAAAGTAAGATGGTGTAACCCAGCTATAGTAGTGTTAATGTTAAACAAGTTGGTTTAAGCATGAGCTTTTTCCATCCAATGTTAGCCTGTGGTAAAGAGAGGATCCTGTACTGGAGACTAAATGCCCGTTTTCACCATCAATCCCTAATTTTTAAGTGACCCCTATGATAACAAATAATATTAATTTTGTTTTCATATGGGACACTTAAAAATTAGGGATTGATGGTGAAAACGGGCATTAATGACCTAATGATGACGTGTAGAAGCTACTAAAAATAAATCAAATGCTCGTAACTGCAAATTCATTTAAAAAAAGCTTTTTAAAACCCAACTCATAGAAAACATAAAAAAATCTGTTTCAATCGATGTTTCCACCAGTTATTCCTGTTAATCATTGAAAGGCTCCGAATCCTTCCACCCTCGGGTTGCATCTACCGCAAGACCATAAATCTGCCAAAAGCAGGAAGCGACAGCATTCTCCACTTACGCTCAAGCCTTCGTAACCGGAATTGAAAAGGCACATTATTTTACCGATATACCGTAGGCGTTAAAAATATGGAGTGGAATGGGTTAAGTAGGTAGAAAGTTTAGGAATCTAAATATATATATAACTCAAAGGTGACTGACTGACTGACTGACATAGTGATCTATCAACGCACAGCTCAAACCACTGGACGGATCGAGCTGAAATTTGGCATGCAGGTAGATGTTATGACGTAGGCATCCGCTAGGAAAGGATTTTACGAAACTCCACCCTTAAGGGGGTAAAACGGGATCCACGCGTACGAAGTCGCGGGCGGCCGCTAGTTTACAAATTAATTCGTTTAATTTTTATTTTAATTAGGCTGGGTTGCATATTATCTTACTTTAACTGTAACAAACGTCAAAAATCTGTCAAACTCCATACAAAATCGGTTGGTCGGTTATCCTTAGGCCCAGAACACACGGTGAAACGAAACCATTTCAAACCGGTTTGAAACTGGTCGCGTCATGTGTGGTCTCTCAACGGAATCTATGGCAGAAACTTAGATGCAACTCAAAAGTAACTAGAAGTTGCAGTTTCGTTGCAATTGCGTTTCACCGCGTGTTCTGGGTCTTACAGTTACCGTTAAAGTTAGGTGGTGCAACTCTTCCTTACTCTTTTGCATGCATTGTTCTCCCGTGTGAACTTTCGTCTGTAACACAATAATTTATTGAACGAGTGTGCAATAAGGAAGCTCCTGGTCTGTACTTACCTGACAAAAACGGGACTATTCCTACCTCTCGTTCCCACCGCTGCAACTCCTGTGTAGCCAGGATCTACAGCTTGACCGCCAATAACCCAACCAGTGAAGGTCAAGTTTGTCCCGGGGGAAAGTTAAACTGTCATTGGACCCGCAACGAAATTAATCAGAAGAACATAGGAGGAGTTCGATTAAAATAAGTTATAATCAGGGAGGTGGAAGCGAGCTTCACCCGAAATTCTTAACCACAGAGGAACTGGCTATCTGTGTCCTTTTTGAATACCAGAAGTTTTTGCAGAAAATGCAACAAAATGTAGTTTTTTTCGTAGCATCACCATTCCACCACTATTAACTACGACAAGGTGTCTACCGTAGTAGTCCGTAGCAGAATGTAGCATGATTACTTCGACCCGTAGTACTATGCTACAGGTCGTGAGTTAGGTGTAAAACTTATAATAAATCTGTAGAGAGGTCAATTTATTCTGTACATGAAATATATTTTCAAAATAACTATCAGGGGGTGATTAGTGATCGATACTGATGCCAAAAATTCAATCAGTAAAATTTTTGTCTGTCTGTCTGTATGTTCCTTATAGAAACAAAAACTACTCGACGGATTTTAACGAAACTTGGTACAATTATTCTTCATACTCCTTCATACTCGGAATTAGCGGGAAAATCCTTTTGTATGAAAAATCTAAACCGCTTAATTAGACGCTTGAAATTTGGTATGCAGGTACCTTACTAAACTTGTTGTTTTGACTGGCGTGTGGCGACTCGTTATGCTTTGGCTCGAAGTTTTTTGTTGTGTGCCGTCACATTATTTTTATTTTTGTTTAAATGTTGATAATTAGTTAGTTACCTTGATTTTGTTTGTAATTAGTTGCACACTCATTATGTTTAAATAATTTAAATAGAAATGTTTCTCAGGAAGTGAATTATTGTTAATTCTTATGAGAAATAAAGTTCTTAAACCGTAACTTAAAGCTTAGTTACAACAGGATATTGCAAAACTCCCACGGGAACGGGAGTTAGCGGGAAAAAACATTTGTATGAAAAAATCTAAACCGCGTAAGATAGATGAAGGGGGTAAAACGGGATCCACGCGTACGAAGTCGCGGGCGGCCGCTAGTCATGAATATTTTCATAATATGTATTGCGATCAACTTTATTTAACATGCACTTCTGTCCACAAAATTAATCCTGCAAATATAGTTCCTGCAAAAACGGGTGTCTCTGTGGGATAGACGATAGTGCCATAATGTTATATAGATAGATTACGTACGTTCTTTTGTAATTAAATACGTGAAACAACTTGAAAACATCGAACTGCATAAGGCGGGGATACAAGTAGCTCAGATGTAAAAGTAGTCGCCCGGCTAGCGAAATGTCTTAGGTTCGATTCCTGCCTTAGGCAGTTCGATTTTTCAAGTTATTTATAATTTAGTTTGTGATTTGAGAATTGAGATGCAACTCTTAACGCTAAAAAATGTAATTAAATATCCCAAGAGAAGAGGTACGCCATGCGTGTTTTGTTTTTGATGCATACTCGCGGAGATGAACAGGCCTCAACAGGCCTGCATAAACTTTGCTTTGAAATGAACCTAGAGCATAACACATGCTGAGTGGCTGCCATTTTAGTTTAAATCTAACTACATAAGTAAGTAACTATGTTGTAAGGAGTCTAACGCCCGTATTCACAAACATTACTATGAGGTCTCACAGTGCGCGTAGACGCACAGAGTGACACACGAACTAATCACAGAGCTCTATTCAACGCTATGCGTTCGATTTTCGGCTTCACTTAAGCAAGCATCGTTTGTGAATACGGGTGTAAGGATGTTTGGACTAAATAAAAATGTTTTCTTTCTTTCTTTCTTACAACCTCCGTGCAGACTTTAACCATAGAGCATAGAGCAAAATACAGATAAATAAAAGATTGTCAAAGCACCAAGCCTACCGCCGCACGTAGAAGCCATAAAGCTCGCTTCTCTTTTTATTATGGCGAGAGTTTATGACTCTACATGGTGTTGTTTTTTAGTCTAGATATTAGCACGTCACTACCTTATTTTATATACCTACCACGCAATTTGTATACCCATTCTTATAAGATACACCATACAAGAATTCAGAGATCTGCTCCTGAATCGAATGTGCCTACTACTGCTATTTCTATTTATTTATATTAACCGGCAGACAGTGGTGACTGAGTTTGTTGCGGCGCTTCTTCTCAGCACTTGCCAAATGTTGGTCTCGAAGCGCTGGTAGGGTAAAAAGAATATGAGACATGTAGAGGCTCCTTAAGAGCAAAATATTTGACGATTCTAAGCACTATATTTTATAATAGTCTACATATAAAGAAATGTTGACTTTGACTTATTAAATTGTACGAAAAAAGAATATTCGCTGATAGAGGTACGACGCTTTACTGCACACCACAGAAAAGGCGGTCTTATGGCTAGGAAGCGATATCTTCCAGGCTGGGAGTCTTAGTACATACAAGCATTTACATCCGGAGTTTCAGACGTTACATGTAATAAACATTGTGTATTATGTATTAACTAGCGGCCGCCCGCGACTTCGTACGCGATCCCGTTTTACTCCCTTAGGAGTGGAGTTTCGTAAAATCCTTTCTTATCGGATGCCTACGTCATAACATCTACCTGCATGCCAAATTTCAGCCCGAG